TAGGCTTTCCTGTCTCCTCATGATGTGGCCAAAGTACTTCAACTTTGTCTCTAGTATCTTTCCCTCCAGTGAGCAGTCGGGCTTTATTTCCTGGAGGATTGACTGGTTGGATCTTCTCGCAGTCCAAGGCACTCTCAGAACTTTCCTCCAACACCACAGCTCAAAAGCATCGATCTTCCTTCGCTCAGCCTTCCCTAAGGTCCAGCTCTCACATCCGTAGGTGACTACAGGGAATACCATGGCTTTGACTAGGCGGATCTTTGTTGTCAGTCTGATGTCTCTACTCTTCACTATTTTATCGAGACTGGACATTGCTCTCCTCCCAAGAAGTAAGCGTCTTCCGATTTCCTGGCTACAGTCTGCATCTGCAGTAATCTTTGCACCTAGAAATACAAAGTCTGTCACGGCCTCCACGGTTTCTCCCTCTATTTTCCAGTTGTCAATCATTCTTGTTGCCATAATCTTGGTTTTTTTGACGTTTAGCTGCAACCCGGCTTTTTGCGCTTTCTTCTTTCACCTTGATTAGAAGGCTCCTCGACTCCTCCTCGCTTTCGGCCATCAGAGTGGTGTCATCTGCATATCTGAGGTTGTTAATGTTTCTTCCAGCAATTTTCACCCCAGCTTTGCATTCATCCAGCCCCGCACATCGCATGATGTGTTCTGCATACAAGTTAAAAAGGTTGGGTGAGAGGATGCAGCCTTGCCGTACGCCTTTCCCAATCTTGAACCAGTCTGTTGTTCCATGGTCAGTTCTGACTGTTGCTACTTGGTCCTTGTACAGATTCCTCAGGAGAGAGACAAGGTGGCTTGGGATGCCCATCCCACTAAGAACTTGCCACAATTTATTATGATCCACACAGTCAAAGGCTTTAGAATAGTCAATGAAGCAGAAGTAGATGTTTTTCTGAAACTCCCTGCCTTTCTCCATTATCCAGCGGATATTGGCAATCTGGTCCTCTCGTTCCTCTGCCTTTTCTAAACCCAGCTTGAACATCTGGCAACTCTCGCTCCATGTATTGCTGGAGTCTTCCTTGCAGGATCTTGAGCATTACCTTACTGGCATGAGAAATAAGGGCCACTGTACGGAAGTTTGAGCAGTCTTTCGCATTTCCCTTTTTTGGTATGGGGATATAAGTTGATTTTTTCCAGTCTGATGGCCATTCTTGTGTTTTCCATATTTGCTGGCAAGTGGCATGCATCACCTTGACAGCATCATCTTTTAAGATTTTAAACAGTTCAGCTGGGATCCCGTCGTCTCCTGCTGCCTTGTTGTTAGCAATGCTTCTTAAGGCCCATTCAACCTCACTCCTCAGGATGTCTGGTTCTAATTCATTCACCACACCGTCAAACTATCCTCAATATTATTATCCTTCCTATACAGATCTTCTGTATAGTCTCGCCACCTTCTCTTGATCTCTTCAGCTTCTGTTAGGTCCCTGCCATCTTTGTTTCTTATCATACCAAATTTTTGCCTGAAATTTACCTCCAATGTTTCTAATTTTCTGGAAGAGGTCTCTTGTCCTTCCTATTCTGTTGTCTTCTTCCACTTCCATGCATTGCTTATTTAAAAATAGTTCCTTATCTCTTCTGGCTAACCTCCGGGATTGTGCATTTAACTGGGCGTATCTCCTCCTATCACTGTTTCCTTCTGCTTTCCTTCTTTCTTGGGCTACTTCCAGTGTCTCAGCAGACAACCATCTTGCCTTCTTGGTTTTCTTTTTCTTTGGGACGTACTTTGTTGCCGCCTCCTGAACAATGTCTCGGACTTCTGTCCATAGTTCTTCTGGGACTCTGTTTACTAAATCTAGTCCTTCAAATCTGTTCTTCACTTCCACTGTATATTCGCTAGGGATGTTAGTGAGATCATATCTAACTGGTCTGTGTATTTTCCCTGATCTCTTTAGTTTTATTCTAAATTGAGCAATAAGAAGTTCGTGATCTGAGCTACAGTCAGCCCCAGGTCTTGTTTTCACCGACTGGATGGATGTCCGCCACCTTTGGCTGCAAAGGATGTAGTGAATCTGATTTCGGTGTTGACCATCTGGTGAGGTCCATGTATAAAGCCGTCTTTTAGGTTGTTGGAAGAGAGTATTCGTTATACACAGCGAGTTTTCCTGGCAAAATTCTATCAGCCTGCGTCCCGCTTCATTTTGTTCTCCCAGACCATGCTTGCCTGTGATCGCAGTTGTCATTTGACTTCCCACCTTGGCATTCCAGTCTCCTGTAATGAAAATAATGTCTCTTTTTGGTGTATTATCCAGTAGGTCCTGCAGATCCTCATAGAACTGAGCTACTTCTGCTTCTTCAGCAGCTGTGGTTGGGGCATATATTTGGATCACTGTAATGTTGAAAGGCTTTCCTTGCACTCGAATTGAGATCATTCTGTCATTTTTTGGGTTGTATCCAAGCACCGCTTTAGCGAATTTCTTATTAATTATGAAGGCTACTCCATTTCTTCGATGTTCCTCTTGTCCGCAGTAGTAGATCTGGTGGTCCTCTGATGTGAAGTGGCCCATTCCAGTCCATTTCAGTTCGCTGACCCTCAGAATGTCTATCTTTAGTCTTGACATCTCACCAATAACAACATCCAATTTGCCCTGGCTCATAGATCTTACATTCCAGGTTCCTATGGTGTGTTGATCTTTAGAGCATCGGATTCGTCGTTCACCTCCAGTACCGTGGCCGCTAGCCTTCCTTTCAGCTTTGAGCTAGCTGCGTCATCACATCTGGGGCTAGTTGAACTTATCCTCTGCTCCTCCCCAGTAGCATTTTGGCCATCTTCCGACCTGGGAGTCCCATCTTCCAATGGCATACCGACATATCTCTGGTTGTACTGGTCCATTTAGTTTTCTTGGCAAGGATACTGGAGTGGTTTGCCATTGCCTTCCCCCAGGGATCACGCTTGGTCTGACCTCTCTGCCACAACCGTCCCGTCTTGGGTGGCCCTTCACGGTTTCGCTCATGACATCATTGAGGTGCTCAAGCTCCAGCGCGGTGATCCTTTGCTGAAGAGTCTCAAGATACTCGACTCTTATTGATGCCTGGGCACAAGAGTCCTGTTGTCTCCTTCAACCCCGTTCTGCAGCGCTGGGTCAGTTTGTGCGTGCGACCACCCGGCATTGTTTGCGACAGCCATGCCATGTGTCATCCCCAATCACAATCAAGCGAGGGTTGGACGACGGAGCAATCATATCCAAGTGACCATTGGGTTGGCACTGTCACGATGGGTGCCCGCTTGGTCCCGTTGAGGGCGATACCTTGCCTTGGGTCGATTTCGAGCCTCCCAAGGACGCGGTGTTCAATTGGATTACTCCATGGATCGTTGTCAAAGGCACCAGACTTGGGCAAATCCTACTAATTCAATTGCTTTTGAATTTTGAACATGACTCCCATATCCATTTTTTGGATACGTTCCCAAATGTATTGCGGAGACATGAAACCGCAAATAATAGTGCCAGAATAAGCTTATATCTTTTTTTCGTAGAGTTACAAGCTTGGTAGATGCAGGGAATGCTGTGGATGGAGCAGATCTTGATTTTGCAAATGCCTTCGACAAAGCCCCCCCATGACCTTCTTGCAAGCCAACTAGTCCAATGTGGGCTAGGCAATGTGACTATTGGGTGGATCTGGAATTGGTTACGTGACTGAACCCAAAGGGTGCTTCTCCCCAATGGTTCCTCTGCTTCATCCTGGAAAGAGGGGACTATTTAGATGCCATGAAGAGGGTTCAGTCCTGGGCCCAGTACCGTTCAACATCTTTATTAATGACTTCGATGAAGGTTTAGAGGGCAGACTGATCAAGTTTGCAGATATTTTAAAATTGTATCGAAATGCTTTTGATGTAAGCCATGCTGATTCTCCTTCGTGGAGAGAAAAAGTGGGATATAAATTAATATAATTATGATTATAATTGCACTGGAGGACCTAAAGATTCCTAGAGAAATGTACTCTCAGGCCAAAATAGAATTTTTTAATATGTTATTTTTCTACTTTTCCACTGATTGTATATGATTACTCTTTCTTCTTCCTTTCCTTTCTTTTTTCTTTCCTTCCTTCCTTCTTTCCTTCCTTATCCCTTTCCTCCCATCCTTTCTTTCTTTCTTTCTTTCTTTCTTTCCTTCCTTCCTAACTACCTTTTCCCTCCCTCCCTCCCTCCCTCCCTCCCTCCCTCCCTTTTCACTTTCCTTCCATCCTTTCTTTTTCTTTCTTTCTTTCTTTCTTTCTTTCCTTCCTTCCTACCTTTTCCCTTCCTTCCTTCTTTCCTTCCTCCTTCCTCTCCTTTATTTTTCCTTCCTTCCTTTCTTTTTCTTCCTTCCCTTCCCTTCCTTCCTTCTTTCTCCCTTTCTTTTTCCTTCCTTCTTCTTTCCTTCCTCCCTCCCTCCCTCCTTTCTTTCCTTCCCTTTCTTCTTTTTCCTTCCTTCCTTCTTCTCCTCCTCCCTCCCTCCCTCCCTCTTCTTTCTTTCTTCCTTCTTTCTTTTTTCCTCCCTTCCTTTCCTTCCTTTTTCTCCCCCCTCCCTTTCTTTTCCTTTCCTTCCTTCCTTCCTTCCTTCCTTCCTTCCTTCCTTCCTTCCTCCTTCCTCCCTCCCTTTCTTCTTTCCTCCTTTTTTCCTTCCTTCCTCCTCCCTCCCTCCCTGTATTCCTTCTTTCCTCCCTTTCTTTTTTCCTCCCTTCCTTTCCTTCCTTTTTCCTCCCTCCCTTTCTCTTTTCCTCCCTTATTTTTTCCTCCCTTCCTTTCCTTCCTTTCCTCCCTCCCTCCCTTCCCCTTTTCTTCTTTTTTCCTTCCCTTTTTCCTTCCCTTTTCCTTCCTTCCTTCCTTCCTCTTCCTTCCCTTTCTTTCTTCCCCTTCTTTTTCCTTCCTTCCTTTCCTTCCTTTTTCCTTCCTCCCTCCCTTCCACCCTTCCTTTCTTTTTGCCTTCCTTCCTTCCTTGTCCTAAAAAGTTGTGAAGCTTATTGTGTTCTTTGAAATCAAGCGTGTATAAACGTTCTTTCTCATTCCTCAGGTGATCTCCGCGGTCTCTCGGCTCTCGTACCACACCATTGCGCAGAACAAAGGAATTAGGTAAGATAAAAATCACTTTCCTTTGATACATTTTATATTTTATGGAATCCCAGGAGTTGTAGTTTGGTGGGGTCCCATCCCTCTTGGCCAGGGAAGGCTCAAGACCTTGTCAGACTACATCTCCCAGGGTTTCACAGCATTGAGCCTTGGCAGTCCAAGTGGCATCAAATGGCATTTGCAACCAGCTTTGCAGCAAACTTGTGCAATTCTGGATTACCCAAATGAACCAAAATATCTATGCTTTGCAAATTTCAACCTTCGTCCCTTCCAATAAACATTCCCGCTGGTTGTGTTGGATCTGCTGCCAGGAGAGATGAAAGGGGAGCATTGCTTCCCTCCTCTTGCCGTAGCCCGAGTGTGACATCCTTCACTCTCGCTGTGATCTTCAAAGATTATCCATTGGGAGCCAAAACCACAAAAGGTGCATCCACACTGTTGAACTAACTTAGTTTAACACCATTTTAACAACCATGGGCCCCACTTTGTGCTGGTCAGTAACTGTAATAAAGTCTTATCTTGTATTGTCTTGTTTTGTCTTGTCTTGTATTGTCTTGTCTTGTATTGTAACAGGAGTATGGGAGTTGTAGTATGGCCAGGCACCAGCCCTCTTGGGCAGAGAAGGCTCAAGACCTTGCCAAACTACATTGTGGCATTGGCATTGAGAGCATGGGCAGCACTGGAAGCATTGGCATCATCATGATCATGATCATCATCCTTCTTCTTCTTCTTCTTCTTCTTCTTCTCATTATTATTATTATTATTATTATTATTATTATTATTATTATTATTATATTCTAGCTTGGGTAGAAAAGGTCATTTTTTAAATTGTACCCAATGCATAAGGTTGTGGGTGAACTACAACTCACAACATGCCAGCTTAACCCCCTGAAACGCCACTAGTCCTTAAAGATTGTTACGTTTATCTGGTGGGAAGGTCAAGCGAAATGCTTTCCTTTCAGTTTTGGGATCTGGAAAAGCCTTGTATTGAGTCATGGGAAGGATGTTGACAAGCTGGAATGTGTCCAGAGGAGGGCGACAAAAATGATCAAGGGTCTGGAGAACAAGCCCTATGAGGAGCGGCTTAAAGAGCTGGGCATGTTTAGCCAGCAGAAGAGAACACTGAGAGGAGACATGTATAAATATGTAAGAGGAAGTCATAGGGAGGAGGGAGCAAGCTTGTTTTCTGCTGCCCTGGAGACTAGGAACAATGGCTTCAAATGACAGGAAAGAAGATTCCACCTGAACATTAGGAAGAACTTCCTAACTGTGTGTGAGAACTGTTCAGCAGTGGAACTCTCTGCCCCAGAGTGTGGTAGAGGCTCCTTCTTTGGAAGCTTTGAAACAGATGGCCGCCAGGGTTTCGCCAGGCCCACATTCTAGCTGCTTAAGGTAAGGAGTTCTTTACATCATGCTACCCATGCTCTATTCTACCTTGGTTAGGCACATCTGGAATACTGTGTCCAATTCTGGGCACCGCAACTGAATGGAGATGTTGACTCTAAGCTGGAATGTGTCCAGAGGAGGGCAACTAAAATGCTCAAGGGTCTGGAGAACAAGCCATATGAGGAGCAGCTTAAAGAGCTGGACATGTTTAGTCTGAAGAAGAGAAGGCTGAGAGGAGACGTGATAGCCATAGGGAGGAGGGAGCAAGCTTGTTTTCTGCTTCCCTGGAGACTAGGACACAGAACAATGGCTTCAAACTACAAGAGAGGAGATTCCACCTGAACATTAGGAAGAACTTCCTGACTGTGAGAGCTGATCAGCAGTGGAACTCTCTGCCCCAGAGTGTGGTGGAGGCTCCTTCATTGGAGGCGTTGAAACAGAGGCTAGATGGCCATCTGTCGGGGATGCTTTGAATTCAATTTTCCTGCTTCTTGGCGGAATGGGGTTGGACTGGATGGCCCAGGAGGTCTCTTCCAACTCTATGATTCTATGAGTTGCCTCAGTTGGGTCAACATTGGAATTTCATGTCTAGTCTTGCTCTCAAGTGTTCTTAGTTTCATGCACCAAGTTTTTGCCAACCTCCTGATTTGTGTATTGGGTTTTTCATGCTGCCCTGTTTCATGGATTTTTTTGTGCCTGTTTCATGGATTTATATACCTTTGGACCTCGTTTTGCCTTGAAGCTCATGGACTAAGCTTTATTTTGGAACTTTATTGTTTTGCAGTTTTACTCCTTTGCTTCCTTATAGTCTACAATAAACAGCTTGCTGATTTTGCCACGCTGGTGTGGCGTTTCAGGTCAGAGGTGTTCCTGCTCTGGTGTAGGACAAGAATTAATGCTGGGAACACTGGCTTTCAAGGCATTTGCTTTGTGAGCATTAGGGGCAGTTAGCATGGCTATGATTATGCATCTGAAATGTGCAATTCCCCCCTCCTCAAATGTATTTACTGGAACTTCATGGAATAATGATCATTCCCTGAGTTGGCTCAAGTATCTTGCGGGGGAAAGACGGGCGCGTTATCTTCCGACGCACCAACCACGCATGAATGCTAGAACGTCTCCGAAGCGCATCGGTAATGAACTGCCGGTCCCATGCGGCTTGGAGCGGACGCCGGGGCTGACAGCTGTCGCCGCGCACAATGCCGCACGTGTCTCTCCCTTGTCTTCCTCCGCACAAAGCCTGGATTGTACACGGAATACAGAATAGCTGTTTAAGGAAGCCCGTCACATTCAGCGACGACTTCCGCACCCGGCGTGCGGGTGGCTGGACCGATTGCCGGCTTTATCTCTTCCAGTTCGGAGCTTCGTCGGCTTTTCATTTTCCTGCTAATTGGAAACAACACCTAATTATACGGGCTGTGGCTCCTGTCTTAGACGGTTTGTTCCAGTTGCCGGATGGATCAATATTATGGAGTATTAGTACAGTCCGCCACCTACATTGGCTGTTTGCGGATGTGATTGATCTCCTCTCTGGGAATCTCTAGGTCTGCTATTGCAATTCTGTGGACGTTGACTATTAAGAGTCGTGCTGGAGGATGAAGAAATTCCTAGAGAGATATTCTTGTAGGTCAAAATAATTGCAATTTTGCTGTTTTTCACTTTCCCATGCCCCTCACCTTACCAAATGTGGAATGTGCAACTGCATACGATTAAAACCATTACATGTTTTGGTTTTATGTTCCATCTTCATCGCTATGATAATTCCGTCTTGTTGATGGGAGGCTTCCCACCGGAGTAGAAATCATCTATTGGACAAATGGCAAGCTATTTAACCTCAGCAGACTGAAAGCTGAAACCAAAGTTACAACATCTGTTATAGAACTCCAGTATGCTGATGACAACGCCATCTGTGCGCATTCAGAAGAAGACCTACAAGCCACTCTAAACACCATTGCAGAAGCATACGAGAAGCTTGGCCTCTCATTGAGCATTGAGAAAACCAAAGTGCTCTTCCAGCAGGCACCAGCCATACCTCTACAACCAAGCCCAAAACAACATCAGATATAGAACTCCAATATGCTGATGACAACGTCGTCTGTGCGCATTCAGAAGAAGACCTACAAGCCATTCTAAACACCTTCGCAGAAGCATACGAGAAGCTTGGCCTCTCATTGAGCATTGAGAAAACCAAAGTGCTCTTCCAGCAGGCACCAGCCATTCCTCTACAAAACCAAAACCAAAACAACATCTGTTATAGAACTCCAGTATGCTGATGACATTGCCGTCTGTGCGCATTCAGAAGAAAACCTACAAGCCACTCTAAACACCATTGCAGAAGCATATGAGAAGCTTGGCCTCTCATTGAGCATTGAGAAAACCAAAGTGCTCTTCCAGCAGGCACTAGCCATACCTCTACAAAACCGAGCCCACAACAACATCCGTTATAGAACTCCAATATGCTGATGACAACGTCGTCTGTGCTCATTCAGAAGAAAACCCACAAAGCACTCTAAACACCTTCGCAGAAGCATACGAGAAGCTCAGCCAAAGTGCTCTTCCAGCAGGCACCAGCCATACCTCTACAAAACCAAGCCCAAAACAACATCCATTATAGAATTCCAATATGCTGATGACAATGTCATCTGTGTGCATTCAGAAGAAGACCTACAAGCCACTCTAAACACCTTCACAGAAACATACAAGAAGCTCGGCCTGTCATTGAACATCAATCCCTCTCCAATGCCAGAAATATGATGATAATAATAATAATAATAATAATAATAATAATAATAATAATAATAATAATCTTTATTTCTATACTGTCCTCTCTCCCCGAAGGGACTAAGGGCGGTTTACAACAGAAATCTGGCAAACATTCAGTGCCGGCATAACATAACATAACATAACATAACATAACATAACATAACATAACATAACATAACATATCAAATCATAAACAATAAAATAAACAACATCAGGTGTACTTATAGAACAACTCAGAAATAACAAACTTAGACATTTAAATATATAATATAGCTTAATGGTGTAACATTAGAAAATGTTGACCATTTCTGCTGCCTTGGCAGCCACCTCTCCACAAAAGTCAACATTGACACTGCAATACAACACTGCCTGAGCTCTGCGAGTGCAACATTTTTCTGAATGAAGCAGAGAGTTTTGAGGACTGGGACATCCGTAGGAATACCAAGGTGCTTGTTTATAAAACTATTGTCCTCCCAACCCTGCTATATGCCTGCAAAACATGGACTGTCTACAGACGTCGCATGCAACTCCTGGAATGATTCCATCAGCGCTGCTTCCAGAAAATCCTGCAAATCTCTTGGGAAGAGAAGTGAACAAATATCAGCATGTTGGAATAAGCAAAGACCACCAGCATTGAAGCAATGGTCCTCCGCCATCAACTCCGCTGGACCGGTCACGTTGTCCGGATGCCCGACCACCGTCTCCCAAAGCAGTTGCTCTACTCCGAACTCAAGAATGGAAAACGGAATGTTGGAGGACAGGAAAAGAGATTGAAAGATGGGCTCAAAGCCAACCTTACAAACTCTGGCATAGACACTGAGAACTGGGAAGCCCTGGCCTGTGAGCACTCCAGTTGAAGGTCAGCTGTGACCAGCAGTGCTGCAGAATTTGAAGATGCACAAATAGAGGGCGGAAGAGAGAAACGTGCCAAGAGGATGGGCGTCAAGCCAACCCGACCGGGACTGCCTTCCACCTGGAAACCAATGCCCTCACTGTGGAAGAACATGCAGATCAAGAATAGGGCTCCACAGTCACCTACACACCCACCACCAATACACCGATCTTGGAAGACAATCCTACTCGGACAATGAGGGATCGCCTAAGTAAGTAAGTACATGTTTTGAAAAATGAAATGGCGAGTCTCGTTGATCAATTTTTATTTTATTTTCTTCTTCTCTTCTTCCTTCTCTCCCCAAATCCTTTAGGCCGTTCCCTTCGGAAGAAACCACCCAGAATGATGACGATGTCTATCGGAGTTTGGAGGAATTGGCGGAGTAAGTGTGTCTTTACTGAAGAATTTGATTCCACTTGAACTGCCATGGCGCAATGTGATGGAATCCCGAAAGTTGTAGTTTGGGGAGGCACCAGCCCTCTTGGACAGAGAACGGTAAAGACGTCATCAAGCTACAACTCCGAGGATGCCGTAGCATTGAGGGATGGCAGTCCAATTGGGGCTGAATTGCATTGTTTTGATGCTGTGAGTTCACTCCCATAACATCGTAGAGAATACTCTTGGGCACTAGAAGTCTATATAAGGGAGACAATCCCATTGGAAAGAGGTTTTTACCAGTGAGAGAAATGCTGGTGTGTTTTCTTCCAGCGAGCACGATTTGGGGGAGGACATTTACGACTGCGTCCCGTGTGAAGATGAAGGGGACGACATCTATGAGGACATCATCAAGGTGGAGGTGCAGCAGCCCATGGTGAGATGAAAGTGAAGAGAGGGGAATTGGGAGTGGCCCAACCTCCAAACCCTGGGTGTCCCAGACCATTTTTCTCATTTATTTATCTTGTTCAGAAACAAATTGAGGATACGGTATAAGGCATTAAAAAAACACAAAGTTTTGACCAGAAGCTGCCACTGGTGTTGCTATAAGAAGGTCCTCCATTGTGCATGTGGCAGGGCTCAGGTTGCATTGTAGTAAGTGGTCTGTGGTTTGCTCTTCTCCACACTCGCATGTCATAGACTCCACTTTGTGGCCCCATTTCTTAAGGTTCGCTCTGCATCTCATGGTCCCACAGAGCAGTCTGTTCAGTGCCTTCCAGGTCTGTGTGCCCAGGAGGGAGTTTCTCATCTGGTATCAGCCACTGATTGAGATGCTGAGATTTTGCCTGCCACTTTTGGACTCTCACTTGCTGAGGTATTCCTGCAAGAATCTCCCCTCCCTCCCTCCCTCCCCTTTTCTTCTTTCCTTCTCTCCTTCCTTCCTTCCTTCTTTCCTTTCCTTCCTTCCTCCTTCCTTCCTTCCTTCCTTCCTTCCTTCCTTCTCTACCTCTTTCCTTCCTTCCTTTCTCTCCTTTCTTCCTTCCCTACCTCGTCCTTCCCTCACTTTTTGCTTTCATCCTTCCTTCTCTCTTTCCTCCTTTTCTTCCCTCCCTCTTTCTCTCTTCCTATTCCTCCTCTTTTGTTCCTTCTTTCCTTCCTTCTCTTTCTTCCTGCTCTACCTCTTTCCTTCTCTTTCCTTCTTTCCCTCTTTCCTTCCTTCCCTTTTCTTCTTTCCTTCTCTCCTTCTCTACCTCTTTCCTTCCTTCCTTTCTTCTTCTTTTGCTTCCATCCTTCCTTTCTCTCTTTCCTTCCTTCTTTCCTTCCCCCCCTCCCTTTTTTATACTGCCCTGTTTCGTGGATTTATATACCTACTAGCTGTCCCCGCCACGCGTTGCTGTGGCCAACCTCCCCTCCCTCTTTCTCTCCTTCATTCCCTCCTTCCTTCGCTCCCTCTTTCCTTCCTTCCCTTTTTTTCTTTCCTTATCTCCTTCCTTCCTTCTCTACCCTCTTTCCTTCCTTCCTTCGCTTTTTGCTTCTTCCTTCTCTCTTTCCTTCTTTCTTTCTTTCCTTCCTTCCCTCTCTTTCTTCCTGCTCTACCTATTTCCTTCCTTCCTTCTCTTTCCTTCTTTCCCTCTTTCCTTCCCTCCCTTTTTTCTTTCCTTCTCTCCTTCTCTCCTTCTCTACCTCTTTCCTTCCTTCCCCCTTTTTCTTTTCCTTCTATTTCTCTGCTTTCTTCCTTCTGTACCTCTTTCCTTCCTTTTTTCGCTCTTTGCCTTCATGCTTCCTTCTCCCTTTCCTCCTTTCTTTCCCTCCCTCTTTCTCTCCTTTCTTCCTATTCCTCCTCTTTTGTTCCTTCACTCTTTGCTTCGATGCTTCTTTCTCTCTTTCCTTCGCTCTTTCTTTCTTTCTTTCTTTCTTTCTTTCTTTCTTTCTTTCTTTCTTTCTTTCTTTCTTTCTTTCTTTCTTTCTTTCTCCCCTTCCTTCCTTCCCTCTTCTTTCCCTTTTCTTCTGTATTGTCATTTAGTTTTTTGGGGTTTTTAAGTCCTTTCTGCTGTATTTCTTTTTGGGGAGGGGTATGAGTGATGGTCACTCATTGGTCTGTTAGGGGTATAGTGTCCAAATTTCATATCAATTCATCCAGGAGTTTTTGAGTTATGTTAACACCACAAACGAACATTACATTTTATTGATATGGATTATTATTATTATTATTATTATTATTATTTATGTTATTATTTATTTCCCGAAGGCGACTCAAAGCAGCTTAACATAAAACTTAAAATATACAACTATGCAAACATTAAAACAGAATCAAATATAAACAGTGTTCAAAAATTCATAGGTAAAACCCATTAAAATATTCAAAACACATTTTTGGAGATTCTTTTTTTGAGTTTTCTTAATGGGAACCCCAAATTTTTTTGGAGGATTTTGAAAGGGAAATCCCAATTTTTGGGAAGTTCCTTCAAGGCGATCTGCTCAACGCAAAAGCGTGCCTTTCTTTAGCAAGCAGAAAGTGAGTGGAAAAGTTGAATTTCTGGGCAAAGGATAAAAATAGCAACCAGATGGCAAGCGGCCCCAGCGGGTTGTCACCATTGCTTTCCTCAAAATCGAGAGAGATGGGAAACGGGGGAGAACGTCGGAAAGGGGGGCTCGCAATTAACCAGCTGCGTGTCTTCTTTGCCGAGAGTATTTTTAGCTTCCGGCAAGTGTTGACAGATCCTGCCGATCACCTTGGGCATCCTTTCCTCTATTTTATCTCCTTCAACCTTTTACAAATCTCACCTGATGCCAGGCAACTTACTTGCTTTGAAATGGTTGAACAAAAGCTCTCCAAAGCTTGCTCCATCAATGTTCAACATGCACACAAATGACCAGCCACTGCCAGAACGGACAGAATTTCATCTATGCTGACAATCATGCCATCACCACTCAAGCAGGGAGCTTTGAAATGTTGAACAGAAGCTCTCCAAAGCTAGCTCTGTCAATGTTCAACATGCACACAAATGACCAGCCACTGCCAGAACGGACAGAGAATTTCATCTATGCTGACGATCATGCCATCACCATTCAAGCAGGGAGCTTTGAAATGGTTGAATATAAGATCTCAGAAGCTAGCTCTGCCAATGTTCAACATGTACACAAATGACCAGCCACTGCCAAAAGGAACAGAGAGTTTCATCTATGCTGATGATCGTGCCATCACCATCCAAGCTTTGAAATGGTTGAATACAAGCTCTCCGAAGCTAGCTCCATCAATGTTCAACATGTACACAAATGATTAGCCACTGGCAAAAGGAACAGAGAGTTTCATCTATGCTGGCGATCATGCCATCACCACTCAAGCAGGGAGCTTTGAAATGGTTGAACAGACATTCTCCAAAGATAGCTCCATCAACATGCACACAAATGACCACCCACTGGTAAAAGGAACAGAGAGTTTCATCGATGCTGACGATCATGCCATCACCACTCAAGCAGGGAGCACTGAAATGGTTGAATATAAGATCTCCGAAGCTAGCTCTGCCAATGTTCAACATGTACACAAATGACCAGCCACTGCCAAAAGGAACAGAGAGTTTCATCTATGCTGATGATCGTGCCATCACCATCCAAGCTTTGAAATGGTTGAATACAAGCTCTCCGAAGCTAGCTCCATCAATGTTCAACATGTACACAAATGATTAGCCACTGGCAAAAGGAACAGAGAGTTTCATCTATGCTGGCGATCATGCCATCACCACTCAAGCAGGGAGCTTTGAAATGGTTGAACAGACATTCTCCAAAGATAGCTCCATCAAAACATGCACACAAATGACCACCCACTGGTAAAAGGAACAGAGAGTTTCATCGATGCTGACGATCATGCCATCACCACTCAAGCAGGGAGCTTTGAAATACATGAACATAAGCTCTCCAAAGTTAGCTCCATCAATGTGTTCAACATGCAAACAAATGACCTGCCACTGCCAAAAGGAACAGAGTTTCATCTATGCTGATGATTGTGCCATCACCGCCCAAGCTTTGAAATGGTTGAACACAAACTCTTCGAAGGATGCTCCATCAATGTTCAACATAGAATCATAGAATCAAAGAGTTGGAAGAGACCTCATGGGCCATCCAGTCCAACCCCATTCTGCCAAGAAGCGGGAATATTGCATTCAAATCACCCCTGACAGATGGCCATCCAGCCTCTGTTTAAAAGCTTCCAAAGAAGGAGCCTCCACCACACACCGGGGCAGAGAGTTCCACTGCTGAACGGCTCTCACAGTCAGGAAGTTCTTCCTAATGTTCAAATGGAATCTCCTTTCTTGTAGTTTGAAGCCATTGTTCCTTGTCCTAATCTCCTAATCTCTTTTTGTGAGAAGACTGATGCAAAGAAGACAAAGAAGGCATTAAGTAGTTCTGCCTTTTCCCTATCCCCTGTCAGCATTGCCCCATCTTCTCCTCGAAGAGGCTCTATCACCTCCTTGTTTTTCCTTTTTCTACTGACATAAGAAAAGAACCCCTTTTGATTGTTTTTAATGTCCCTGGCAAGCCTGAGCTCATTTTGTGCTTTAGCCTTGCGGACCTTTTCCCTACAGGTGTTGGCTATTTGTTTGAATTCTTCTTTGGTGATTTCTCCCTTTTTCCACTTCTTGTGCATGTCTCTTTTGTGTCTTAGCACAGTTAGAAGTTCTTTGGACATCCATTCTTTGCACTTGTCCCTGTGCTCATTTTGTGCTTTAGCCTTGTGGACCTTTTCCCTACAGGAGTTGGCTATTTGTTTGAATTCTTCTTTGGTGATTTCTCCCTTTTTCCACTTCTTGTGCATGTCTCTTTTGTGTTTTAGCACAGTTAGAAGTTCTTTGGACATCCATTCTGGCTTCTTTGCACTTGTCCTATTTTTTCTCTTTGTTGGCACGGTTTGCAATTGCGCCTTCAGTAGGTGTTTGTTTGAATTCTTCTTTGGTGATTTCTCCCTTTTTCCACTTCTTGTGCATGTCTCTTTTGAGTCTTAGCACAGTTAGAAGTTCTTTGGACATCCATTCTGGCTTCTTTGCACTTGTCCTATTTTTCCTCTTTGTTGGCACTTTGTTGGACCTTTTCCCTACAGGAGTTGGCTATTTGTTTGAATTCTTCTTTGGTGGTTTCTCCCTTTTTCCACTTCTTGTGCATGTCTCTTTTGTGTTTTAGCACAGTTAGAATGTTCTTTGGACATCCATTCTGGCTTCTTTGCACTTGTCCTATTTTTTCTCTTTTTTGGCACAGTTTGCATAATAAGAGTAGCAAAATTACCGTTATGAAGTAGCAACGGAAATATGGTTGGGGGTCACCAAAACATGATGAATTCTATTTAGGGGTCACGGCATCAGAAAGGTTGAGAACCACTGCATTATAACTATATCCTCAATTCGCTTCTGGCACGATAAATAAATAAATAAATGGGCAATAAAATATTCAGGGGACATAATATTCACCTCTGGACCCATCTCAATAGCTCAGAATATATAATTCTGCAAATCTACAACAGATTTGCAGAATCTCAAACAGACTCAAACAATGATGGATCTGGACCAAACTTGGCACAAATATTCCATATGCCCAAATATGAACATGGAGTTTGGGGGAAATAGACGTTGACATTTGGGAGTTGTAGTTACTGGGATTTACAGTATATGTAAACAATGGGAAGAATCACCATGTTGCAATAGGTACAAGTTTGGCTTTGGGGATAAAAGTATGCACGTCCTCCATAGAAAAAGCACTTTTTTAATTTCCCCCCAAACTTCATTGACCCGACACCTTTTTTTTTGTCTTAAACGAAGGATGAAAAAACATATAATCATTTGTATTTGCTTCTTATCTCTGCATGCTTCAGATCAGATATATGCAGGTAAGTTTCCCGTCCAATCTCCGTCGCACTGCTCCATCATCGGACCACCTTGGTCCTGTTTGAATGCCGTCAAAAACAACCAGTTGAATATTTTGAAAAGTAACTTTTTGGAGCTCTGCTTGCACTCCATGCAGCACTGACTCCCTTTGGTAGAAGATCTGCCCATTTTGGTTTCTCTCCCTCTAGAAAATGGGAATGACGGAGGATGACAAAAGAAACTGCTGTTTGCTGGAAATTCAGGAGACGGAGGCCAAATACTACAAGACCCTGGAGGAGATCGAAAAGGTGAGGATAATGGACGTCTCAACAATGCTTCAATATATTGCACCATCTTGTTGTGTTCGTTATTTGAAACACAACAAGATGAGTTCACAACAAACAAGATTGTTCTGCTGGCTGTTGTATTGGATCCCACCTCGGACACTTCCCCCTTTTATTATGTGTATAGATTATCATTATATCTATATCTCTATCTATCTATCTATCTATCTATCTATATATCTATATATATATATAAATGCTCTGTGCATAATGAGTACCTTAAAAACAAAAGAACCAATGAATGAAATCATACCACATTTGGCAACAAAACATCTCACAACACAAGGAGTGACCATCACTCAAAAAAATATGATTTTGTCATTTGGGAGTTGTAGTTGCTGGGATTTATAGTTCACCTACTATCAAAGAGCATTCTGAACTCCATCAACGATGGAATAGATCCAAACTTGGCACACACAACTCCCAAGACCAACAGAAAATACTGGAAGGGTTTGGTGGGCATTGGCCTTGAGTTTGGGAGTTGTAGTTCACTTACATCAAGGGAACACTGTGGACTCAAACAATGATGGATCTGGACCAAACTTGGCACAAGCACTCAATATGCCCAAATATGAACACAGATGGCATTTGGGGGGAATAGACCTTGACATTTGGGAGTTGTAGTCACTGGGATTCACAGTTCACCTACAATCAAATTGCTTTCTGAACCCCACGAATGGTAGAATCGGGGCAAACTTCCCACACAGAACCCCCATGACCAACAGAAAATACTTAGGGCCATCCAATCCAACTCTCTTTACCAGGGCAAGAAAACATAATCAAAGTCCTCCTGACAAAGAGCCATCCAGCCATAGATATAGACAGACAGACAGATAGATAGGGAGTTGTAGTTGCTGGGATTTATAGTTCACCTGCAATCAAAAAGCATGATAGAATTGAACCAACCAGGTCATACAGGACTCCCATAACCAACAGAAAACACCAGAAGGGTTTGGTGGGCATTGACCTTGAGTTTGGGAGTTATAGTTCACCTACATCAAAAGAGCACTGTGGACTCAAACAATGATGGATCTGGACCAAACTTGGCATGAATATTCCATATGCCCAAATATGAACATGGAGTTTGGGGGAAATAGATGTTGATATTTGGGAGTTGTAGTTGCTGGGATGTATAGTTCACCTACAATCAAACAGCATTCTGAACTCCACCAATGATGGAATTGAACCAAAATGACACACAGGCTTCCCATGACCAACAGAAAACACTAGAAGGGTTTGGTGAGCATTGACCTTGAGTCTGGGAGTTGTAGTTCACCTACATCAAGAGAGCACTGTGGACTCAAACAATGATGGCTGCGGACCGAACTTGGCACAAATATTCCATATGCCCAAATATGAATGCAGATGGAGTTTGGGGGAAATAGATGTTGACATTTGGGAGTTACTGGGATTTATAGTTCACCTACAGTCAAAGAGCATTCTGAATTCTAAGAACGACAGAAATGGGGCATACTTCCCACACAGAACCCCCGTGACCAACAGAAAACACTTACGGCCATCCAGTCCTACTCCCTTCACCAGGGCAAGAAAACTTAATCAAAGCCCTCCTGACAAAGAACCATCCAGTCATAGATATAGATAGATAGATATGATTCACACACACACACACACACACAGATATAGTATCCTAGATTTGAAAGGGACCCCTAAAGAAGGACAATGATATGTTGATTGTTCCAGAGTAAGCAAACCAGACACTCTCCACATCAACACTGACAAAGAAACAGCAAGAAATACTGTTTACCCACAAGCAGAAAGACATTACATATATTAGAAACCAAAACCTTCTCATTATTTTATTTTCCAGATCACGAGACTGAGCCACAGCAACACGTGGCAGGGGACGGCTAGTTTAAAAAAATGCAAATATGCAAACATTAGAACAGAATTAAATCTAAACAATATGACAGAATTTAGAGTTAAAACCCATTAAAACATAGGGTTTTAAAACACAAATCACATTTGCTTCTCTGTTGCATTTGCAGAACTACATGAATCCCTTACGGTTGATCCTGACTCCGCAAGACATGGAAGCCATATTTATCAATCTGGAGGTAAATGTTGTCCGTCGCCCCCCAAAACTTCATAATATGGGAAACTTGGTCAATCCCAAGACATTGCTAGACCAGATCTTCCTCTTCCTCTGAAGATAAGTAGTGTTTACATCATTCTCCTCCCTGGTTTGCATAAGCTTTGCCGTTGTATCTTTCCTTATAGGACCTCATCAAAGTCCACTTCAACTTCCTGAGAGCCATCGACGTGTCCATGATGTCTGGAGGGAGCAGCTTGGCCAAAGTGTTTCTAGAATTCAAGGAAAGGTACAAAAGATGGGGGAAGTTGTATTGTCGAAGGCTTTTGTGACCGGAATCACTGGGTTGTTGTAGGTTTTTTGGGCTGTATGGCCATGTTCTAGAAGCAAAAACAAGGTCCGTAGGCATATAAATCCATGAAACAGCATGATAAATCCAATACACAAATCAGGAGCTTGGCAAAAACTTGATGCATGAAACTAAGAACACTCAAGAGCAAGGCTAGACATGAAATTCCAACGTTGACCCAACTGAGGCAACTCATAGAATCATAGAGTTGGAAGAAAATTCGTGGGCCAACCCCATTCTGTCAAAAAGCAGGAAAATCACATTCAAGCACCCCCAACAGATGGCCATCCAGCTTCTGTTTAAAAGCCTCCAAAGAAGAAACCTCCACCACACTCCGGGGCAGAGAGTTCCACTGCTGAACAGCTCTCACAGTCAGGAAGTTCTTCCTAATGTTCAGATGGAATCTCCTTTCTTGTAGTTTGAAGCCATTGTTCCACGTCCTAGTCTCCAGGGAAGCAGAAAACAAGCTTGCTCTCTCCTCCCTATGACTTCCTCTCACATATTTATACATGGCTATCATGTCTCCTCTCAGCCTTCTCTTCTTCAGGCTAAACATGCCCAGCTCCTTAAGCCGCTCCTCATAGGGCTTGTTCTCCAGACGCTTTATCATTTTAGTTGCCCTCCTCTGGACACATTCCAGCTTGTCAATATCTCTCTTTCAGTTGTGGTGCCCAGATTTGGACACAGTATTCCAGCTGTGAGAGCCGTTCAGCAGTGGAACTCTCTGCCCTGGAGTGTGGTGGAGGCTCCTTCTTTGGAAGCTTTTAAACAGAGGCTGGATGGCCATCTGTCAGGGGTGATTTGAATGCAATATTCCTGCTTCTTGGCAGGGGGTTGGACCGGATGACCCATGAGGTCTCTTCCAACTCTTTGATTCTATGAGTTGCCTCAGTTGGGTCAACACTGGAATTTCATGTCTAACCTTGCTCTCAAGTGTTCTTAGTTTCATGCATCAAGTTCTATGATTCTATGATTGTTGTTGTGTGCTTTCAAGTCATTTCAGACTTAGGTTGACCCTGAGCGAGGGCCAGGTAAATGACTTTGGAGGGCCGTATCTGACCCTTGGGCCTTAGTTTGAGGACCCCTGGTCTATGCCATTGAGTGTTTTCCATGTAAATGTGCATTCTGATCCGCTCTGAGTCCCCTGCAGGGTGAGAAAGGTGGAATAGAAATACTGTAAATAAATAATCCTTGGAGCTGCACAAAACAGCACCTTTTCTCCCTCTTTAATGCAGGCTCCTGATTTATGGGGAATACTGCAGCCGGATGGAGAACGCTCAGACGACGCTCAACCATCTCATGGCCAACCGAGAAGATGTGCGGCAAAAAGTCGAGGTGATGGCGGGTTGGGGATGCAGGAAGCTTTCTTGATCCAACCCTCTTTTCCTCTTCCTAACTGCACTCTTCTTTGCCTTGAAAAACCGTTAGCCAGATATTAATGGCGTTGCTCTTTCCAATGCATTATGTATCCCTCAAGAGTTGGGTGTGTTTGTGTTTGGAAACCTCATTTTGGAATTTATCCGAACTCTATTTTACTCATCTACCATTTTGTTTTTGTTTGTTTCCCCTGAAGGAATGTACCTTGAAGGTTCAGGACGGGAAGTTCAAACTGCAAGACTTGTTGGTGGTGCCGATGCAAAGGGTCTTGAAGTATCACCTCTTGTTAAAAGTACGTTTTGTCAGACTCTGGAATATCTAAAAATGCGGGTATTCCGAAATCCCATTCTAACAATACTCAGAGCATCACAAACCTGTGGTTGCAATTGTCTTTCAGGAGCTCCTCAGCCATTCGTCCGATCGGCCAGAGAAGCAGTCGCTGAAGGAAGCCCTGGAGGCGATGCAGGTAGGAAACCCCTTTGAGATGAAACCAGAAAGGTCCCTTTTGAAGTTTAATTCAAGGATGTGGAGCTGTTGTTCTGCCTTCACTTGTCTTTTGCAGGTAGACTTTGGTATCACTGCCGTGTAGAGAGAACGAGCAGTGCCAGTCGTCAGTAGCTCATCGACTGCTGTGGTGGTGGAGGTTAGAAATGAGTGTCCTCATTCCATTTCCCCCCAAGTGTGAAGTTTATGCTGTAATATGCCACCTAAATAATAATAATAATAACAACAACAACAACTTTATTTTTATGCCATGTCAGTTGATGAGCTACTGACGACTGGCACTGCTCGTTTTCTTCTGCTGGGTTCCCGCTACATGGCAGTGATACCAACTTTCCCTGCAAAAATTCCCCGCAAGAGCTACGTGCCTTGTAACTTTACTTTAAGGATAATGCTAAGGGCATGAACGCCACTGCGATTCATTGTGAAATCATTTCAGTTTATGGAAAGGATGCAATGTCAAGACAGCATGTGACAAAATGGGTATGGAATATATTGTGAGACTATGAAGAAACATCTCAGAGCCACCCAAAACAAACATTGTGGGATGCTGATATTGGGAGTCTGACTCCTTCATGACAATTCGTGTCCGCATGCCGCTCATGCAACACAAGAGTTCTTGACTTCATTTACTTGGGATGTTTGAAGCCACAGCCCTGATCTTGCACTCAGTGAGAGATCTGGGTGGAAAATTCTTTTCCAACGAAATGAAAATCAAAGTGACGAACTGGCTGAAAAAGGCAGAAGGAAACAGAAGAAGAGAAGATGTAGCTAAAAGAAATACCAGGATTACAAATGGAAACAAAGTAAAATGCTTAGGGATTTTATTTATCGTGTCATCAGCAACCATTGTATTACAATTCTAACAGAGCAAAACAAACACAGAGATTAAAAAGAAAAAAAAAAAAAGAAAGAAAGAAAAAACCACACAGATTTTGTAAATTTGGTATTTGGTTAAATGTCCTTTGACCAGTATCTGGCCACTTGGAGTGCCTCTGGTGTTGCCGCAAGAAGGTCCTCTTTCGTGCATGTGGCAGGGCTCAGGGTGCATTGCAGCAGGTGGTCAGTGGTTTGCTCTTCTCCACACTCGTATGCCGAGGATTCCACCCTGTAGCCCCATTTCTTAAGATTGGCTCTGCATCTTGTGGTGCCAGAGCGCAGTCTGTTCAGCGCCTTCCAAGTTGCCCAGTCTTCTGTGTGCCCAGGGGGGAGTCTCCATCTGGTATCACCCACGGATTGAGGTTCTGGGTTTGAGCCTGCCACTTTTGGACTCTCGCTTGCTGAGGTGTTCCAGTGAGTGTCTCTGTAGATCTTAGAAAACTATTTCTAGATTTAAGTCGTTGACGTGCTGGCTGATACTCAAACAGGGGATGAGCTGGAGATGTCTCTGCCTTGGTCTTTCACTATTGGCTGCTACTTCCCGGCGGATGTCAGGTGGTGCAATACCGGCTAAGCAGTGTAATTTCTCCAGTGGTGTAGGGCGCAGACACCCCGTGATAATGCGGCATGTCTCATTAAGAGCCACATCCACTGTTTTAGTGTGGTGAGAAGTGTTCCACACTGGGCATGCATACTCAGCAGCAGAGTAGCATAGCGCAAGGGCAGATGTCTTCACTGTGTCTGGTTGTGATCCCCAGGTTGTGCCAGTCAGCTTTCGTATGATGTTGTTTCTAGCGCCCACTTTTTGTTTGATGTTCAGGCAGTGCTTCTTGTAGGTCAGAGCACGATCCAGAGTGACTCCCAGGTATTTGGGTGCGCTGCAATGCTCCAGTGGGATTCCTTCCCAGGTAATCCTCAGAGCTCGGGATGCTTGTCTGTTCTTAAGGTGAAAAGCACATGTCTGTGTTTTAGATGGATTAGGGATCAGCTGGTTTTCCCTGTGTAGTAAGAGCACCTAGAGCTTCGGATAGCTTCTGTTCAACCATCTCAAAGCTCCCTGCTTGAGCAGTAATGGCACGATCATCAGCATAGATGAAACTCTCTGTCCCTTCTGGCAGTGGCTGGTCATTTGTGTAAATGTTGAACATGGATGGAGCAAGCACACTCCCCTGAGGCAGGCCGTTCTTCTGTTTCCGCCATCTGCTTCTCCAGAAGCGACCAGAAGAAGAAAAGAGGTAGCTAAAAGAAATACCAGGATTACAAATGGAAACAAAGTAAAATACTTAGGGATAACACTTGCAAATAAGAATATGAAACGAACCCAAAGTGGATAACCATCCCAAGAACTCAAAAGTCATAATTGTCTCAAGACCTCAAAAGGCATAATTTCCCCAAGACCTCAAAGGGACAGCCCTTCCAAGTACCCAAAAAGGGATAAAGGTTCCAAGACCCTGAAAGGGATAATCACGCCAAGAACTCAAAATGAATACCCATCCCGAAAACTCAAAAGTCGATGTATTGTCGAAGGCTTTCATGGCTGGAATCACTAGCTTCTTGTGGGTTTTTCGGGCTATAGGGCCATGTTCTATGCCTCTAGAACATGGCCCTATAGCCCGAAAAAACCCACAAGAACCTAACTCAAAAGTCATTTCAAACTTTGGTTGGAAATTGATGGATGAGCCTTTGACAGCTTTCCAAAAAATTCCCTTGCAATGCAGTGTAATTGAAATGCATCCCTTGGTCTCGCAACCGGAAGGGCTCCCCGGTCGTCCTGAAAAGGCTGAGCACTAGAAGGCCAAGGTCTCATTCCGAGGACAGTTCTGAAGACAGACTTGCGGCGCTTCCGACGAGGCCTTAATCTTTGTTTGTCTTGCTAACCGCCGCTGCCAGAAAGGATTGGGCAGCCAGGGGACGGCGTGATGTTACGAGACGTGCCACTTTGAAGTTTGGCACACTGCCACGGAAGGTTTGGACCCCAGGGCTCGTCTTTGAAGATTTTCTTCCCTTTTATATACAAAACTGACAGGAAACAGAGCCGAGAGGGGAAGGAGAGGGAAGAGGAGGCCGTGCAAAGAAACAGAGTGCAGTACAGAGGCGTTGCAATGGAAGGGCTCCTTCCTTCCTTCCCTCACTCCCTACCTCTCTTATCCTTCCTTCCTTCATTAGAATTCAAGGTAGCTGGCACAAGATGGTTGATGGTTCCTACCAATGTTTTCAACATGCTTTTTGGTCTTTGTTTTCAGGATCTAGCCATGTACATCAATGAGGTGAAACGGGACAAAGAGACGTTGAAGAAAATAAGCGAATTTCAGAGCTCTATCGAAAACTTGGTAATTAAGTCTGTTGTTTTAGATGCACCACTTGTGGCTGGTGTTTGACATTTGTCATGCCACTCCTGTATTTTCCATTAATTATAACTCCCATCGGTCTTATGCTACAGCCGGTGAAACTGGAAGAATATGGGAGGCCAAAGATCGATGGAGAGCTGAAGGTCCGGTCCATAGTCAACCACACAAAGCAAGATAGGTAAGTGAGGAAGCAAAACATTATTATTATTATTATTATTATCTATATCTCTATTTATTGTATGTGTGTGTGTGTGTTTGGAGAATGTTTGTATGTGTGTATGTGGCAGCTTTCTGATTGGATGCCACTCCCACGGGCCACTGCAACCCCCATGAATGACGGACCTGGACCAAACTTGGCACACAGAACCACCATGTCCTGGTGTGTTTTAGGGGATGATGGACCACATCATGGTGTGGTTTAGGGGAGGATGGACCACAGATGATGGGATTTGCAATACTTCCCAATGTTCTGACTCCCAAAGACCATGGCTAAGCCCACTATTGATGGATCAGGACCAAACTTGGTACACAGAGCCCCCATGACCCACTCAACATCCTGGTGAGGTTTGGAGGAGGATGGACCATGGATGATGGCACATGCAGTACCTTCACTCACTTGGTGAGACCACTGCGACCAGAATGAATGATGGACCTGGAACAAACTTGACACACATAAGCCGCATGACCCACCTCACACCCTGGTGAAGTTTGGGAGAGGATGAACCATGAATTATGGGATTTGCAGTACTTTCCCCTGATTCACTTCCCATAGAAAACTGCGGCCCCCACCAAACTTGCCGCACAGACCCCCTCCCCATGACCTACTTTACGTCCTGGTGCAGTTTGGAAGAGTTTGGACCACGGATGATGGATTTTGCAGTACCTTCATTTACTCCAAGAGACCATTGCGACCCACACCAATGACTGATCAAGACCAAACTTGGCACACAGAGACCCCCATGACCCACTGTACATTTTGGTGCAATTTGGAAGAGTTTAGACCATCGATGATGGGACTTGCATTTCTTGAGACCACTACAACACACACCAATGACTGATCAAGGCCAAACTTGGCATACAGACCCCATGATGGGACTTGCATGTGGGAGTTGTAGTTTACCTGCACCCACTGAACCCAGGTGACATTGGATCTAGAGTAAACTTGGAGCACAGTCAAACAATATCTTTCTCAAATAATACGGGCACCGCTGGGAACTTAAGCTAGTTATTACTATTAGTAGTAGTAGTAATAATAGTATTATTTATTGTTTATTTACAGTATTTATATTCCGCCCTTCTCACCCCGCAGGGGACTCAGGGCAGATTACAATGCACATATACATGACAAACATTCAATACCATTTTTACAACATATATAGACAGACAGAGAGGCAATTTAACATTCCAGCTTTCCGGCTTCATGAGGGTATGCTCGATTCCGGCCACAAGGGGAGCTGCTGCTTCACTATCCACTAGTCACACCGAGTTCTTGATGGAGTACTTCCTCATTCTTACGCATGCTGCTGGAAGGTTTTATGGTGTTGTAAATTAATTAAATTAGCCTAAATTTCCTACTTGACAGATGCAACTGTCTTTTGGGCTGCATAGGTCAACAGCAAGCTAGACTATTAATGGTCGGGAGCTCACTCCGACCTGGGCTGGCTTCGAACTTATGACCTCTCAGTCAGTAGTGATTTAATACAGCTGGCTACTACTAACTAGCTATGCCACAGCCCGGTCCATTAATAATAATAATTCCACTGGGAATTACTACTTGGCCACTCGATATTTGTACAGACATCTCTTTAGCTGTGTCTCTTATCAACTTTTTTTTAATCTTTGTCAGGTATTTATTTCTATTCGACAAAGTAGTGATCGTCTGCAAGAGGAAAGGCTACAACTACGAGCAAAAGGACATCATCGAYCTGCTTTGCTACAAGATGACCGACGATCCCACGAACAACAAGGACATCAAGAAGGTGGGGGGACCAAAGAGGTTCTATGGGGACAACCTCATTTGAATGTTTACCAACACAAGGGATATGGGGCGGGGGGGGGGGGGMGTTTGAAGATGGCATCGGGGACTATCTGCACATCCTCTTAGTTTGGACCCTGGATTTGGGAGACTCYGTTCTAATCAATTCTGTCTCCCCGCTCACTTTCTCATGCTTCTCAGTCGCATGGAAAAATGGTAAGTGATGTCTACACACTCGAATGCGATTTTCTTTTCTGCCTTCATTGCACAGGTTGCATCCCTTTAGAAAGCCCATTGCATGCATGGTTAGAGCCAAACAGTCCTCTGAGGGTCCTGTCATCTTTGAGAAAAAGAACTGGTGGGGAGATGTGTTTGTGGATCACGTCAAATATAACCTGACCTCCTGCTCCTGTTTCAATCCACAGTGGTCTTACGGCTTCTACCTCACTCACCTCCAAGGCAAGCAGGGCTTCCAGTTCTTCTGCAAGACGGAAGACATGAAGAGGAAATGGATGGAGCAGTTCGAAATGGCCATGTGAGTGTCCCTTGTTTCACTGACAGTGATGGAGAGGTTGGGAAATAGGAGAAACTGTATTGGACATCTTAAGCAGAGTAATCGACTGACAAGGCAGAAGCTGAACATTAGCCAGTTCCATCCACCCAGGCTCCAGAGTAGGAGAGGAACAAACGTAGTCCTTAGGAGAAACTGTACTGGACATCCTAAGCAGAGTAATTGACTGAAAAGGCAGAAGCTGAACATTAGCCAGTTTCATCCACCCAGGCTCCAGAGTAGGAGAGGAACAAATTTAGTTCTTAGGAGAAACTGTATTGGACATCCTAAGCAGAGTAATTGACTGACAAGGCAAAAGGTGAACATTAGATAGACGAAGAGATCATCAGCCTTCTCTGCTAAAGGGGTTGCTAAGACCATCAGAATTATATGTATATGCGACCCCTCTGAAACCCCTTCGTGACCCCCACAGAGGTCCTGACCCCCAAGTTGAAAAACGCTGCTTTAGAAAAACCTGAAAAATTGCCCAGAGTGTTGCTTCTTGAAAAACAATAGCTATAGTATTGTCATGGCCAGGATCAATGGATTGTTGTGTGCTTTCTGGGCTGTATTGCCATGTACCAGTAGCATTCTCTCCTGATGTTTTGCCTGCATCTATGGCAGGCATCCTGAGAGGTTGTGAGGTCTCTGAGGATGTCTGCCATAGATGCAGGTGAAATGTCAGAAGAGAATGCTTCTGGAACATGGTCATACAGCCCGCAAAATACACAACAACCCAGATAGCTATGGTGTTGTTGCGGTTTCCTCCTTTTGAGCTCCTTGTGCTTTGCTTTCTTTGCAGGTCCAACATTAAGCCGGATAAAGCCATGGCCAACAACCACAATTTCCAGATGTACACCTTCGACAAGACGACCAACTGCAAAGCTTGCAAAATGTTTTTAAGGTGAGAGAAAAGAAAAGAGCCGGGGAGAGGGAAACTACAAGTTGTGTCTCCCTTCTCCGAAATGCTCTGACTTCTCTTTCCCCAGAGGGACCTTCTACCAAGGCTACCAGTGCATGAAGTGCAAAGTTGGGGCTCACAAGGAATGCTTGGAAATCATCCCGCCCTGCAAAATCAGTGAGTAAACAAATGGCTCGACCGTATCTTAGATATCTAAAGTCAAAGCTGGCCTTCTCAGAGCTGGAGATGAGAGAAAGCAGGCCTTCTCTGAACTGAAGGAGTAAGAAATTAGAGCTGGAGAAAGGTAGAAAGTAAGCCTCCTTTGAACTGAAGAAGCGGGGATTAGAGCTGTAGAAGGGCGAAAGTAAGCCTTCTCTGAGCTGGAGAAGGGAAAAGGAGGCCTTCTCTGAACTGGAGAAGGGAGAAAGTAGAACTGGAGAAGGGAAAAGGAGGACTTCGCTCAACCGAAGAAAAGAGAGCTAGAGAAGGGAGAAGGTAAGCCTTCTCTGGACTGAAGAAGGGAGAAATTTAGCCTTCTCTGAGATGTGGAAGGTAAAAAAGGAGGCTTTCTGTGAAGAAGGGAGAAAGTAGAGCTGGGCAAGGGAAAAGGAGGCCTTCTCTCAACCAAAGAAAAGAGAGCTAGAGAAGGGAGAAAGTAAGCCTTCTCTGAGCTGGAGAAGGTGAAAAAGGCCTTCTCTGAACTGGAGAAGGGAGAAAGTAGAGATGGAGAAGGGAGCAAGTAAGCCTTCTCGCAGCTGGATAAGGGGAAATGGAGGCCTTTTGTAAAGAAGGGAGAAAGTAGAGGTGGAGAAGGGAGAAAATTGAGCTGAAGAAGGAAGAAAGTAAGGCTTCTCTGAGTTGGAGAAGGGAAAAAACGAGGACTTGTCTGAAATGAAGAAGGGAGAAAGTAGAGCTGGAGAAAGGAAGGGAGGCCTTCTGGGAACTGAAGAAGGGAGAGAATAGAGCTGGAGAAGGGAGAAAGTAAGCCTTCTCTGAGCTGAAGAAGGGAAAAAAATAGACCGGCGGTGATTCCAATGACACCCAGGAACACAATAGCATTCAAAGATCTTATAATTGTGAAGGTAAGTCAAAAGGAGAGGGGTGTTAGGAAGGAAAAGAGGTGCTGGTAACAAGTAAACACGAAGGGAAAAGCAGGAGCTATTGTGGAGGGTGGGAACGAGACTATACCGCATGAGCGTAATTTCTTATCAGCGTAATTGGACCCATTTCCACCGGTTGGCTAAACAAGACGAGCGAGATTTCTATCTCTCCTTCCTGCACTGACCCTTCATTCCCTTTTTAATCTTTAACTTCTAGGTTCTCCGGCCGACCAGGTAAGCGCCATTGATTTTTACTGCCGTCTCTCCGGGAAGAATATGGGAGGGTTCGCACTGAGTATTAATGGGTGCGATGGCGTAATTGCAAGATTTGGGGGTGGAAAGAGGTTGCCCAAGTGGTGCCAAAGTGGATTAATTCTATAATGTAGATGCCCCCGTTCTCGGGGAAGAAGAGGTTGGGTGTAAACAAAGCGACGGGCAGATTGATTGCAGAATAATAAGATGTTAAAGCATTCTCCTCTTTTGTCTCTTGGCAGGACTTGCTGAATATAGGTAAGGCAGTAATTACTGTCGGCACGTTCCGTATTCATTTTGCAACCTTTGTTTCAGAATACGCACAAGCCATGACATCATTGTTGGCTCCAGAGACTTAACCGATAGGATTTTGGTCCTTAATAGGAATGCCGACAGGTTAATGCTCCTCTTTGCTTGTCACAATAGAGTTGAGGACTGTTGGGCTTCTCTGTGTTGCATTATTATGTTCTCATTTTTATTATTAACCCTTCCTTTATTTTTGGCACGTTGTCTAAATACTGTTAACTGATTCAAGCCAATGCCAATCTTTTCTAAATTAGCATGAACACCCTGTAATTTGTCAGGTTTCTTTGCACGTTCCTCAAGCAATGGATGTGCTTTTGCACATTGTTTAATACAGCTGCTGACAGGTAAATTAAGTACTAGCTAAACCCAACCACGCTTTGCTGTGGCTCAGTCTGATATGAAATGAATGAGACAGTAAATAAAAGTATTGTTGCAAACCGAGAGAACACATCATTCAATTCAACACCCTGCCTGTGACTGCTTGGTTTTTCTTATACTGCTGAGGTAAAAGGAAAGCTGTGCCATGATTGGTTGTTATTTCCTCTCCTCCTGCTCAGTAAAATGAAAGCTGTTCTATGATAGATTGATAATTCTTTTATTGCTGAGGTAAAAGGAAAGCAGCACAGCAATTGGTTGCTAGAGCTCAGTTTTCATTTCTTATACTGCTGAGGTAAAATGAAAGCTGCTCTGTGATAGGTTGATATTTTTACTGCTGAGGTAAAAGGAAAGCAGCGCAGCAATTGGTTGCTAGAGCTCAGTTTTCATTTCTTAAACTGCTGAGGTAAAAGGAAAGCTATACCATGATTGGTTGTTATTTCCTCTCCTGCTGCTGAGGTAAAATGAAAGCTGTTCTGTGATAGGTTGATAATTCTTTTACTGCTGAGGTAAAAGGAAAGCAGCACAGCAATTGGTTGCTAGAGCTCAGTTTTCATTTCTTATACTGCTGAGGTAAAATGAAAGCTGTGCCATGATTGGCTGTTATTTCTTCTGCTGCTGCTGAGGTAAAATGAAAGCTGTTCTGTGATAGGTTGATAATTCTTTTACTGCTGAGGTAAAAGGAAAGCAGCGCAGCAATTGGTTGCTAGAGCTCAGTTTTCATTTGTTATACTGCTGAGGTAAAATGAAAGCTAGGCTTCAAGGGGCTGCTTTGGGCATCAAAGATCCCACTTTGTCTTTTCCCAGGCTGCGTGTATTTGAATGCAACGTTGTGTCAAAATTTCATTTTACTCCAAAAATATATGCATATTGGGATCCAACATTGTGTCAAAATGTCAAGTCAATTGACCAACTACTTTCTGAGTTTTGCGAGCGAGAACATATGCAGGCTGACATTTTATATAGAAAGATTTGCGAGCTGGTTTATTTGCAACTCGAAACTTTTCCTCCTCTCCTCCGGAGAAACGGGGATTCAGCTCTCCCTTCTCCATTTCAGGTCCCAAAATGGTGGCCGTTCAGAATTATCACGGAAACCCGGCACCTCCTGGGAAACCTGTGTTGACTTTCCAAACCGGAGAAGTCATAGAGCTGCTCAGAGGGGATCCGGACTCACAATGGTGGGAGGTGAGTGCAAGGCTCCGGGATGGGTCAGGTTTTCCATGGGCACACACTTCTAATTGGGAAGAAAGGAATAGAGCGATGGGAAGGGGACAGGACACGTTGATACCTATGAGTGAGGCAACCTGAAGCAACAATGTTCTCAGCGTACCATAGATTTCATCCACTGAGAACCTTAGTGTCTAAGAGGGATAAGCTTTCTGCCCCATAACTGCACTGAAGTCATTAGGGTTCTTCTCCAACTCTGCCATTCTATGAGTCTCCTATGCTGAATTTTTTTGGGTTCTCCAATTTTGTGATTTTACGAGTCTCCTGCCTTGAAGTTCTCCTCCAACTCTGTGATTCTATGAGTATCCTATTCTGGGGTTCTTCTCCCACTGTGATTCTATGAATCTCCCATCTTGGGGTTCTTTGGATTCTTCTCCAACTGCAATTCTGAGTCCCCTACCTTGGGGTTCTCCTCCAAATCTGTGATTCTATGAGTCTCCTACCTTGGAGTTCAACTCCGTGATTCTATGAGTCTCACATCCTGGGATTCTTGGGGTTCTCCAACTCTGTGATTGTACAAGTCTCCTACCTAGGGGTTCTTCTCTAACTCTGCGATTCTATGAGTCTCCTGTTCTGGAGTTATTGGGGTTCTCCAACTCTGTGATTTTATGAGTCTCCTACCTTGGGGTTCTCTTCCAACTTCGTGGCTCTATTAATCTCCTATCTTGGGATTCTTCTCTAACTCTGTGATTCTATGAGTCTCTTATCCTTGGGGTTCTTCTCTAACTATGTGATTCTATGAGTCTCCTATCCTTGGGGTTCTTCTCTGTGATTTTATGAGTCTCCTTTCCTGGGATTCTTGGGGTTATCTAACTCTGTGATTCTATGAGTCATCTACCTTGGGGTTCTTCTCCAACTGTGATTCTGTTAATCTCCTACCTTGGGGTTCTTCTCCAATTCTGTGATTCTATGAGTCTCCCACCTTGAGGTTCAACTCTGTGATTCTATGAGTCTCCTATCCTGCAGTTCTTGGGGTTCCCCAACTTTGTGATTCTATTAGTCTCCTTCCTTGGTGTTCTTCTTCAGCTCTGTGATTCTGTGAGTGTCCTTCTTTGGGGTTCTCCTCCAGTTTTATGATTCTGTGATTTCCCTACCCTGATGGTTTCCATATCTTCATTTCAGGGACGGCTCATCTTGTCCAAGAAGTCTGGATATTTCCCCAGTTCGTTGGTGAAGCCCTGTCCTGTGGATGCAAGGGTGAGAATACTTGCGGGGTGGACCTAGGTAGACCGCCATGTGGCCCTCAAGGATTTATCTGTAATTTAATGTGACGTTTGGGCTGAAATAAGTCCCTTGGCCTTCCTCTAGTCTTGTGTCTAAAGGCCATTGAGTTGAAACCCAGCGTGCTCCTTTTGTTGACATGCCCCAATCCATGAATCTGATTTTTCTTCCAACGATCAACGGTGTAGGGGGCAGGGAGGCTACTTTTCTCCTCTCTTGTCCTTGCAGCTAATCACTCGTAAAAATAGTTGGACACACTCGCTGCCAGGAAAAGCCATTCGAAATGATATATCGCCTAATTAGACTATTCTCTATGGCAGTAATATTCTCTATTTTCTTTACCGTAGCCTCCCATTTCCCGGCCTTCCTCGCGAGAGATGGACTACTCAGCTTATCCTTGGTGAGTGCACCTGTAAGAACCGAGAAAGGATTATCAAAGGGATATGAGATGTTTAACCTGTGCTACAGTTAGATTTTGCTTTTGTGGAGTTGTTATTCACAGATTTGATTAATAGTTTATCTCTGTTGCACTATGCCCCTGAAGGATCTTTTCACTACAAACCACACACTATACAGATGATCCAATGTAAGAAATTGCTAGACCCTCCAGTATGACTCTGTGGTCTAGTTTTGTCATAGAGTCGCACTGGAGAACCTAGAGATTCCTAGAGAAAACATGTCTTTAGGCATTTGTTGGTCCACCAGCATGATTCAATGGTAGACCATCCACCCGTTTTCTGTAGTTCACAAAAATGGGCTAAGGACTCAACTTGGCCCAAACTTGTGAGATACAAGTGGGCAGCATTGGGACAAATACGGGTGTCGTTCTGATGAGTGTATTTCCCCCTTTTAGGTTTGCAGGCAATATGGAGAGGCAGCAGACAGACAACCTCCTCAAGTTGCACTCCAGTGGGACGTACCTGATCCGCGAGAGACCGGCAGAAGCTGAACGTTTTGCTATCAGCATTAAGTAAGTGAGTTCCCTTACAGTATGAGCGCATCCCTGATTTCCTCTAGGGCTCGTTCACTTGTCTTTTAACACTCTGTGGTATTTATTTGTGAAACTCTCCTCCAGCCCCCTATTTCGAGTGAGTTTCTTCTCATATGCGTTCGCTTTTGCCAAGAGTGCATCGGCCCATGCTCAGTTGCCTTTGCCAGCTATTTCACATTTGGCTGCTTTGTTCCAGCCATTTGGAGGATAGAGGCGAGGTTGGAATTCCTCCCCCATCTGTTCCCGATCTCCCTGAATTCCCTTTATTTCCTCCCCAGGTTTAACGACGAAGTGAAGCACATCAAGGTGGTGGAGAAGGACAATTGGATCCACATCACCGAAGCCAAAAAATTTGAAAGCCTTTTGGTATGGTGTGTTTTTATGAACGTCAGCTTTGCGGATCGTTCGTTTCTCGTTGGCTATGATTAAGCTCTTGGGTTTTGCTCTGCCCCACGTAGGAACTCGTTGAATACTATCAAACCCATTCCTTGAAGGAGAGCTTTAAACAACTGGACACGACACTGAAGTATCCTTACAAATCTAGGGAACGCGTTGCATCCAGAACCTTGACGCGATCGCCAGGTAATAAGAAGATGTTAGAGTCCATCTTTGACGAGTGTGAATCCTGCCGTATTATAGCCCAGTGGCATAAAAATACGTATAATGTGTACCAAAGGCCCAATTAGTTTTGGTTGAAGAATATGGAGGTGACTGGAAAGAGATTTGATGAGAAACCTTTCCTGTTTCATAAGCAATGCATCCGCACTGTTCTGGGATCTATTATGATGAATGTTACGTCATCTGCATTCGTATTATTGTGATTGGCTTTATTCTACCCGTTGATGGGCCACAAAGATTGTCACAATGGCTTGCATATTATTGTTGAAGGCTTTCATGGCTGGAATCACTGGGTTGTTGTAGGTTTTTCGGGCTATATGAACCTCACAACCTCTGGGGATGCTTGCCGTAGATGCTTGCCGTAGATGCAGGCGAAACATCAGGAGAGAATGCTTCTAGAGAATGGCCATATAGCCTGAAAAACCTACAACATCTTGGCTTACATATTGTTAATTCAACACTTCTCATCCCATAGGTTTCTAATCTATACAAGGCATGACAAATAAGGGAAGCGGAATGGGCACCATTTGGGCACAACCTGAAGGCATTTGGGCAACTAGTGGATCCCTTAGTGGGGGATTCTGGGAGGTATAGGGGGACGAAGGGACTTGAGTTTTTGATTCACACACCTTTGGGGTCTTAAAAAATTAGAGCCACTGCATGCTTTGTGTTTGCTTCACGGAGTTGGCTGCCTTGTTGACTTCTTCCCTTCTCCGTCAATCTCCTGTTTTAACCTTCCCTTTCTTCCTCTCCTCCCCGTCCCTTGTTCTTTTCATTTGGCTCCTGCTGCTTCGTTTCACCCTTCTGCAGCTGCCTGCGCTTCCTACAATTTTTCCTTTCTCAGCCCTCAGAGTCACAACTTCACTTCTCAGAATTCCTCCACTCCTTTCTGGTCAGGTATATGTGTCTGTGTGTGCATGTCTATCCGTACGTATACATACCTTCCCTACATCTATATATATAAAAATGCTCATGTCGTGATGAGTGGTTTAAAAACAAAAGAACCAATGAACGAAATCACACCAAATTTGGCAACAAAACGTCTCACAACACAAGGAGTGACCATCACTCAAAAATTATGATTTTGTCATTTGGGAGTTGTAGTTGCTGGGATTTATAGTTCACCTATAATCAAAGAGCATTCTGAACTCCACCAATGATGGAATCGAACCAAACGTGGCACGAGTAGTTAATCGGCCCAAATATAAACACAGATGGAGTTTGGGGGAAATAGACCTTGACATTTGGGAGTTGTAGTTGCTGGGATTTATAGTTCACCTACAATCAAGGAGCATTCCGAACCCTTCCAACGGTGGAATTGGGCCAAACATCCCACACAGAACCCTCATGACCAACAGAAAACACTAGAAGGGTTTGGTGGGCATTGAGCTTGAGTTTTGGAGTTGTAGTTCACCTATATCCACAGAGCACTGTGGACTCAAACGATGATGGATCTGGACCAAACTTGGCATGAGTACTCAATAGGCCCAAATGTGATCAATGATGGAGTTTGTGTAAAATAGACCTTGACATTTGGGAGTTGGAGTTGCTGGGATTTATAGTTGACCTACAATCAAAGAGCATTCTGAACTCCACCACCGATGGAATTTAACCAGTCTTGGCACACAGAACTCCCATGATCAATAGAAAAAACTGGAAGGGTTTGGTGAGCAGTGTCCTTTGGTTTTGGAGTTGTAGTTCACCTACATCCAGAGAGCACTGTAGACTCAAACAATGATGGATCTGGACCAAACTTGGCACAAATACTCCATATGCCCAAATATGAACACAGATGGAGTTTAGGGGAAATAGACCTTGACATTTGGGAGTTGTAGTTACTGGGATTTATAGTTCACCTACAATCAAGAGCATTCTGAACCCCACCAATGATAGAATTGGGCCAAACATCCCACACAGAACCCCCATGACCAACAGAAAATACTGTGTTTTCTGGTGGTTTTGGGTGACCCTTCTGGCACCCCCCTGGTGACCCCCCCCCCGGGTTCTTGACTTCCCAGGTTGAGAAATGCTGCCTTAAGGCCATCCAGCCCATCTCCTTTCACCAGGGCAAGAAAACTCCTGACAAAGGGTCATCCAGCCATTCACACAAACACATATATGTACATAACAGATATAGTATCATAGATTTGAAAGGGACCCCTATAAAGAAGGACAATATATGTTGCATGTTCCAGAGTAGGCAAACCAGACAATCTCCACATCAACACTGACAAAGAAACAGCAAGAAATACTGTTTACCCTCAAGCAGAAAGACATTACATATATTAGAAACCAACACTTTCTCATTACTTTATTTTCCAGATCACCAGACTGGGCCACAGCAACATGTGACAGGGGACCGCTAGTATTATATATATATATGCATATGTGTGTGTATATGTGTGTGTGTAAGCAAAGCAAAGAGCATCCATCTTTCAATGGGGAAAAGGCGACCCCTGTTGGTGGTTGAAAGAGCGGCAGCCATGCGTCCTGACTTTGGTCCTCCGGGTGTTTTGGACTTCGGTTCCCAGAAGTCCAAGCCAAGGGGAACCAAAGATTGGAGACGTTTGCGTATGGCTTGGGCGAGGGAGAAACATAGTCTGGAGTCCATTCCCACTATTTACTTATTTTTATTTACTGTGTCAGGAGCAAACCAAACAATTGTATTGCATTTTTTAACAAACAAACAAACAAAACACAAAGTTTGCAAGCTTGGTAGTTGATTAAATGTCCTTTGACCAGTATCTGGCCACTTGGAGTGCCTCTGGTGTTGCTGCAAGGAGGTCCTCCCTTGTGCATGTGGCAGGGCTCAGGTTGCATTGCAGCAGGTGGTCTGTGGTTTGCTCTTCTCCACGCTCGCATGTCGAGGATTCCACTTTGTGGCCCCATTTCTTGAGGTTGGCTCTGCATCTCGTGGTGCCAGAGCGCAGTCTGTTCAGCGCCTTCCAAGTCGCCCAGTCTTCTGTGTGCCCAGGAGGGAGTCTCTCATCTGGTATCACCCATGGATTGAGGTGCTGGGTTTGGGCCTGCCACTTTTGGACTCTCGCTTGCTGAGGTGTTCTCTGTAGATCTTAGAAAACTATTTCTTGATTTAAGTCATTGACGTGCTGGCTGATATCCAAACAGGGGATGAGCTGGAGATGTCACTGCCTTGGTCCTTTCACTATTGGCTGCTACTTCCCGGCGGATGTCAGGTGGTGCAATACCGGCTAAACAGTGTAATTTCTCCAGTGGTGTAGGGCGCAGACACCCCGTGATAATGCGGCATGTCTCATTAAGAGCCACATCCACTGTTTTAGCGTGGTGAGATGTGTTCCACACTAGGCATGCATACTCAGCAGCAGAGTAGCATAGCGCAAGGGCGGATGTCTTCACTGTGTCTGGTTGTGACCCCCAGGTTGTGCTATTTCGTATGATATTGTTTCTAGCACCCACTTTTTGCTTGATGTTCAGGCAGTGCTTCTTGTAGGTCAGAGCACGGTCCAGAGTGACTCCCAGGTATTTGGGTGCGCTGCAATGCTCCAGTGGGATTCCTTCCCAGGTAATAATCCTCAGAGCTCGGGATGCTTGTCTGTTCTTAAGGTGAAAGGCACATGTCTGTGTTTTAGATGGATTAGGGATCAGCTGGTTTTCCCTGTAATAGGCAGTAAGGGCACCTAGAGCTTCGGAGAGCTTCTGTTCAACCATCTCAAAGCTCCCTGCTTAAGCAGTAATGGCACGATCATCAGCATAGATGAAACTCTCTGTCCCTTCTGGCAGTGGCTGGTCATTTGTGTAGATGTTGAACATGGATGGAGCAAGCACGCTCCCCTGAGGCAGGCTGTTCTTCTGTTTCCGCCATCTGCTTCTCTGGCCCTGGAACTCAACAAAAAAGCTCCTGTTTTGTAGCAGGTTTCCTATGAGGCGGGTGAGGTGGTCGTCCTTTGTGATATTATACATTTTTCTCAGGAGGAGGCGGTGGTTCACAGTATCATAGGCTGCTGACAGGTCTATGAAGACAGCTCCTGTGATCTGCTACCTTTCAAAGCCATCTTCTATGTGCTGAGTCAGGTTCAGAAGCGACCATGTCAGGTGGTGCAATACCGGTTAAACAGTGTAATTTCTCCATTTCTACTATAGTTATATTACTATGATTCCACCCTGTGGGTATGAATAGCAACAGTCCTTTTCTGCTCCTTGGTGACATCCTTTGTTTTCCTAATTGCATCCTAATTCCCTCCCCGATCCTTTCCCCACAGTATTCACACCTCGGGTCATTGGGACGGCCGTCGCAAGGTACAACTTTGCGGCGAGGGACATGCGGGAGCTCTCCTTGAGAGAAGGAGACGTGGTGAAGATCTACAGCCGGATCGGCGGCGACCAGGGCTGGTGGAAAGGCGAGACCAACGGGAGGGTAGGTTTGCTCCTTCTTTTTACCCAGTAAAAAGTGTCTGTTATATGAGAAAGATTAAGTGGAGTATAAATACATATAATAATAATAATAATAATAATAATAATAATAATAATAACAACAACAACCACAACACAAAGTATGGATCGTCGATGTTGCAATTCCAGGTGACGACGCAATTGACGAGAAGTAACTGGAAAAACTGACACGATATGAGGATTTAAAGATAGAACTGCAAAGACCCTGGCAAAACCAATCAAGAGGGTCTCAGTAATGATTGGCACATTGGGTACAGTGCCTCAAGATCTTGGCCAGCACTTAAAAACAATCAGTACACTGGGTGCAGTGCCTAAAGATCTTGGTCAGCACTTAAAAACAATTGGCACACTGAGTGCAGTGCCTCAAGACTTAGGCCAGTGCTTAAAAACATTCAGCACATTGGGTGCAGTGCCTCAAGACCTAGGCCAGTGCTTAAAAACAATCGGCACTCTGGGTGCAGTCCCTCAAGACCTTGGCCAGCACTTAAAAACAATCGGCACTCTGGGTGCAGTCCCTCAAGACCTTGGCCAGCGCTTAAAAACAATCAGCACTCTGGGTGCAGTCACTCAAGACCTTGGCCAGCGCTTAAAAACAATCGGCACTCTGGGTGCAGTCCCTCAAGACCTTGGCCAGTGCTTAAAAACAATCAGCACACTGGGTGCAGTGCCTCAAGACCTAGGCCAGCGCTTAAAAACAATCGGCACTCTGGGTGCAGTGCCTCAAGACCTGGGCCAGCACTTGAAAACAATCAGTGCTGACAAAATCACCATCTATCAGCTGCAAAAGGCCACCTGACTCGAATCAACATACATCACACAGTCCTAGACACTTGGGAAGGGTCCGACATGTGATCCAATAGTGATCTTGTTTGCTGTGTACTAATCATGTTGTGTATGGAATAATAATAATAATAATAATAATAATAATAATAATAATAATGTGTTGCTGGAATCATTGGGTTGCTCTGAGTTTTCTGGGCTGTCTGGCCATGTTCCAGAAGCATTCTCTCCTGACGTTTCATCCACATCTATGGTAGGCATCCTCAGAGGTTGTGAGGTCTATTGGAAACTAGGCAAGTGAGGTTTATATATATATATCTGTGGAAAAATGTCCATCGGTGTCCCTTTCTTTTATTTCCCCTGCAGATCGGCTGGTTTCCTTCGACCTACGTGGAGGAGGAAGTGGTGCAATGACCATCGGATCCGCAGACACCGTCCGCAGACGCCAGGAAACGATGTCTTGCCGAGCATCCTCTCCCTGTCCCTGGGGCACCAAGTGACTGTCCCTCTCCTCAGCACTAACCTTTAGACATGAGATGGGGAAGGCTCTGGTGGGCCCCACTTCTGGTCTCCAAAAAAGTGTGGGTGGGGGCACGAGCTCACACGCGTGACCCCAAGAGGCATGGACACGCTTCTGTGAGCGAGTGGGTTGGGAGAGGTTGCGCTGCTCCTCGGGGCTAGTCTTATTTGTACATAAGAGGTTCGAACAATGTTTCATGTTGGGTCATGTGTGCCGAGAGCATCCGAGGGGAGACCAGACGGCTTCACTGTTGTTCCACTTGGGGTCCTCTTGGTAGAGGTTGGACTCAAGCAAAACACCTTCTATGCAAGGGGAAATGAGAGAAGATAAGAGTAAGGGGTGAACATGAAGGAAAGGGGGAGTCCTCATATTTTCTCCTGGGATCTTTGGCCATAAGGGTGATGGCATTACATACATTCCAAGGAACTCTGGAACATCTCAAGGCACTTTGGACCCTGAGATCTTCACGGTGTGGCAAGGTAGCTGGACCTTGCTCAAGCTTGAGAAGAAAGCTTGAGCAATTGCTTTGTTTGGTGACCTATCCAATAGGGACATTTGGGTTGAGGATGAATTAATAAAAATGAAGAAGTGGCAGAAGATCAACTCGGATGGAGTCTCTTCTTCTGGAAAAGGATGAGTGAGGGGTAAACACGGAGGAAAGAGGTTTGAGGACAATGTCATTCCCAATGATACCATGCCTTTCCAGGGCAGTCAAGAGCTTCTTGAAAGACTTTGGTGAACGTCAACGTCCTAGAGGTGCAGAACAGTAGCTGGACTTTGCTACTGGACTTTGCCTGAGAAGAAAGCCTCGAGTTGAATTGCTCTATCTATCCACCTTGTCCTTAACACCACATGTGCCAAATCAACTGTAGTCTTACCTGAATGGTTTCTTGGGTGATAACTCCTCCATCCCAGGTGAGAATGTGAACTTGAGGAACAGGATACATGAACTGGCACCACCATGAGAAGTCTAAACTAGACAGGAGTTTATACATATGGCCTGAAGGGTGTCTGGGACAGTCTTCCACATACCTACCAACTGGGCACAAAGCAAAACCCCAGTTACCTGGTGCCTTCTTGACCTAGATACTTTCCATCATCTTGGAGATCTCCTTACAAAAATGTCCCATCACCCCAATGGGATGAGGACTGGAAAAAACACCAGAGCAGTTACACCTCTGACCTTAAACACCACAAGTAGGCAAAGCAGTAAAATTAGCAAAAATTGTAAAGTTCCCAAAACAAAGGATAGTCCATGAGCTTCAAGGCAAAATAAGAACAACAATCCATGAAACCAGGCACAAGAATCCATGAAACAAGATAGCATGAAAAATCCAAAACACAAATCAGAAACTTGGCAAAAATTTGGTGCATGAAACTAAGAACACTTGAGAGCAAGTCCGTGATGAAATTCCAACGTTGACCCAACTGAAACAACAATCCATGAAACTAGGTATAAGAATCCATGAAACAAGATAGCATAAATAATCCAAAACACAAATCAGAAGCTTGGCAAAAATTTGGTACATGAAACTAAGAACACTTGAGACCGTCATGAAATTCCAACGTTGACCCAACTGAGGCAACTCTTTCCCATGAATCAATATAAATCTTTTCCAGATCCCAAAACCCAAAGGAATGCATTTCTCTTCACCTTACCTCCAGATGAAGGTTTCTTATCTCTCTTTTCCTGTAAATGAACTGATCTTCTTTGTGCCAGAACACTCTGTCTCTGTTTACAAAAGCACTATCTACACTCTCATTAACTTCTGCATCTGACAAATCATCTTCAAACAGTTGCTCTGAGAAAGACTGCCAATGGGCCTCTCTCAGGAATGTGACCTTGTGAAGCTTGGCAGTGGTTACCAACCTTTTGGCTTCCAGGTAGGTGTTTTGGACTTTGAACTCCCAGAAATCCCAGCCAGCTTACCAGCTCTTAGGAACTGTGGGAGTTGAAGTCCAAAACACCTGGCGGCTCAAAGATTGGGAACCACTGGTGTATAGGATGCTACTCAAAACTCACCGAACATCATCTCTACTTTCTTTAAAGAATGCCTTGCGATGAAGGAAAGGCCTCAAAGTTGGAGCTCAGTGGCCACCCAAAGCCTATGGGACATCTCAGATACAACACTGAGCACCCAACTCTTGCTTTCTGATGTTTCCGTCATCAGTAAGCTTCAGAAAACATCCACTTCTCATCCTCTGCAAGTCTTATATCAGTCTTGAGCTTTCCTTGGGTTCTTCAAACTGGGTTGATGAACCTTGACCTCTAAGTTGGAGATCAGTGGCCACCCAAGGCCTATGGGACTTCTCAAATGCAACATTGAGTATCCAACTCTTGCTTTCCAGCGTTTACGTCATCAGTAAGCTTCAGAAAACATCCACTTCTCATCCGCTGCATGTCTCATACTAATCTTGAGCTTCCCTTGGGTTCTTCAAACTGGGTTGAAGAACCTTGACCTCCAGGTTGGAGATCAGTGGCCACTCAAGGCCTATGGGACTTCTCAAATAAAACATTGAGCATCCAACTCTTGCTTTCCGGCGTTTCTGTCATCAGTAAGCTTCAGAAAACATCCCCTTCTCATCCTCTGCACGTCTCATGCCAATCTCGAGCTTCCCTTGGGTTCTTCAAACTGGGTTGAAGAACCTTGACCTCCAAGTTGGAGATCAGTGGCCACCCAAGGCCTGTCTGACATCTGAGATACAACACTGAACACCCAGCTCTTGCTTTCCGACGTTTCTGTCATCAGTAAGCTTCAGAAAACATCTCCTTCCACTTCTAATCCTTTGCACGTCTCATGCCAATCTTCTCTTGTGTTCTTCAAACTGGGTTATAGAACTTTGACCTCCAAGTTGGAGATCACTGGCCACCCAAAGCCTATGGGACATCTCAAATGCAACACTGATCATCCAACTCTTGCTTTCCGATGTTTCCATCATCAGTAAGCTTCAGAAAACTCCCCTTCTCATCCTCTGCATGTCTCATGTCAATCTCGAGCTTCCCTTGGGTTCTTCAAACTGGGTTGAAGAACCTTGACCTCCAAGTTGGAGATCAGTGGCCACCCAAGGCCTGTCTGACATCTCAGATACAACACTGAGCACCCAGCTCTTGCTTTCCGACATTTCCGTCATTAGTAAGCTTCAGAAAACATCTCCTTCCACTTCTCATCCTCTGCACGTCTCATGCCAAGCTTCCCTTGAGTTCTTCAAAGTGGGTTATAGAACCTTGACCTTCAAGTTGGAGATCACTGGCCACCCAAGGCCTATGGGACATCTCAAATGCAACATTGAGCATCCAACTCTTGCTTTCCAGCATTTACGTAATCAGTAAGCTTCAGAAAACACCCCCTTCTCATCCTCTGCACGTCTCATGCCAATCTCGAGCTTCCCTTGGGTTCTTCAAACCAGGTTGAAGAACCTTGACCTCCAAGTTGGAGATCAGTAGCCACCCAAGGCCTATGGGACATCTCAAATGCAACATTAAGCATCCAACTCTTGCTTTCCAATGTTTCTGTCACCGGTAAGCTTCAGAAAACATCCCCTTCCACTTCTCATCCTCTGCACATCAATGTCAAGCTTCTCTTGGGTTGAAGAACCTTGGCAAGATGAACATGGATACAAAAAGTTGTCCTGGATGTCGATGTTCTTTGGTTGCCCAGTTATGTTGATGGGGTTGAACCTGGTATTGAGGCGGCAACAAGGCAATGGCTGGAAGACCTGGATATAACTGGATAGGTGAAAACACAAGTATGTTGACACACTGCTCAATGCAAAAAATAATCAACATAAAGTTCACCATAATAGAATCACACACTATGGGGGGAAATGTGTTGTCGAAGGCTTTCATGGCCGGAATCACTGAGTTGCTGTGAGTTTTCCGGGCTGTATCACCATGTTCCAGAAGCATTCCCTCCTGATGAGACCCCTCAACATCAGAGGATGCCTGCCATAGATGTGGGTGAAACGTCAGGAGAGAATGCTTCTGGAACATGGCTATACAGCCTGGAAAACTCACAACAACCCTATGGAGAAATTGTAATCAAGGAATGTCTATAGCCATTCTGGACCAAATTATGGACAAAGTTGGTCTCCGAGTATAAAACCCCCTTTGCATTTGTTTCGTAACTTATGGCCCCGATTGTCACCGCTATATATATATATATTTATATATACATTTATATATTTGTGAATAAGAAAAGAAGGGTTTTCTATGAAGAGGGAGAATATTGTACATATATATTTAGTTGATTTTGCAACAACGAAAAAAGGGAAAGATAACATTTTTAAAGGATTGTACTGATGCAAGGGGAGGAGGGGATGTGAAAATATGGAAATGCCTGGATTTTATTGGTCGGTTTCGTTAAGGTTTCTTTTGCACTACCCTAAACGGGGACCAAAATGGACAGAAAAGTGTCTCGATGGGAGGAAAATCCGGACTCCCTTGGCGACTATTTCAGACCCGAACCTGAGCTGCTGATTCGATCCACGCATCATAACATTCCTTTCCAAACAGTTTTGAGATATGTTTGTATGCATTCCCTCTGTTGCTGCAAGACGGGATCGGAGACTATGCGCTTGCAAATCAATCCGATGCAACTTTGTCACAGATCCTTGCACCTTTGGAAACTTCTTTTTTTATATACTGCAAATAAATCTGAGTGTTTTTGTTCCTTTCTCTTTGGACAGAACGACAGAAGTGTGCCTTTCCTTGTGTGTGCCTTCCAATACTTAGCTAAGGGTGCATCTCCACTGTACTGTTAATGCAGTTTAGCACCACTTTTTTACTTACTTTACTTAGGCCAGTGTTTCTCAACCTGGGTGGGGGGGTCGTGAGGGATTGTTGGAGGGGTCACCAAAGACCATCAGAAAACACAGTATTTTCTGTTGGTGATGGGAGTTCTGTGTGCCAAGTTTGGCCCAATTCTATTATTGGCAGAGTTCAGGATGCGCTTTGATTGTAGGTGAACTATAAATCCCAGCAACTACAGCTCCCAAATGTCAAGGTCTATTTTCCCTAAATTACACCAGTGTTTACATTTGGCACATTGAGGATTCATGCCAAGTTTGGTCCAGAGCTATCATTGTTCAAGTCCACAGTGCTCTCTAGATGTAGGTGAACTATAACTCTAAAAACTCAAGGTCAATGCCCACCAAACCCTTCCAGTATTTTCTGCTAGTCGTGGGCGTTCTGTGTGCCAAGTTTGGTTCAATTCCATTGTTGGCGGAGTTAAGAATGCTCTTTGTTTGTAGATGAACTATAAATCCCTGCAACTACAACTCCCAAATGACAAAAATCAATCCCACCCAACCCCACCAGTATTCAAATTATGGTGTATTGGGTATTTGTGCCAAATTCCATCCAGTGAATGAAAGTACATCCTAATATGAGATATTTACATTATGATTCATAACAGTAGTAACATTACAGTTATGAAGTAGCAATGAAAATAATTTTATGGTTGGGGGTCACCGCAACATGAGGCACTGTATTAATGGGTCGTGGCATTAGGAAGATTGAGAACCATTGACTTAGACGATCCCTCATAGTCCGAGGATGATGGTCCTCCAAGTGTAGTGTCCTGGCGGTGGGTCCGTAGGTGACTGTGGAGCCCAATTCTTGATCTGCATCTTCTCCTGCAGTGAGGGCATCAGTTTCCAGATGGAAGGCGGTCCCGGTCGGGGTTGGCTTAATGCACCTTCCTCTTGGCATATTTATCTCTCTTGTCCTCCATTCGTGCTTCTTCAGATTCTACAGCACTGCTGGTCACAGCTGACCTCCAGCTGGAGCACTCACAGGCCAGGGCTTCCCAGTTCTCAATGTCTATGCCAGAGTTTTTAAGGTTAGCTTTAAGCCCATCTTTCAATCTCTTTTCCTGCCCACTGACATTCCATTTTCCGTTCTTGAGTTCGGAGTAGAGCAACTGCTTTGGTAGACGGTGGTCGGGCATCTGGACAGCGTGGCCGGTCCAGCGGAGTTGATGGCGGAGGACCATCGTTTCAATGCTGGTGGTCTTTACTTCTTCCAGCACGCTGACATTTGTCCGCTTGTCTTCCCAAGAGATTTGCAGGATTTTCCGGAGGCAGCGCTGATGGAATCGTTCCAGGAGTTGCATGTGACGTCTGTAGACGGTCCATGTTTCGCAGGCGTATAGCAGGGTTGGGAAGACAATAGCTTTATAAACAAGCCCCTTGGTATCCTTACGGATGTCCCAGTCCTCAAACACTCTCTGCTTCATTAGGAAAAATGCTGCACTCGCAGAGCTCAGGCGGTGTTGTATTTCAATGTCAATGTTAATGTCTGTAGACAGTCCATGTTTTGCAGGTGTATAGCAGGGTTGGGAGGACAATAGCTTTGTAAACAAGCCCCTTGGTCTCCGTACGGATCTCCCAGTCCTCAAACACTCTCTGCTTCATTCGGGGAAAAAGCTGCACTCGCAGAGCTCAAGCAGTGTTGTATTTCGGTGTCAATGTTGACTTTTGTGGAGAGGTGGCTGCCAAGGGAGCAGAAAGGGTCAATAGTTACACCATTAAGCTGTATCTCTGGCATTGGAGAGGGATTGGCTGGTGGAAGAGCACCACTTTTGCTGCTCATGACACTGTGCTATGGGATTGTAGTTTAGAATCATAGAATCAAAGAGTTGGAAGAGACCTGGTGGGCCATTCAGTCCAACCCCATTCTGCCAAGAAGCAGGAATATTGCATTCAAAGCACTCCTGACAGATGGCCACCCAGCCTCTGTTTAAAAGCTTCCAAAGAAGGAGCCTCCACCACACTCCGGGGAAGAGAGTTCCACAGCTGAACGGCTCTCACAGTCAGGAAGTTCTTCCTCATGTTCAGATGGAATCTCCTTTCTTGTAGTTTGAAGCCATTGTTCCGCGTCCTAGTCTCCAGTTTAGCACCACTTTAGCTGCTCATGGCACCGCACTATGGGATCCTGGGAGTTGTAGTTTGACAAGGTCCTCACGAGACCTGAGCAGGTGAGTCGCTTGGATTGCATCTACACTTATAGTATGACATCACTTGCAGTGTTATATATAACTCAATGCTCTGGGATCCTGGGAGTTATAGTTTGGTATAATGAAAGATACACAGGGGACAAAGGCTAATAAGTAACTCCAGTCATCATAAAGTTTCCATCAGTGAAAAACAAACATCCTGAAAGCGAGGAGAGCCTTGAAGGAAGCCAGTTACTCCTTCAAAAACAATGGTCAAAGGATAAAAAAAGGGTCAAAAAGAGCCAATCAAAGGAAGGAGGCATCTACACTGTAGAATGATTTAATGCAGTTTGCTGTAACTTAATGTTATGGGATCCTGGGAGTTGTAGTTTGACAAGGTCCCTGGCCCAAGAGGGTTAGTGCCTCCCCAAAGGACAGTTCCCAGGATTTAATAGCCAGTCCAAGTGGTGCCAACTTGCAGTCCTTCTGCAATGGGAGTTGTAGTTTGTCAAGGTCCTTGGAAGGCCTGAGCAAGTGAGGCTCTTGGATTGCATCTATACTCAATGTTATGGGATCCTGGGAGTTGTAGTTTGACAAGGTCCCTGGCCCAAGAGGGTTAGTGCCTCCACAAAGGACAGTTCCCAGGATTTAATAGCAGTTCCAAGTGGTGCCAACTTGCAGTCCTTCTGCAATGGGAGTTGTAGTTTGACAAGGTCCTTGCAAGGCTCTTGGATTACATCTATACTCAATGTTATGGGTTCCTGGGTGTTGTAGTTTGACAAGGTCCTTGCAAAACTTGATCAGGTGAGGCTCTTGGATTTCATCTAGACTTATAATATGACATCCCTTGAAGTGCTGTAATTCAATACTATGGGATCCTGGGAGTTGTAGTTTGACAAGGTCCCTAGCCTAGGAGTGTTGGTGCTTCCCCAAAGGACAGCTCCCAGGATCCCATAGCAATGAATGAATAGCATTTCCAAGTGGTGCCAACTTGCAAGCCTCCTCCTCCTTCTCCACTCAAAAGCCAGAAAAGGGGGGGAGGTCCTTCCACTCGTGACCCCTCCCACGCCCCGCCCCCTTTCCCACCCCTCGGCCAATGAGAGCCCAGCAAAGCGACACCGCCCCCTTCCCTCGTCCATTGTCCCTGCTAGGAAAGGCTTGGGTTTGCTTTCCCACGCGTGGATACAAGCCAACGTGACTTCCTTCCAGGCAAGCAGGAGGCAAGAGGTCAGGTTAGAGAACCCCCCAAAAAGAAGGGAGGGCTGGGGAGGAGAGGAATGGGAACTATTCCTGGAACAGAGGGGTCTACACTGGTCATATAATGCAGTTCCAAACTGGAGTTCATCCAGGCTTAGTTGGGCCACTCTTTGGCAGAGAAGGCTAAGGCTCCCCTTGGGTTTCCCATACTCCAAAGTCCTCAAGGTGCCATGGACTACAACTCCCAGAAGCCTCAGCTGTTTTTGGGGATTCTGGGAGCTGGAGTCCCAAAACACTTGGAAGACCACAGCTTGGAATCACTAGAAGTGGCAAGGAACCTTGGGATTATACAACAACAACAACGTAATAGTTATAATAGGGTTTGTAGTTTGTTGTCAAACTAGAACTCCCAGAGTCTCACACCAAGTGGAGTCAAACTGCATTTGTTCTCAGTGCTATGGGATCCTGGGAGTTATAGTTTGACAAGAACCTTGACCAAGTGAGGCTCTTGGATTGCACTTTCACTTGAACTGCTAGAACTCATTGTTATGGGATCCCGGGAGTTGTAGTTTGACAAGGACCTTGCAAGACTTGAGCAGACAAGGGTCTGGGCTTGCATCTCTACTTATAGTTTGACATCACTTGAACTGCTATAGCTCAATGTTATGGAATCCTGGGAGTTGTAGTTTGACAAGGCCCTTGCAAGACTTGAACAGGCGAGGCTCTTGGATTGAATCTCTACTTATAGTTTGACATCACTTGAACTGCTATAGCTCAATGTTATGGAATCCCGGGAGTTGTAGTTTGACAAGGCCCTTGCAAGATTTGAACAGGCGAGGCTCTTGAATTGAATCTCTACTTATAGTTTGACATCACTTGAACTGCTATAGCTCAATGTTATGGAATCCTGGGAGTTGTAATTTGACAAGGACCTTGCAAGACTTGAGCAGGCAAGGGTCACTTGACATCACTTGAGCTGCTATAACTCAGTGTTATGGAATCCTGGGAGTTGTAGTTTGACAAGGACCTTGCAAGACTTGAACTGGCAAGGCTCTTGGATTGAATCTCTACTTATAGTTTGACATCACTTAAACTTCTATATCTCAATTTTATGGAATCCTGGGAGATGTAGTTTGACAAGGTTCTTGCAAGACATGAGCAGGTGAGGCTTTTTATTACATCTACACATTTAGTATTGCATCAACATTTGAACTGCAATAACTCAATGATATGGGATCCTGGGATATGTAGTTTGACAAGGACTTTGCAAAACCTGAGCAAGTGAGGCCCTTGGATTGCATCTACACTTATAGTGTGACCTCACGTGAACTGCTATAACCCAAAGCTATAGGATCCTGGGAGATGTAGTGTGACAAGATCATCGCAAGGCCTGAGCAAATGAGGATTGCATCTACACTTGAACTGCTATAACTCAATACTATTGGATCCTGGGAGTTATAGTTTGACAACTTAGAAGACTTGAGTGGGTGACATTCTTTGATTGCGTCTACTGTTTGGGTTCAGTGCGGCTTGGCACCCCTTGAACTACTATGGCTCAAGCCTATGGGATCCTGGGAGTTGTAGTTTTGCAAGGCCCTTGCACAACCTTAGCTGGCAACACCTTTCACTTGTATCTACAGTTCAGGCTCAATGCTGGGTTGTCGTGTGGAATGAACTGGAGTTTGACCCTCTCCACATGAGCTGCCATGATGGAAATCCGGGAGTTGTAGTCCAACAAGGTCTTTTGCCTTTGCCCCTCTGAACTATAGCTCACAGGATCCCATAGTATTGAGCTGTCTCAGTCCCAAGTGGTGTCAGCTAAATGCATCCTAACACAGGTACTTCTTTGGAAAAGCAAAAGGGGAAAGTCTATCGGAGTCGTGAGCCTCTGCTGCGGAAGCAGAGATAACCGATCTGGCTCCGGCCGAAGAATTTGCTGATTTTGCAAAAGGCTGAGTAACTGAGTTGTAAAAAGCAAGGAAGCATGGAGGGAGCCTGGAGGCATGACATGAAACCCACGTCCGTGAAAAAGTCTACAAAACAAAAGTTGCCAAGTCTTTCCAAAAGTGCAAAGGGGAAGAAAAAAAACCAGCGGTTCCTAGAAATGCCAAAACAAAGGACTGAGTTACGAAACAAAAGTCGCAAAATGTTTCCAAAAGGGGAAAAGTCCAATCTTGGAAGCATCAGAACATAAAGAAAGGGAAAGGATGATAAAGAAAGTGTTTCCAAAAGTGCAAAGAAGTATTTATACTTTTTAAAAACCTTTACTTTGTTTGATTATTTGCAAGTGTTTCTGTTTGCAAGTCCTAAAGTTTAAACACTTGCAAGTGTTTCCAAAAGTGCAAAGAAGTGTTTACATTTATTTTGGTAAACCCTTGCTTGATAACTTGCCATTGCTTCCACTTGCAAGTTCTAAAGTCCAAACACTTACAAGTGTTTCCAAAAGTGCAACAAAGTGTTTTCAGTTTTTGGAAACATATGTTTGATAACTTGCAAGTGTTTCCAAAAGTGCGAAGAAGTGTTTCCAGGTTTTGGAAACTCTTGCTTGATAACTTTGCAAATGTTTCCAAAAGTGCAAAGAAGTGTTTATATTTTTTTGGAAACCCTTGCTTGATAACTTGCCATTGTTTCCACTTCCAAGTTCTAAAGTCTAAACACAAGTGTTTCCACACATGCAAAGAAGAAAATACAGGTCCCAGAAGTGTCCCAGGGAGTCTTTGCATTGAAGAATAGATGCAATTTGGCACCGCTTTGAACTGCCACATCTCCATGGTATTGTTTTGTAGCTTTGCAACCACACTCTTTGGTGAAGAAGATCAAAGACTGTCTGAAACTTCAGCTCACACAACTCAATAGCATTGAGCCATGACAGTTCAAGTTGTCTCAAACTGCATTAATTCTACAGTGTAGAGAACCCCTTGGCATCAATTTGGACACATAACTATGACTCCCGACATGCCTTGGAGCTGACCTACTGAGAAACCATCTGGTGAAGGAGGCTCCATTTCGCATCCTTCACCAGATGGCATCAAGTCGCATCTGTTACGTGGCGCCATCTTTCCACCTGGGAATTGCGAATGTTCAAGCTGTTCAGATTCCTTCTTTCTCAGCGTTCCTCTCTCCAATCCTTCCAGATCACCATGGCCAACTTGAGATGTGCTTTCCGGATAGCTTCCTCTTTCCAGGCTCCGTCCTCCAAGTGTTGCGTCCAGTTCTTCAGCAGTGGGGCCAGCCAAACAACTGAAAAGAATGTCCCTTATGAAAAAACACTGAAGGAAGGGAGTCCTCCAGGAGGACAAGGGCCTACAAAGCCTCTTCCAGCGTCGGCCGATGTGGTTGTGGTTGGCGGAGGTAGCCTCGGGTGCCAAACTGTCTACCATCTTGCCAAGATGGGGGTGACCAATGTCGTCCTGCTGGAGAGGGACCGCTTGACTTCAGGGACCACCTGGCATACGGCAGGTAAACAAATAACATGGAGTGGTCCACATATCTCCTGTTGGGTGGATGAAGGTGATCATAGCATACAGGTAGACATACAGTTATAATATATGGGTCCAGTTGAGAGGTCCCTATATCTCCTGTTAGTTGGATGAAGGTGATCATAGCATGAAGGTAAACTTACAGTTATAACATAATGGTCCAATGGAGAGGTCCACATATCTCCTGTTGGTTGGATGAAGGTGATGGTAGCATGTAGGTAAACATACAGCTATAATATGTGGGTCCAGTGGAAAGGTCCCCATATCTCCTGTTGGTTGGATGAAGGTGATCATAGCATGTAGGTCAACATGCAGCTATAATATATGGGCCCAATGGAGAGTCCATGTACTTCTTGTTTGTCAATGAAGGTGATCATAGCATGTTAGGTAAACATACCATTATAATATAATGGTCCAATGGAGAGGTCACCATATCTCCTTTTTGTTGGGTGATGGTGGTCATAACATGCAGGTAAACATACAGCTATAATATATGGGACCGACTGAGAGGTCCACATACCTCCTATTTGTTGGATGAAGATGATCATAGCATGTAGGTAAACATACAGCTATAATACATAGCTCCAATGAAGAGGTCCACATATCTCCTGTTTATTGGATGAAGTTGATCATAACATGCAGTTGTCATTTATGAGTCCAATGGAGAGGTCCACATACCTCTAGTTTGTCACATGATAACATGAGGATAAACATACAGCTATAATATATGGGTCCAATGGAGAAGTCCACACACCTCTTGTTTGTTGGATGAAGGTGATCATATCTTGTAGGTAAGCATACAGTTATCATATGTGGATCCTGTGGAGAGGTCTGCACAACTCTGGTTGGTTGGATGAAGGTGATCATAGCATGCCAAGGACCACCTGGAATATGGCAAGTAAGCATACAGTTGCAATATGTGTCCAGATAAGTCTATGTACATCCTGCTGCTTGGATGAAGGTGGCCAATGTATGTGAGTTATCTCAAATACTTTAGTGGACTAAAGTATTTGTCCACTTTTCTGGTGCCTCTTTTTCAGGTCTTTTGTGGCAGTTGCGCCCAAGCGATGTGGAAGTGGAGCTGTTGGCGCACACCCGCAATGTGGTCAGCCGGGATTTGGAGCAAGAGACGGGGCTTCACACAGGATGGATCCAAAATGGTGGCCTCTTCATTGCATCCAACAAACAAAGGCTGGATGAATATAAACGGCTCATGTCTGTAAGTTGAATTGATTCCCAACCCTATCATAACAATTGTAGCACGTGGAGTCCTAGGAGTTGTAGTTTAGTGAGGCGGCAGCTTTAATGCACAGTAGGAGTGTGCAAAACCTTGTTCTTAATTAGTAAGTCATATCTAATTCATATGTTTTGTATATACAAACGGATATTAAGAAACACGGAGGGGGAACACCCATGCAAAAACTTAAGAATCAAAACTCACTCCATCCATTTTTGTTTGAATTCTGTAATGCTTGGAAGCCTATTTGGGATTCTGAGATATTTTCGATCCTCCTAGACTAGCGTTACTCAGCCTGGGGGATCGGGACCCCTGGGGGAGGGCCATGTGGCAGTGTCAAAGAGGTTGCCAAAGACCATCAGATTGTAAGTGAACTATAAATCCCAGCAACTACAACTCCCAAATGTCAAGGTCTATTTTCCCCAAACTCCAGCAGTGCTCACATTTGGGCATATTGAGTATCCGTGCCAAGTTTGGTCCAGATCCATCATTGTTTGGGTCCACAGTATTCTCTCTATGTAGGTGAACTACAACTCCAAAACTCAATGTCAAAGTCCACCAAACCCTCACAGTATTTTCTGTTGGTCATGGGAGTTRAGTGTGCCAAGATTGGTTCAGTTCCATCATTGGTGGAGCTCAGAATGTTCTTTGATTGTAGGTGAACTACAAATCCCAGGAACTACAACTCTCAGATCACAAAATCAACACCCCCCCCCCCCAAACACCACTAGTATTCAAATTTGGGTGTATCGGGTATTTGTGTCAAATTTGGTCCTGTGAATGAAGTAGCAACGAAAATAATGTTATGGTTGGGGGTCACCACAACGTGAGGAACTGTGTTAAGGGGTCGCGGCACTAGGAAGGGTGTGAAATACTGTCCTAGACCCTCCCTGTTGATCGATATATGTCTTAACCTCTTTTGTAGCTGGGCAAAGTTTACGGCATCGAGTCGTACGTCTTGTCTCCGGCGGAAACAAAGGACTTGTATCCCTTGATGAACGTGGATGATCTTTATGGAACCCTTTATGTCCCTAAAGATGGCACCATGGATCCAGCTGGGACATGCACAACCCTCACCCGAGCAGCCAGTGCCTTGGGAGCTTTGGTAACGAAAGCTTCGGTGTTGGGCATCTCAACCCACTTCATATTGGGATGTTGTAGTGCCAAAACATCCTATATTTCTCTAGATCCTTGAGTGGGGCTCTATGGTCCTCCTTGTCCAATAATACTAGAGATGTCTACAGGGAATGCCTCTATGTGTCCTTGTTTCTAGGTGATTGAAAACTGCCCAGTAACAGGGATAGAGGTGAAGATGGACGACTTGGGTGTCCGAAGGGTGGCAGCTGTGGTGACAAATGCTGGGACAATCAAGACGCCTTGTGTGGTCAACTGTGCAGGTAAATATACAGACATCAACTTACCCCACCTGTGCTACCAAAGTCAGGACTTCCTCCTATCCAATCACTATGGCAGTGGTTCTCAACCTTTCTAATGCAGTGACCCCCAAATAAAGTTCCTTGTGTTGTGGTGACCCCCAACCATATTTTCGTTGCTACTTCATAAATAATTTTGCTACTCTTATGAATTCTAATGCAAATACCTAATATGCAGGATGTATTTTCATTGTTAGAAATTGAACATAATTAAAGCATAGTGATTAATCATAAAAACAATATGTTTAGGGGAGTATGGATAATGGATGATGGAATTTGCAGTACCTTCAACCAATTCAGCTCTGACTTCCACAGACCACTGAGATCCCCCACGAATTACAGACCTGGACCAAACTTGGCACATAGAACTCCCATGACCAACAGAAAATACTGGAGGAGTTTGGGAGAAATTGACAGTGATTTATGGGAGATGTAGTTCACCTACATCCGGAAAGCACTGAGAACCCAAATGACTATGGATCTGGACCAAACTTGGCATGAATACTCAATATGCCCAAATTTGAACAATGGTGGAATTTGGGGAAAATGGATCTTGACATTTGGGTGTTGCAATTGCTGGGGTTTATAGTTTTTCAGCCATCAACTCCAAGAAAAATGGAATTGAAGAAGCTTGGCATACAGAACTCCCATAATCAACAGAAATTACTGGAGAGGATTGGGGTACCTTGGCATTTTGGAGCTGCTGGGATATATAGCCCTCTCCCATCCAAAAGCATTCTGAACTCATGTAACCATGCAATGCACTCAAACTTGGCATAGAGAATTCCCATGGTGAACAGGAAATACTGGAGAGGACTGGGGTACATAGCCCATGGCATTTTGGAGCTGCTGGGATATATAGTCCTCTCCCATCCAAAAGCATTCTGAACTCATGTAACCATGCAGTGCACTCAAACTTGGCACAGAGAACTCCCTCCACCTGTCCCTCACTCCTTTCTGAGCTCGGAAGGAGGCACAGGTTGGGCGGTGAAGGCTCCTCGGATGGTCAGGCATGAGGACAGCAGGACGAGGTTTACTCATCTTGCGGCCTGAACAAAGGGTGTCTTCTTCCCCCGTGCCTTTGCCTCCAAAGCTCCTCCTCCTGACTACCCACAGGTCTGTGGGAAGAGCAAGAGCCTGCCAGGAGTGCCATGTGGCTGGCTCCGGAGGTCGGCAGCCATTTTGGAGGGGGCGGGGCCAGCCAAGGCACCTTGGCGACCCCCAGAAAATGACCTAATGACCTACCTTTGGGTCGCAACCCCCAGGTTGAGAACTGCTGCACTATGGCATCAAATGTATGGACCATCTAAGATTCCCTTAGGTTCCCTGTGTGACACTTTACCCATCTGATCTTCCTGTTGGACTCCACTACCCTGTGGCCACTAATGTCACAGATACATCTACACTGTCATGTTCCTCCAACATCAACTCTCTTTCTCCCACAGGAGTGTGGTCCCAGGCCCTGGGGAAGATGGCGGGGGTCAATGTTCCCCTCATCGCAATGCATCATGCCTATGTGGTTACAGAGAGGATTGAAGGAATCCAGGTCAGTATGCTGTGGAGTGTTGCACTCTAGCCTTGAGGCACCTTTTCACACCAGAGTCCAGGAGTAGTATCTACCAAAGTTTATTATGAGAAGCATGTACAAAGGGAAATAGGGCATTTCTCAAAGTGCAATAGAATAAGAAATACAAAATAGCAGCAGTCCAAGAAGGGCAAGGTACATGAAGTCAATAGAGCCAAAATCTCCAGCATAAATCTATAAGCAAAAACAGGAAACTTGAATAATGAGCTTGAAAGCCAAGACAGGAAAGCCATTCTTATGGCAACGTTGTCTCCTCTGAAAGACACCAAGTAAACACCACTTAATTTAAGCCCGTCCAAGAAGCTGTGAGATCATGCCGAATGCACCTGGTCTTCAAGGACTTCTCGCAGATTCTCTCAGACCATCTAATTAGTTTATCTTTCACTCCCTCTGTTCGCAAACCTAATCTGGCTTCTCAGGAAAACTCCTCATTGACAGAAGGCCGTTTCATGAGGGAACTGAAATTTCCACTTTCTGTTGCCTGGGAATGAACACAGGAATCCCAAACAATGGCTTCCTCTGCCTGACCAATAGCAGAATCTTCTCTTTGAAACCCTTCCTAGAAGTCAAGATGACTCAGTTGAGCTTGTTGTACTTTGAGCATATAGATTTGACTCTAGAAGGCTGTAAGAAAAGAAGACTGCTTTGAATGCAATTTTCCTGCTTCTTGGCAGGAAGGGGTTGAACTGGATAGCCCACAAGGTCTCCTCCAACTCTAGGTTTCTATGATTCTATGAATCTCCAGTAGCTATTGAAGTTGACTTCGAAGTGGATCACTGTAAATCAAAGTCAACTCTAAGCCATTTAACACCAACCATAACCAAGAAGTCCTGAGCTGTATTTATTATAGTTTTCAAGGCATGCCAGGTAGTTTGTGGGTCAACAAAAGATCCTTTGCAAAATTCTGAGCTGTTCTGGGCACCACAATTCAAGAGAGATATTGACAAGCTGGAATGTGTCTAGAGGAGGGCGACTAAAATGATCAAGGGTCTGGAGAACAAGCCCTATGAGGAGCGGCTTAAGGAGCTGGGCATGTTTAGCCTGAAGAAGAGAAGGCTGAGAGGAGATATGATAGCCATGTATAAATATGTGAGGGAAGCCACAGGGAGGAGGGAGCAAGCTTGTTTTCTGCTTCCCTGGGGACTAGGACGCGGAACAATGGCTTCAAACTACAAGAGAGGAGATTCCATCTGAACATGAGGAAGAACTTCCTGACTGTGAGAGCCGTTCAGCAGTGGAACTCTCTGCCCCGGAGTGTGGTGGAGGCTCCTTCTTTGGAAGCTTTTAAGCAGAGACTGGATGGCCATCTGTCAGGGGTGATTTGAATGCAATATTCCTGCTTCTTGGCAGAATGGGGTTGGACTGGATGGCCCAGGAGGTCTCTTCCAACTCTTTGATTCTATGATTCTATGAAATTGTTCTATCTGGTCCAAGACATTTGGTATTCCTGAAACTGACACTAGATGTCCCTCTAAGACCAAGGAATTACTATCAGACTTGGAGGAGACTGAACTAAGATTATGAAACTCTATTCCAAGAACACAGTCCTTAGAGATTTTGCTCTCCTCTCAGGGTGCATCTGCACTGCAGAATTAATGCAATTTTGACACCATTTGAATTGCCCTGATGCTATACTGTGGAACCTTGGGAGGTGTAATTGGATGATTAAGTGTAACTGTCCCTCCCAAAAGTTGTGATCCTTTTCTGACTCGCCAAACTGGAACTCCCAGGATCCCATAGCACAGTGTTTCTCAATCTTCCTAATGCCATGACCCCTTAATTCAGTTCCTTATGTTGCAGTGACCCCCAAACATAAAATTATTTTGTTCTACTGTTATGAATTGCCATGTAAATATCTGATATGCAGGATGTATTTTCATTCGCTAAGCCAAATTTGGCACAAATACCCGATACACCCGAATTTGAATTCTGGTGGGGTTGGGGAGGTAGGTTTGATTTTGTCATTTGGGAGTTGTCATTGCTGGGATTTATAGTTCACCTACAATCAAAGAGCATTCCGAACTCCACCAATCATCCGCCTTCTCTGGCAAAGGGGTTCCTAAGACCATCAGAAATATATACTTTCTGATAGTCTTTGGTAACCCCTCTGAAACTCCCTTGTGACATCCAGAGGGTTCCCAACCCCCTGGTTGGGACAGTGTAGATGCCCCCTTAGTCAATAGACATCTTTTATCCCAACAGAGATAAAAAGGGATTCTTCACACATTATGTAATAGAAGACCGAGGTGTATATAATCCAGAGCTGCTCATCGTATTATTTATAGGATTGTATGCCTGGCGGCATGTCTTGGTAGCGTTCATTGATATTTCAGGTGCCCATCACAAAAGGTGAAGGCATCTGGAGGTGATCCATCTTGTTTTGGTGGGGTGTGTTGGCCACGGATACACTTTGCTTGGTCTCCTGCTCCACTTCTGACTGCCGTTATCTCTGCATATTTTTAGAACATGCCGAACGTTCGAGATCATGATGCCTCGGTGTATCTGCGTCTCCAAGGCGATGCCCTTTCTGTGGGCGGGTATGAGTCAAATCCAATTTTCTGGGAAGAGGTGAGTGGTGTTCTTAAGTAATAATCATAATTTCTTTTTTGCTGGAAGGTGCGTGTGCATCGAGTCGTGAGTTTTCCATTAGTTTTGGATCAACTCAACAAGAACCTCAAAAAGGCCACTTAGAAATTAAGACTTCATCAGGTTGCCATCATTGCATCAAGGTGAAAAGAACTCCTTTTTGATAGCCAAGCAGTAATTTGGTGATTGACAACCTATTGGCCCGCCCATCAGGAGGGTCTTTTGAAACCACCACCAAAAAGGCCCTGTCTCCTGTTTCCTTGTATCGCTGAAGATTATCTTGGTAGGAAGACTGCTGTGGCTGAGCTATTTTCTGATGATAAGGATGATGGGATTCAGATTCCTGCTGGGATTCAGATTCCTGGCTCTTTGTCTGTGCCTCAAATCTCTGGGCCTGCTTCTGAGGCTCCCACAGCCATTCTCACCAGAAAGGAATTTTAACGAAGGAGATAGCGAGCAGGTGCCTTCCCATGCTGATATCGAAAGTGTAGATAGTGACTTGACCCGGCAAACTCATCTTGATCTCTGGGTCAGGTGGAGTTCTCGTCTGGCCAGCAGACGAGAAGCCAGCTCAGTGAAAGGTCATCGCAATGCTTTTATGATGATGAGAGCCTAATGCTTTCATGTGAGAAATGTATTTAGGCCTCTTGCAAACTCTGAGAAAGCGTCAGTTCAACATAGTTTACTAGCCTGAAAGCTTCATGGAATAACCTTAGCCTGGAAAGCAGAACGCTTGGGATTTCTTGCATTGTGATTCATGGGGCAATTGTTTCATTGCTTGTACCTGGGACTCTGGTTTGAACTTTGCCAATAGGATTATGTCTCCTATTTTTACCTGAAGGTCTTTGGAACTATATTCTGCTTTTAACCTTAATCTTTGGAATTTTGCAATGCTTATTCTTTATTTGGACTTGGATTTTCTCCTCAATAAACTATAAAACTACAGCTCTTGTGTGGTGGTGTTTGGAAGCAAGGTGAAGCTTACTCTGAGATGCAACAAAGACAGATTTATAAAACCAGTCCATCCTTCAGGTGATCTCTTCTTCTCTTCCGTATTGTACATGCCTGCTGTTGCTCTTTCAGGTGCAGGACAAGTTTGCCTTTGGCCTCTTTGACCTGGATTGGGATGTCTTCACACAACATATTGAAGGTGCCATCAATCGTGTCCCAGTCCTGGAGAAGACAGGGATTAAATCCACAGTCTGCGGTCCAGGTAAGGACCCCAAAACTCCTGCTTGAGGCTGTTTCATGGCATCTTCTTTCTTGAAGGAACTTCATAGCACCTTCCTATTGAAGGGAACTTCATAGCACCATCTTGCTTGAGGGAACTTCATGGCATCTTCTTGTTTGAGGGAATTTCATGATCTCTTCTTACTTGAAGGAACACCATAGCACATCCTTGCTTGAGGGAGCTTCATGGTATCTTCTTACTTGAAAGAATTTCATGATACCTTTCTGTTTGACAGAGCTTAATTGTACCTTCTTGCTTGAAGGAGCTTCATTGTACCTTCTTCCTTGAGCATGTTTCATGGCACCTTCCTGCTTGAGGGAACTTCATAGCACTTTCCTGTTTGAGAGAACTTCATAGCCTAATCTTGCCTGAGGGAGCTTCATAGCACCTTCCTGTTTGAGGGAACTTCATAGCACCTTCTTGCTTGAGGGAGCTTCATAGCACTTTCTTGCTTTGGTGGAACTTCATAAGACCTTCCTGTTTGAGGAAGCTTCATGGCACCTTCCTGCTTGAGGGAACTCATGCCACCTTCTTCCTTGAGGGTGTTTCATGGCACCTTCCTGTTTGCGGGAACTTCATAGCACATTCTTGCTTGAGGGAGCTTCATGCTTTCCCGCTTTGGTGGAACTTCATAACACCTTCTTGTTTGAGGGAGCTCCATGGCACCTTCTTGCTTGAGGGAGCTTCATGGTACCTTCTTCCCTGAGCATGTTTCATAGCAACTTCCTATTTGAAGGAATTTAAAACTACATTCCTGTTTGAGGGAACTTCATGGCACCTTCTTGATTGAGGGAGCATCATGGCACTTTCTTCCTTGGAGGTGTTTCGTAGCACTTTCCTGTTTGAGAGAACTTCATGGCTTAATCTTGCTTGAGGGAGCGTCATAGCACCTTCCTGTTTGAGGGAACTTCATAGCACCTTCTTGCTTGAAGGAGCTTCATAGCACCTTCCCGCTTTGGTGGATCTTCATAGCACCTTCCTGTATTACAGAGCTTCATTGTACCTTTCCGTGCTTGAAGGAGCTTCATTGTACCTTCTTCATTGAGCATGTTTCATAGCACCTTCCTCCTTGGGGATGTTTCATTGCACCTTCCTGTTTGAGGGAACTTCATAGCACCTTCTTGCTTGAGGGAGCTTCATAGCACCTTCCTGCTTTGGTGGAACTTCATAACACCTTCCTGTTTGAGGAAGCTTCATGGCACCTTCCTGCTTGAGGGAACTCATGCCACCTTCTTCCTTGAGAGTGTTTCATGGCACCTTCCTTTTTGAGGGAACTTCATAGCACATTCTTGCTTGAGGGAGCTTCATAGCACCTTCCCGCTTTGGTGGATCTCCATAGCACCTTCCTGTTTTACAGAGCTTCATTGTACCTTCTTGCTTGAGGGAGCTTCATGGTACCTTCTTCCTTGAGCATGTTTCATAGGAACTTCCTGTTTGAAGGAATTTAAAACCACCTTCCTGTTTGAGGGAAATTTATGGCACCTTCTTGATTGAGGGAGCATCATGGCACTTTCTTCCTTTGAGGTGTTTCATAGCACTTTCCTGTTTGAGAGAACTTCATGGCCTAATCTTGCTTGAGGGAGCTTCATAGCACCTTCCTGTTTTGAGGGAACTTCATAGCACCTTCTTGTTTGAGGGAGCTTCATAACAGCTTCCTGCTTTGGTGGATCTTCCTGCCACCTTCCTGTTTGAGTGAGCTTCATGATGCCTTCTTGCTAGAAGGAACTTCATGGTATCTTCCTGATGAGGAAACATCACAGTACCTGCCTACTTCAGGGAACTTTATCACCTTCCTGCTTTGATGGATCTTCATAGCACCTTGTCCTGCTCCAAGATCTCTTGAGGATCAAAAATATCAAGAACTCCATTGCAGGTCCCATATGTCCAACCTACTTAGATTCCAACCCATAAGGTAGATACGTTAACTTGCTTGAAGAGAGGGCCAGAGATAACCCACCTCTGTCTCCATTTCTAGAATCATTTACTGCTGATCACAAGCCCCTCATGGGAGAAGCACCAGAAGTCAGGGGCTTTTTCCTTGGCTGTGGTTTCAATAGTGCGGGTAAGAGTCAAACCTACTTCTCTTTATTAGTTCACAGCTTCTTCCCCCTAGACAACCTGCTCAACCTACTCACTCTTCTGCCCCTCTCTCCTCTAGGCATGATGCTTGGAGGTGGTTGTGGGAAGGAGCTGGCCTATTGGATCATCCATGGGCGTCCCGAGAAGGACATGTACAGCTATGACATTCGGTAAGAGCCACATCGCGTTCGGATTGAATGATATGAATGAGACACTGGTTTATTTTTCACTTCCTCTGTCCCAAAGCAGTAGCTATCTGTCCACAACAGGAATTTCCAAATCAAGGATGAGCAAAAAGTACACAGCCACAAGCTACTTGCTGTCCTTATTGGACTGCTGATTAATGGAGACCAGAAGACGTGTGTTCTTCTATATGAGGTTCTGAATTCAGCATCTTTGAGGGACTGGCTTAATGCTTCATCCCTTGAAGCAAGACATTAAATGTTGCCTCCTGGAGCAAGACTGAGGCTGATGTACCGAAATGCCTAGTTCTCACTGATGGCTTCATTTCAAGATGACCAGCAGTTCATCCCTATGCTAATCCCCCAGTTAGGTCGAAGGTTTCAAAGGTTTCACATTTTCACATTTCACATTCTAGGAGGTTTCACCACAATCTCACTGGCAACAACCGTTGGATTCGGGAACGGAGCCACGAGTCGTACGCCAAAAACTACTCCATTGTCTTTCCGTATGATGAGCCTTTGGCCGGGCGCAACATGAGGAAGGATCCCCTGTATGAGGTCAGTCCCAGATGACATCAAAAACAAGGGTGTTCTAGGATGGGTAACCCCAGGAAACTTTGCATGGTGAACATTCATAGATGCCCCAGGCTGAGATTTCACCTATAAGTCACCCAGAAAATTGTGGTGGTGGTGGTGGTGGAGTTGGAGTAGAAGGAGAATATGGAGGTGGAGTTGGAGAAGGAGAAGAAGGTAAAGGTGGAGGAAAAGGAGAAGGTGGTGGTGAAGATGGAAAAAGAGAAGAAGGTAGCGGTATAGAAGGAGGTGGAGAAGGAGATGGTGGTGGAGGAGAAAGTGGAAAAAGAAGATGGTAGAGGTGTTGAAGGAGTTAGAGAAGAAGGAGATGGTGGTGGAGGTGAAGATGGAAAAAGAAGACGGTAGAGGTGTTGAAGGAGTAGGAGAAGAAGGAGATGGTGGTGGAAGGTACAATGAAGGTGGAGGTGAAGATGGAAAAAGAGAAGAAGGTAGCGGTATAGAAGGAGGCCGAGAAGAAGGAGATGGTGGTGGAAGAGAAAGTGGAAAAAGAAGAAGGTAGAGGTGTTGGAGGTGGAGAAGAAGGAGATGGTGGTGGAGGTGAAGATGGAAAAAGAGAAGAAGGTAGCGGTATAGGAGGTGGAGAAGAACGAGATGGTGGTGGAGGAGAAAGTGGAAAAAGAAGAAGGTAGAGGTGTTGAAGGAGGTGGAGGTGGAGAAGGAGATGGTGGTGAAAGAGAAAGTGGAAAAAGAGAAGAAGGTAGAGATGTAGAAGGATGTAGAGGTGGAAAAGGAGAGGGTGATGGAGGAGAAGATGGAAAAAGAGAAGGTAGAGGTGTAGAAGGAGGTGGAAAAGGAGATGGTGGTGGAGGAGAAGATGGAGGCAGATGTGGTGGAAAGATGGACGAGAAAGTACAATAGAAGATGGAGAAAGCAAAGGAGAAAGCAGAAACGGAGGAGGAGGAGTCGGAGAACAGAAAGGAATGAATGGAAGAGGACAAAGAAAAGGTGGATGAGAAGGTGAAGGTGAAGGAGAAGTCTAACTTGGCCAGGCATGGGACCAAAATTTTGAGCCAGGGTTTCACCCCTTCCAAAGAAGAACCCATTCTATCTCCTCTACCTCTTCTAAGAAAACGGTATGGAAGTCTAAGGTGGAAGCAGAGGGATCTGGACATCTTCCACTGTAGAAACATGAGCAGAAACGTGACCTGACCAACAAACCTCTTCATTCACGGTTTCCTCTCCTCATTGCGATGCCATGCAGCTTGGAGATGCTCTTCTCACTCTTCAATCTAGTTGGGTCCTCCTTGTAAGTGTTAAGTAAATAGAGGACCTTGGAAGAGGTCTCCAGAACTCCTCTTAGATGATCAGTTAGCCTGATCAGGCAGCCGTAGGCTTACATGGGTATGGCTTGCTCCTTTAGCACAAGTGTGTTCAAATTGTGTAGAGAAAAAAGAACACAACAGCTCAGGGGGTTCTGTTACAGAGGCACTGTGGATGCCAAATCCACTTTGCTTTAAACGAAACCTTCTCTTTAAAAGGATTTGACAGAGAGGAAGGGAAAAGGGAGTCTTTGAAAGGGCACGAGAACTCAGAGCGATTGCCGGGTTGAATATTTGTGTCTCAAACACACACATACACGACAGTAAGAAAAGGTTAGGGCTGGAGTATCTCAGCTGCTTATGTGGACAATTTTGGAGTTTTTCAGAAATTCAAACAAGGGATGCTCAAGCCTGTATTAATAAAATATTGTTCTTGAATGGTTTTAATGTCCCTCTTCTGTCTCTCCTGTTATTTCTGATGCGGTAGGAGCTTCTACAACACGGCTGTGTCTTTCAGGAGAGACATGGATGGGAACGACCTGGTTGGTTTAATCCCAAAGGTGAAGCACCGGTAAGCTTTGGAGAAGGGCAAGATTCAACATCAAAGTGAATGATATAACATTGGGTCTTGCAACCATCTCCCCAAACATCCCCCCACCTTCCAACCCACTCTTTGTACCCATTCCCTCCTTTATATCACTCTTCTTTTCTCCTCTTACCTTTTTACTTTTCTTTGTAGGCTTTGGACTATGACTATTATGGTGCATATGGTCAACAGTCCCATGAAGACTATCCCTACAACACATTGCTGTCGGATGAGTATACATTTGATTTTCCACCTCACCATAAGACTGTGAGTAGGAGGCCTTTGTACAATAATAATAATAGTATGCCAGCAAGTGATAACACTTATGAATTAATGTGGTTTGCTTGAAGCAGCTTCATTGTACCTTCTTCCTTGAGCGTGTTTCATAGCACTTTCCCGCTTTGGTGGAACTTCATAACACCTTCCTGTTTGAGGGAGCTCCATGGCACCTTCTTGCTTGAGGGAATTTCATGCCACCTTCTTCCTTGAGGGTGTTTCAAGGCACCTTCCTGTTTGAGGGAACTTCATAGCACCTTCTTGCTTGAAGGAGCTTCATGCCACCTTCTTCCTTGAGGGTGTTTCATGGCACCTTCCTGTTTGAGGGAACTTCATAGCACCTTCTTGCTTGAGGGAGCTTCATAGCACTTTCCCGCTTTGGTGAAACTTCATAACACCTTCCTGTTTGAGGGAGCTCCATGGCACCTTCTTGCTTGAGGGAGCTTCATACTTTCCCGCTTTGGTGGAACTTCATAACACCTTCCTGTTTTTAGGGAGCTCCATGGCACCTTCTTGCTTGAGGGAACTTCATGCCACCTTCTTCCTAGAGGGTGTTTCATAGCACCTTCCTGTTTGAGGGAACTTCATGGCTCAGTGGTGTGGAACCATCAGAGTTGGATTTGTAGTACGGTGTGGCACTGGCAATCCTTGGCATTGAAATCTTATAAAAATACAACTCCAAGGATCCTATCTCATTGAGCCATGGCAGTTAAAGTGGGGAAATCTGCTACAAAACAAGAGCTTTTTTTTTGAGTTCCAGGGTCAGAGAAGCAGATGGCAAAAATGGAAGAAGAGACAGAGTTTCATCTGTGCTGACAATCATGCCATCACCGCTGTTATCCACACCCAAATGCCATGATTCCACAGGATGGAATCATAGTGATATAATACTGCTGCAAGGGACAGGGAGTTTCATCTATGTCAACGATCGTGCCATCACCACTCAAGCAGCGAGCTTTGAAATGGTTGAACAGAAGCTCTCCGAAGCTTTAGGTGCTCTTACTGACTATTACAAGGGAAACCAGCTGATTCCTAATCCATCTGAAACATAGACATGTGTTTTTCTTCTTAAGAACAGACAAGCATCTCGAGCTCTGACGATTAGCTGGGAAGGAATCCCACTGGAGCATTGCAACACACCCAAATACCTGGGACCATGCTCTGACTTACAAGAAGTGTTGCTTGACTATCAAGCAAAAAGTGGGTTCTAGAAATAACATCATATGAAAGCTGATGGGCACAACCTGGGGATCACAACCAGACATAGTGAAGACATTGGTCCTTGCGTATGGATACTCTGCTTCTGAGTACGAATGCCCAGTGTGCAATACATCTCACCACACGAAAACAGTGGATGTGGCTCTTAATGAGACTTGCCGCATTATCACAGGATGCCTACACCCAACATCGCTGGAGAAATTATACTGTTTAGCTGGTATTGCACCACCTGACATTTGTCGGAAAGTAGCAGCCTGTAATGAAAGGACCAAGGCATTGACATCTTCGGCCCATCCTCTGTTTGGATATCAGCCATCATACCAAGACATAGCTTCCTAAGATCTACAGAGATACTCACAGGAACACCTCAGTAAGCAAGAGTCCAAAAGTGGCAGGTTAAAACCTAGAACCTCAATCCGTGGCTGATACCAGATGAGAGACTCCCCCCCGGGCACACAGAAGACTGGGTGACTTGGAAGGCGCTGAACAGACTGTGCTCTGGCACCACGAGATGCAGAGCTAACTTTAAGAAATGGGGCCACAAAGTGGAGTCCACAACATGCGAGTGTGGAGAAGAGCAAACAACAGACCACCGACTACAATGCAGCCTGAACCCTGCCATATGCACAATGGAGGACCTTCTCACAGCAACACCAGAGGCACTCCAAGTGGCCAGCTTCTGGTCAAAGAACATTTAGCATAATGCCAAGTTTTTAACTTCGTTTCTGCTTGTTTTTTAATGCATTATAACTGTATTCTTAATTCGCTTCTGACGTGACAAATACATATTTAAAGTGGGGCAGATGTGCCCCAAGTGATAGGGTGACTAATGTGAAAAAAAGGTGAGGGTCTGTGCAAGAAGGTTAGCACAATACAACCAAAATGCTGTTTTTCTGCATATACCGACTGACAAAGATACATCAAGCAGCTCTTTCTATCGAGATTATAAGTGAGAGACAGAAGTCTCTGCTCCCTGGATCCTGCCGCCGCCAAAGCCAGCGTAGGAGGAGACATCCTTGCCCAGGTCTCTTTTGACTTCCACATCCATCAAACCCACACAAAGTGGCGTTCCTTGTATTTTATTTTCCACAAAGGGAGCAGCGCCTCGCTGCTCATTGCGAAAAGCAACGGTTGGGCCCTTTCAGGAGGAGGATGTCACCAAGCTCAAAGAGCTTTGAGTTCTGGAGCGGCTGAGGAGGACCTCATTTCCAGCAGATATTCTAAGAAGGAAGGGAAAGAAAGGAAAGGAAAGGAAAGGAAAGGAAAGGAAAGGGAGGGAGGGAGGAAAGAAAGAAGGAAGGAAGGAAAGAAAGAAGGAAGAAAGGAAGGAAGGAAGGAAGGAAGGAAGGAAGGAAGGAAGGAAGGAAGGAAGGAAGGAAGGAAGGAAGGAAAGGGGAGGAAAGGAAGCAAGGAAAGGAAGGAAAGGAGGAAGAAAGGAAAGAGGAAGGAAGGAAAGAATAAGGAAGGAAAGAGAGGAAGGAAAGAGAAGAAAGAAGAAAGGGAGGAGGGAAATATAAGGATGGAAAGGGAAGAAAGAAGGAAGGGAAGAAAGAAGAATAGAAAGAAATATATAGAGAGAGGGAGGATAGGGATAGAGACAGACAGACAGATATTAAAAGCTCAGTGTGATTCATGGGACTTCCTCCTCGGGGTGGCTTTTGAAGTGTGCCTTTTTCACACCTTTCAGTGCAGACTGTTTTCCCCATCACTAACCCATCCCTTGTGTCTTATGTTGTCCACTTTCAGATCAGAAATGAGTGCCTAACTTGCCGAAATGCTCTAGCTGTGTTTGATATGTCGTACTTTGGCAAATTTTACCTTGTTGGTCCAGAAGCTCGGACGGCGGCCGACTGGCTCTTTACGGCCGATATTCGGAAACCAAACGGTATGTCATCCACGTACCAATTGATGATCCCTTATCTCAGGGGTTCTCACACTTTTTTCAGCCACGGAGTCCTGTAGAAACAATACAAATTGGCACTATTTGGACTCGATCCAGAATAATATGAGTTTTAGCTTGATGAGACGCGATCACAATGTGTCAGAGAGAGAAAAGACCTTGCAAAACGACAACTCCAAGGATTCATAGCATGGAGCCATGGTAGTTCAAGTGGGGCCAAACTGCATTCATTCGACAGAGCCAATGCACTGTTTGTATATGTGTGTGTGTTGATCATAAGTAAAGTTACCTTCAGGGCTGTTTTCCTCAAGGTTTCCTCACCGGCCTCGTCTTGTGGCCACTCTCCGAAATGGAGAGCGAGAGAGGAACCGTAATGGATGTGTTTCCCCCTCCTTTTTCGTAACCATGGCCCCATAATTTGCTCTTACCTAGTGATCCATCAGGATGTTTTCTGTTTCCAGGGACAACCATTTACACCTGCATGCTCAATCAGCGCGGAGGCGTTGAGAGCGACCTGACCGTCAGCCCGATAGACCCCGGCACTCAGGATTCGGCATTGGCGCCGGTGTTCGAAGGTAAAAAACGAACCCCGCCCCCACTGTTTCCTTTCCTTGATCACAAACCAATTAAACTCTTAAACTCTTCAAAATGTGCTGCCTGATTCAGGTGTCAAACAGGTCTCTCTGCACCGTAGTTTGTACCATAGCACCATTACCCAGGTTAAATATATTTAAAGTTGTCTATTAGATATACTCATGCTTTACTTTTCAATTTTGGGAACGGTCCTGTTTGAAAATGCATACCCATATAATGAGGCAAGGTCAATGCCCACCAAACCCTTCCAGTATTTTTTTCCAAAATATGGGCACCCCAAAACTTCTCCAAAGCAAGCATGCCCGTCCGCAACCCCCTTCCCTGCCCTCTCTGTTTAGAAATACATCCAGGAAAGTTACTTTCCCCTCTTCACGAAACCAACTGTGGACAGTTGCTTGCTTTAACTTCGGAAATGCTCAGACTAATTGCCTGTCAAATCGAAGAGTATCCAGACAGGTTGTCCTCAGTGCTGGAAATAATGAGTTGCTAAATTACAGAGCACTTAACACCAGCTTTCGTAAGACTTTATGCAGACTACAAAAGATCCCTAAATTCAAACTTTGAAGGAAAAGCATCCCAAGGCCATCTAGGAGACACTACCTAATGTTTTCGGAGGTATGTTGGACAATGGCCTAATTCCTGTCACTGTCCCCCTTATCCAGGGGATGGCTACTACCTTGCTGTTGGTGGCGCGGTGGCGCAACACAACTGGTCCCACATCACAACAGTTCTACAGGACAAGAAGTTCCAGTGCCGACTGATTGACCGGTCAGAAGAGCTTGGCATGATCAGCATCCAAGGACCATCCAGGTGAGAGGAGCAGCTAGATGTCCAAAATATCCCAGGTGGGAAGAGGGTGATGTAGGGAGGGATCGGGGAGACATTGACAGGTGTTCCTGCAAGTATTATGAGGCCTTTGGGGAGTCTGGAGAAGTTTCTCAGGAAGGTTTGGCCCATCTCTGTTTTGGGACAGCCCATAAGTTGTATATTATTTTTAGTTTGTTTGGTAATCTACCCTGGGTCTCACCTTGGGAGAAAAGCAGAATATAGAATAAATAAATGAATCGATGAGGGTGAGATGGATGGATAGATGTAGATAAATGGGCTGATGGATGGGTGGGTGGATGGGTGGGTAAGTGAGTGGGTGGGTGGGTAGAAGGATGGATGAATAGATAGATAGATAGATAGATAGATAGATAGATAGATAGATAGATAGATAGATAGATCGGCAGAAGACAGACATGGGTGAATGGATGGATAGGTGAGTGAGTGGATGGAAAGATAGAGATGGAGATAGATAGACAATGGGTTGATATAAAAACAAATGGATAATAGATGGATCAATAAATATAGAGGATTGACAGATAGATGAATGAGTGGATTGATCGATGGATCAATAGGTGGATGGATAGACAGACAGACATGGGTGAATAGGTAGATAGAGAAATGGAGATAGATAGATGGATGGGTGGGTTGATAGATGAATGGGTAGACAGACATATGTGGGTGGGTAGAGTTGGAGATAGATGAATGGGTGGGTGGGTTGATCAACAAATGTATGAATAGATGAATGAATTGATAGATAGATGGATAGACAGACAGACAGACATGGGTGAATGGATGGATAGGTGAATGGGTGGATGGAGATGGAGATAGATGGTGGGTTGATAGAAAAATAGATGGATAATAGATGGATAAATATAGAGGATTGACAGATGGATGGGTTGATAGATGGATGGAGATAGATAAATAGAGTTGGAGATGGAGATGGATGGATGGATGGATGGATGGATGGATGGATGGATGGATGGATGGATGGATGGGTGGGTGGGTGGGTGGGTTGATAGATGTATGGATGGATAGATGGATGGACAGACATAGATGGGTGGATGGAGTGATGGAGCTGGAGATGGAGATAGATGAATGGGTGGGTGGGTTCAACAAATGTATGAATAATGAATGAACTGATAGATAGATAGATAGATAGATAGATAGATAGACAGACAGACAGACAGACAGACAGACAGACAGACAGACAGACAGACAGACAGACATGGGTGAATGGATGGATAGGTGAATGGGTGGATGGAGATTGATAGAAAAATAGTTGGATAAATATAGAGGATTGACAGATAGATGGATGGGTAGGTTGGTAGATGGATGGAGATACATAGATAATAGATAGACAGACATGGGTGGATAGAGAGGTGGAGTTGGATGGATGGGTGGATTGATAGACAGATGTATGGATGGATAGGTGGATGGACGGACAGACAGATAGACAGACAGACATGGATGGTTGGAGAGATGGAGATGGAGTTAGATAGATGGGTGAGTTGATGGACAGTTGGATGGATAGATCGACAGACATGGATTGATGGAGAGATGGAGTTGGAGATAATTGGATGGGTGGCTTGATAGATGGATAGATAGATAGATAGCCATACAGACATGGATGAATGGGTGGATGGAGTTGGAGATGGAGATAGATGGGTGGGTGGGGGTGGGGATTTGGATGGATGGAGAGAGAGAGAGAGAGAGAGAGAGAGAGAGAGTGGTGGGTGGGTAAGTGGACATCTACTTGGATGGATGAGTAGGTAGGTAGGTAGAGATGTATGTATGTATGTATGTATGTATGTATGTATGGATGTATGTATGTATGGATGTATGGATAGATAGATAGATAGATAGATAGATAGATAGATAGATAGATAGATAGATAGATAGATAGAGATGGATAATGGTGGGTGGGTAGGTGGACATCTACATGGAAGGATGGATGGATGAGTAGGTAGGTAGGTAGAGATGGAGGGAGGTGAGATAGATGGATGGCTAGATGGATAGTTAGAAAGATAAAAAAAATAGGATTGATAGATAGCTAGATACAGAGATGGTTGAATGGATAGATGTAGACAGGCAGATAGACCAAATGATCAACCAGAAAGTTTTGAGCTCCAGTGCACTTGGACTTGGATGGAAGCAGGTGGGTTTTTGATCTCTGCTTCAGGCAGCACAATGTCTTGGGGTCAGTTTGGGTCAGCCATAGAGACTCCATGACGGACCACACCAGCAGCATGCCAGCAAGGCTCGTTTCCAAAGCTTTGCTTTTTCCCCCCTTTGAAGCCCGATTTTGCCCGCTCGCGGCGATGCCGTTTTGACAGCCAGCTTTGACAGCAGTTCTTTGCATTGGAAATCGTAAGAGGATTTTCACTCATTATCCTGAGGTTTCGTTAATTTCCCCTAATGCTCAGCCCCTCCTTTCCCAATCCTTCAGCTTTCCTTGGGGACACTTGCAGGCCTGTCACGCCGGATTCGTTGGCATTTGTGACATGATGCCACAGAAATCCGGTGCCCGCTGAGCACAAAAATCCTCCAAACTTCAAGAGATAGACAGTGTGATTCTTGTCAGCGTTGGCTTCCTCGGGGGACAAAAAGGAAATTCAAGAGCTTTTCTGGCATATTTAAAGTTTGAGAACCAAAGTACAAAGAGACCATGATTTTGGGGGAAAGAACCATGAGTTTTGGGAACTTTGGGAGAAAAAGCCACAACAGCTATCTCATTGATTGTCATATATCAACCACTATTAACCAATTCTACATTTTTATAGAATCCTAGAGTTGGAGAGGACCTCCAAGGGCCATCTAGTCCAACCCCCTTCTTCCAGGCAGAAGGGCACCATCAAAGCTCTCCTGACAGGTGGCCATCCAGCCTCTAAACTAATTAATATGCTTCCCCTATTGAGTTAGAAGGGACCCCAAAGAGACATCCATTGAGGGATTTCTCCCCAGCCCAGCACTGCTGTAAATAAATAGAATTATTACTACTACTACTACTACTACTACTACTACTACTAACTGTACCCAGCCACACATTACAAAATTAAAATGAAAAAGGATTTGGGTGAGTTTGGATTCTTAATTTTTAGGATCAGGTCATGCCCACGTGTCAGACATTGCTTCGGAAGTACAGGTTTAACGAATTTTAGTGCAACTTATGAATTTTTACGAATTTTAGTGTGAATTCCAAACTTTTTGCACAAGCCTAGTGTGCATGCATATCAGAGGAAAGGATGGGACTATTGGTTGCCACAGTCTTCTCAAAAAAGTAGGAAAGGTTGAATTGGGTATGCCCATTCGTAGAGTAAAGTTTTCCCCTGACATTAAGTCCAGTCGTGTCCAACTCTGGAGGTTGATGCTCATCTCCATTTTTAAGCCAAAGAACCAGCATTGTCCGTAGACACCTCCAAAGTCATGTGGTCGGTATGACTGCATGGAACGCCATTACCTTCCCACCGGAGCAATACCTATTGATCTACTCACATTGGCATGTTTTCAAAAGCTGGGGCTAACAGCAAGAGCTCATGTTGCTACCCAGATTCGAACCTGCGACCTTTCGATCAGCAAGTTCAGCAGCTCAGCGGTTTGACCCACCGCACCACTGGGAACTCCTATGTGCCTATTCATGTTAAGGACAAAGAGCTCTGTCCGTGGTTGGGAGGAGGAGAAATGTATTTGTGTGTCAAAGACAAAGGGATGGGACCGTGTGTGTGTGTGTGTGTGTGTGTGTGTGTGTGTGTGTATAAAAAATATGCTACAAAACAGGAGCTTTTTTGTTGAGTTCCAGGGTCAGAGATAGTGAAAACAGAATGAATTGGTAGCCCATTCTCCTCAAATAAGTAGGAGAGGTTGGTCTTGGTTGACAGAACCATTTGGTAGGACAAGCAACCAGTCCTGGGTTGGGCATCTGGCAAGAGTGTGACACCATGGAGAGGAAATGGGTCTGTCCTTGGATCCTTGGTTGCCATATTGTCCTCACAGTGGCTTTTCTCCTTTCTCAAAGCCGTGAAGTCCTACAAGACGTCCTCGAAACGGATCTCGGTGATGGTGCTTTTCCGTTCTCCACACACAAGCTGGTGAAGGTCGCAGGTTGCATGGTAGGTAAGCCCCTGTGTACCCCTAAAAACCTGATCAGTGTCTGCTTGTTAGTCTGTGTAGTATTCATAATATTGGGGGGCGAGGAGTCCTACATCTCCTAGTTGGGACTTCTATACTTCCAGACATCATAGAAGTCTCTGGCTGCCAAGTTCTTTCCAGCTGATGTTTTTTCCAGGAGATAAATTGTTTCTAAGCCAAGCAGATGGAGAGAGAAAAGAAAGGCAGGACGTGGGGGGAACCGCACACAAGTCTCTATGACCTCCGCAGAGCTGGGTTCTGCTGATTGTAATCATGATGAAGCTCCTCCGATGACATGACAGGTCAGCCATGACCTCAGCCGTCCAGCATGCAAACCCAACAGGCACCGGTCCAAGAAAGAAACCAGACATCTCCGTCTTGGAGAGAGAGAGAGAGAGAACAGAGTCAGTTGGCTTGGATGACCCTTCGGAGCTCTTAAATGTGATGTGTCTTGGATGTGTCATGGAAGTCAGGACCCAAAGACATCCCATGGAAATCACCAATGTCTGCTATTGTCTGGTTTCTCGCACTCCAATAGGGCTGTGATGGGGAATCCTACAAACTCATTGGGAGTAGCCCAATGGACGTCAAGTAGAAAGTGGAGCGAGATTGCTTTCTGATGCTCCAGAGAGAAGGACACAAACAAATACAAATGGGATTCCACCTAAATATTAGGAAGAACATTGTTTTACTGCAAGAGCCATTCAACCACGGAATAGATCTCCATTGAAGGTGGTTGAACATCTACATCTTGGGTCCCTCCCTTCCAGCTCAAAAACTCAATTCTTCAATGATTACCACTCAAAGTCAATGCTCTCCACAGTCTCATTCCAAAGATATTATTTAATGTATCAGAAGCGAATTGAGAGTAGTTATTGTGTGTATGTGTGTGTGTGTGTGTGTGTGTGTGTGTGTGTGTGTGTGTGTGTGTATATATATATATATATATATATATATATATATATATATATATATATTAGGGCTGGGCAACCACGGAAAAATTTGTTTCTAAACTCGATTCGTTTTTAGGGGGTTTTTGCGTTTCGATTTTTAAAAGAATTCCGAAATTTTTCTTTAAAAAAGTTCGAAATTTACGAAATTTCGGAAATTACGAAACAATTACGAAACAATTACGAATCGATTCATTAATGGCGGACGCGACCACGCAATACGCTAAAAAAACCTCCAAATGGGACAGGGGGAACTTCTGAAGCTTCCCTCTCCCTCTGTTGTTGACTGTTGGTGTGATAATTATATTTTTTTTCACTGATAAAACAAACAACAACTATAAAACTTGCACCAGACATGCGGAAATAATAACGAAACGATTTCGAAACGATTTCAAAACAATTACAAAACAATTACGAAACGAATTGAAAAATTCGTTTCGATTTTTAGTTGGTCCTGAATGGTTCAATATCGCTTCGTTATCAAAAAAAATAACGAATTAATAACAAATTACGAAATTAACGAACGAAACCGCCCAGCCCTAATATATATATATAATATGCTACAAAACAGGAGCTTTTTTGTTGAGTGCCAGGGTCAGAGATAGCAAAAACAGAATGAATATATATATATATGTGCCATGATTCCATAGGGTGGAATCATAGTCATATAACACTGCTGGAAGGGACAGAGTGTTTCATCTATGCCGACGATCATGCCATCACCGCCCAAGCAGTGAGCTTTGAAATGCTTGAACAGAAGCTCTCCAAAGCTGTAGGTGCTTTACTATCCTATTGCTATCCACACCCAAATGCCATGATTCCATAGGGTGGAATCATAGTCATATAACACTGCCAGAAGGGACAAAGAGTTTCATCTATGCTGACAATCGTGTCATCACCGCTCAAGCAGTGAGCTTTGAAATGCTTGAACAGAAGCTTTCCAAAGCTTTAGGTGCTTTAGGATCCTATTGCTATCCACATCCAAATGCCATGATTCCATAGGGTGGAATCATAGTCATATAACAGTGCTGGAAGAGACAGAGAATTTCGTCTATGCTGATGATCATGCCATCACCGCTCAAGCAGTGGAGCTTTGAAATGCGTGAACAGAAGCTCTCCAAAGCTTTAGGTGCTTTAGGATCCTATTGCTATCCACACTCAAATGCCATGATTCCATAGGGTGGAATCATAGTCATATAACATTGCCGGAAGGGACAGAGAGTTTAATCTATGCTGATGATCGTGCCATCACCGCTCAAGCAGTGAGCTTTGAAATGCTTGAACAGAAGCTCTCCAAAGCTTTAGGTGCTTTAGGATCCTGTTGCTATCCATACCCAAATGCCATGATTCCATAGGGTGGAATCATAGTCATATAACACTGCTGGAAGGGACAGAGAGTTTCATCTATGCTGACGATCGTGCCATCACCGCTCAAGCAGTGAGCTTTGAAATGCTTAAACAGAAGCTCTCCAAAGTTGGGATTTCTGGCTGCCAGGGAGTTTTTTAAGCCTTCCAGTTATGGATAGGATAGAGAGAGAGAAAGACGGCGATTGTAGACACGAGGAGGTGGTGCCGAAGGAAGACAAATGGATGCCTGCTCATTTCTCCCCGCCGCCAAAGCCAGCTGCAACCCCGTTTTACATCTGCAAAGACAAATCTAAAATAAAAGTGATTGGCGTATAATGGCAGGGTTTGAAAAGCGACTCCTCCGGCAACAATTGAAAAGGTATTGTGAGTTTATTTTGGGAGCTCTGACAATAGAGTCGCACTCCGAGAGCTGTCACCGTTGTCTTGGCGGTGGAGCAAAACACAGGTTGACATCATGTTCTATTCAAGAAGGAGATGGACACGCGGAAAGGGGTCCGGAGAAGGACGAGCGAAAAGGCCCAAGGTCTGGAAACTATGAATCTGAATGAGGAGTGGCTTCGGGAGATGAGGGTGTTTCGCTTGGAGAACCAAAGGTCAAACGGGGACATGATCATCATCTATCTATGTATATAATAAAAGTCAGTGTTTGTATGTGGAGGGAGGACGGTGTATGTTGCAGCTTTCTGCCACTTTCACAGCTCTCTGTGACCAGCACAGGTGATGGACCTGGACCAAACTTGGCACACATAACCCCCATGACCCCCTTTACATCCTGGTGGGGTTTGGGGGAATACGGACAAAGGATGATGGGATTTGTAGTATTTTCAAACCCTCGGTTCCCAAAAGCCCCTACAAAGACCGATAAAGACCAAACTTGGCACACAGAGCCCCCATGACCCACTCTACATCCTACTGCAGTTTGGAGGAGGCCTGACCATGGATGATGGGACTTGAAGTACCTCCACTCACTTCCTGAGACCACTGCAACCCTCATCCAATGACCAATCAAGACCAAACTTTGCACACATAACCCCCATGACCCTCTTTACGTCCTGGTGAGGGTTGGGGGAGGACGGACAATTGATGATGGGATTTGTAGTACTCTCCCACCACTTTTGTTCCCACAGAGTACTATGGTCCCCAATAAAGACCGATAAAGACCAAACTTGGCACACAGAGCCCCCATGACCCACTCTAAATCCTACTGCTGTTTGGAGGAGGGCAGGCCATGGATGATGGAACTTGCAGTACATCCACTCACTTCCCGAGACTGCTGCAACCCTCATCCAATGACCAATCAAGCCCAAACTTGGCACACAGAGCCCCCATGACCCACTCTACATCCTACTGCTGTTTGTAGGAGGGCAGGCCATAGATGATGGAACTTGCAGTACATCCACTCACTTCCCGAGACTGCTGCAACCCTTATCCAACGACTAATCAAGACCAAACTTGGCACACAGAGCCCCCATGACCCACTCTACATCCTACTGCTGTTTGTAGGAGGGCAGGCCATGGATGATGGAACTTGCAGTACATCCACTCACTTCCCAAGACCGCTGCAACCCTCATCCAATGACCAATCAAGACCAAAATTGGCACACAGAGCCCCCATGACCCACTCTACATCCTGGTGCTGTTTGGAGAACGATGGACCATGGACGATGGGACTCGCAGTAACTTCACTAACTTCCTGAGAGCACTGCGAGCCACATAAATAACTGATAAAGACCAGCCTTGGTGCACAATGCCTTTCTCAAATTACCCAAGCAACGCCGGGTATCCAAACTAGTCTTTAAATATTTGAAGGGAGGACATATTGAAGAGGGAGTTAAGACATGAGAAAAATAGAAAATGGTCGCAATCATATAAATAGCAAAAAACAGACATTAAATTATGCCAGTGGCATGGAGATAAATGTCCATGTCATCGAGTTGTTTCAAGGTTGCGAATGTTTCAAGCACTCAGGGAAGGGTGAAAGACCTCTTGTTGTCAGCTTGTGTAAGCGAGCCAAAGAGTTGGTATTGCAACTCTTTGCAGGAGATGGTAAAATGCCCAGAAAAGTCACACATTGTCACCCTGGCAGCCTACACAGTGTTCATTTCCACTGCGGGAATGGGATTGGGTGCATCATCTGATGAAGGAAAAGCCACTGTGAGCTGGATAAATAGAGAACCCGATCTTTCCGAGTCAAAAGTACAATGGAGCGGCTCCGAATTGTATTGTGGGGTTTTAAGGAGCCATCCAAGGTGCTGAAACAGTTTCGACAGGGTTCAAAAGCTCAAACAGTTCTTTGGGATTTATAGAGATGGAAATAATAATAATAATAATAATAATAATAATAATAACTTTATTTGTACCCCACTACCATCTCCCCAAGGGACTCGGTGCGGCTTACATGAGGTCGAGCACATAATACATCAATACAAGCAATAACAACAACAATAAACAATTAAAATAAAACTCATAAACAAAAAAGCAATAACAATAACAGTAGATACAACACACATTTTAAAATTTATGGCTGGGCCAAATGCAATTAAAGTTTAAAAATAATGCTAGGCATGAACAAGGTAGGAGAGATGGGGCGTTGGTGAAAGCATACAAACAATCCTAATCAGTGTAAAGTGCATTTAGAGGACATAATATTGAGAGTTCATTATTCTGGGAAGGCGCACTGGAACAATCACATTTTCAAGCTCCTCCTAAAGACTGCCAAAGTTGGGGAATGCCTGATGTCCTTGGGACTGAGTTCCAGAGTCGAGGGGCCACCACCGAGAAGGCCCTATCCCTCGTCCCCACCAGTCGCACCTGCGATGGCGGTGGGAGCGCGAGCAGGGTCTATCTAGATGATCAAAGAGATCGTGTGGGTTCGTACACAGAAATGCAGTCATGCAGGTAGGCAAGTCCCAAACCGTTCAGGGCTTTGTAGGTAAGAATCTGCACCTTGAAATGGGACCGGAAAATGAACGACAGCCAATGGAGCTCCTTAAACAGGAGGGTTGACCGCTCCCTGTAAGGAGCACCAGTTTACAACCTGGCCACCGCCCGTTGGACCAACTGGAATTTCCAGGCCGTTTTCAAGGGTAGCCCCACGTAGAGTGCATTACACTAGTCCAATCTGGAGGTGACTAAGGCATGGACCGCCCTGGCCAGATCCGCCTTCACGAGTTATGGTCGCAATTGGTGCACGAGTCTCAGTTGTGCAAAGGCCCTCCCGGCCACCACCGACGCCTGAGCTTCAAGCGTAAGTGATGAATTCAGGAGGACACCCAAACTGCGGACCTGTGACTTCAGGGGGAGTGTAACCCCGTCCAGCACAGGTTGCCACCCTATACCCCGATCCGGTTTACGATCGACCAGGAGGACCTCTGTCTTGTCGGGATTGATCTTCAGCTTGTTCATCCTCATCCAGACAGCCACAGCGGCCAGGCACTCGTCCAGCACCTGAGGGGCTTCCTTGGAGTTAGGTGGAAAAGAGTAGTAGAGTTGTGTGTCATCTGCGTAGAGATGGCACCCAACTCCAAAACTCCGGATGACCTCTCCCAGCGGTTTCATGTAGATGTTAAAAAGTATGGGAGACAGAATAGAGCCTTGCGGGACCCCACAGGTCAAAGGCCAGGGGTCCGAGCAGGCGTCTCCCAGCTTCACCATCTGGAATCGACCCTCCAGGAAGGACCGGAGCCACGACAAAGCCGAGCCTCCAAGGTCCATCTCGGAGAGTCGTCCCAGAAGGATACCAAGACTTTGTTACATCATTAAAGACTCTAAAGACTATCTCTACAGGAAAATCCTTAAAGGCCTCTTTTGAGGAGCCCTGGCTTCCCACTGGGCACAAGGTGCACGTCCTATTTCAAAAGTCAATTATTACAAGCCCAGCACGTAACAGAACATGTAGTGTATTCTTAGGTTATTTCCTTCACTTTTTGTATAGGTCGACAGGAGAAAGAATGCTTCCACCTGTGGATGCTCGGATTTTGTTGACGAGATTATTCCAGTGTCATTGGGCACTCGGCGATCTGCCTCTGCTTGACATGCGCTCGGGGAGCCGCACATGGCCACACCGAGCTTGTAACTGACACTTCCTTGCCACGTCTTTCTTTGTCTCCCCCTTTTCCAGCGATGGATTTGCATATCTCGTCTCGGTTATGAGCCATGAATATTTCATCAGGCTAATCTCGATTAATGCGCCGTGTCATGTTAAATGAGCGTCTCGGGAAGAAGCTCCGACTGAGCCGAGATGACAGCTCCGTTTCGGAGCGCGGATGCGTGCCGAAAGATCAAAATGTTTTCCCCCAACCTACAAATACATATGTGGCAGAAGGCCCCATTGTATTGGTGTCTTTGTTGGCACGTTGTTGTGTTGACGGGACTCGAGGCTGTGAAACCGATCCGCTAGTATACAAATACAAGGGGATTTGTGTAATAGGGGAAATGAATCATGCCGTTTATGTAATGTGCGATTGTATAGCTTGAGTTTCCCTTCTCAGAAATGCTTAGGACCAAAGACTATGGCTGTGTATACGTACAGAATGAGATACCTTAGAGATGGGACTTGAGGCCTGATTTGCATTGATTTCTAACAATATTTGTAACTAGCCACCCCCTGCCACGCATTGCTGTGACCCAGTCTGTGTATATGTGCCTTGTGTGTGTATGTGTGTGTATATTTGCGTATATGTGTGTGTGTGTGTGTATATATACATGTGGTTTTGTGCATACATTGTAGTGTATTGTTTATTAGTTGGCTTTTAAAGTCTTTTCTGCTATGTTTTTCAGTGTTTTTATGAGTGATGGTCACTCGTTGGCCTGATATGTGTATTGTGTCCAAATTTGGTGTCAATTCATCCAATGGTTTTTAAGTTATGTTAATCCCACACACGAATATTACATTTTTTAATTTATATAGACTAGCCATCCCTTGCCACGTGTTGCTGTGGCCCAGTCTGTGTATATGTCTTTTGTGTATGTATATATGTGTGTATATGTGTGTATATATTTGTATGTATGTGTATATATGTGTGTTTGCATGTGTGTGTGTGTGTCTAGTGCATGCATTGTAATATATTTTTTATTTTTTGGCTTTTAAGTCTCTTCAGCTGTATTTTTCAGTGTTTTAATGAGTGATGGTCACTCATTGGCCTGATACGTGTCTTGTGTCCAAATTTGGTGTCAATTCGTCCAGTGCTTTTTGAGTTATGTTAATCCCACAAACAAACATTACATTTTTATTTATATAGACTAGCCATCCCCTGCCAGGCATTGCTGTGGCCCAGTCTGGCGATCTGGAAAATAAAGTAATGAGAAAGTGTTGGTTTCTAATATATGTAATGTCTTTATGCTTGTGTTGATGTAGAGATTGTCTGGTTGGCCTACTCTGGAGCATGCAACATAGAATTGTCCTTTTAGGGGTCCCTTTCAAATCTATGATACTATTTATCTCTCTGTATTATCATAATATCTATCTATCTATGGCTGGATGGCTCTTTGTCAGGAGGGCTCTGATTACATTTTCTTGCGCTGGTGAAAGAGTTGGACTGAATGGCTTTAAGTATTTTCTGTTGGTCATGGGGGTTCTGTGTGGGAAAGTTGCCCCAATTCTGTCGTTTGTGGGATTCAGAATGCTCTTTGATGTAGGTGAACTATAATCCCTGTAACTACAAGTCCCAAATGCCAAGGTCTATTTTCCCCAAACTCCACCAATGTGTTCATATTTGGCATATGGAATATTCGTGCCAAGTTTGGTCCAGATCCAACATTGTTTGAGTCCACAGTGCTCTCTGGATGTAGGTGAACTACAACTTCTAAACTCAAGGTCAATGTTCACCAAACCCTTCTTGTGCTTTCTGTTGGTCATGGGAGTCCTGTTCTGCCACGTTTGGTTCAATTCCATCGTTAGTGGGGTTCAGAATGCTCTTTGATTGTAGGTGAACTATAAATCCCAGCAACTACAACTCCCAAATGACAAAATCATTTTTTTGAGTGAAGGACATACATTGGGTTGTTAGGTGTCTTTTGTCCAAATTCGGTGTCAATTCGTCCAGTGGTTTTTGAGTTCTGTTAATCCTACAAACGAACATTACTTTTTTTATTTATATAGATTTATTATTTGTACATGAAACAGAATTTTGTGCCTAGTGAAAGCAAAGGAGTCCCAGGGTGCATTTACATTGTCGAATGCATGCAGCTTGACACCACTTGCATTGGCACGGCTGAAGGCTAGGGCGTTGTGAGAGATATAGTTTAGTGGGATCCTAGCACAAGGCTAAAGACCTTGAAAAACTACCATTCCCGTAATCCCATGACATGAATCTATAGCTTTCCAAAACATTATTTAACAATGTAGATTTTTTTTTTGTCGTGTCAGGAGCAAGTCGCTTCTGGTGTGAGAGAATTGGCCGTCTGCAAGGACGTTGCCCAGGGGACGCCCGGATGATTTGATGTTTTTTATCATCCTTGTGGGAGGCTTCTCTCATGTCCCCGCATGAGGAGCTGGAGCTGATAGAGGGAGCTCATCCACCTCTCCCTCGGCCTTCTTCAGTCCTGCCAGCCGACTGTCCTTCCTCCAACGGCCTTCGGCACTCTATCGCCTCCTCTCCCTCCACACTCTCATCTCCCTCCCTAATCTCGATGCTCGCCCCCTCCCCTCCCCTTCCTCATCCACCTCTCCCCGGATTCGAACCTGCGACATGTTGGTCTTCAGTCCTGCTGGCACAGGGGTTTAACCCAATGTGCCACCGGGGGCTCCAACAATGTTGATGCAACCTGAGTGATGTTTACTTCAGTCTGCTAAGAATATACTGACAAAGGGTCAACCTAAGCTCTAAGGGGAAAGGAATTCCCTTGCAATGTCATGCTGACATACCGTATTTTTCCTTCTTTTTCTTCTCCACTGTCTTCTTGTCCTTCTTCTCCCATCATTTCTTCTATTATCTTGGTCTCTCCATGCCCTTAGGTGCGTGCCATGAGGCTGTCATTCGTGGGTGAGATGGGATGGGAGCTCCATGTGCCCAAGAAGGACTGCGTGACCGTCTACCGCGCAGTCATGAAAGCTGGCGCCAAACATGGCATCATGAACGCGGGCTATCGAGCCATCGACTCGCTCAGCATTGAGAAAGGTTGGAAGGGAGCATTTATTTCTCTTTGCAAGGGATGGGTTAGGACTTCCGCCAATGGATATAGAAACCAGAGTTCAGGCATTACAGCAAAGCATATCCCAGATGGAGATCCACCAAACCCAAGTCTAAGTTGAGATTCTGAACTATAGTCAAGCTTTTGAATCTATAGCAACATTATCTGCTTGGATAATGTTGGATAATCGCCTCCCTCTGAACGTGACGAGCACTGCCATTTTGGATCATGCTTAAGCCTCCTTATCACCGCCTATGCAAATGTATGCAAAATACTGGCAGCAAGCCTTGATTGATGCAAAACAATGGGTGGCAACTCAAAATCGGGGCTAACATGGTTGCCATCCTTTGGAGGTGAAGGAACACATAGTGGTTCAGGGTTGCCGAGCCAAATTGGGGCTAAGATTACTGAGAAATGATACTCTTAGGTTACAGGCACTGGCACGCAGACCTCCGACCAGATGATAGCCCACTCGAGGCGGGCCTCGCTTTCACCTGCAAACTTAAGACGGACATCCCTTTCCTCGGACGAGAAGCTATAGAGGCCCAGAAAGCCTCTGGAATCTTCCGCCGTCTGGTCTGCTTCACCATTGATGAGTGAGTAACACATAGTAGACATCCATGGCATCAACTCTACTGTTAATATCAAATAGAGTTTGAGTGTTGAATTGCTCTGATTTAGCTCCATGTTGACTTAGCAGTCTGCAGTTGATCTCTTTGGCACCTCTCAGAATTTCTAAGTCCTCCACTGCAATTCATGGGTCAATGTCCTTCGGAAGTTGACCATAAAGTCATGCTGTTGGACCTAAAGACTTCATGGATCACAAAATCTATAATTTTGGCCCTAGAGCCTGCTCTCAACTTATACATTATTCAAGGACAGAAGGCAGATGTTGTGAGCAAGATGGAATTGTTCAGCAATGAGTCAACATGGAGCTCCGCCCAATGGGTCTTCTTCAGTGTTCATAAACAATAGGATTTCAGTGGTGGAAGTTGGCCATAAAGTCATACAGGAGAAGCTAGGATTCCAAGACTGAACACTTCTCTAGAAATCTCCCATTCTTCCACTGCAACTTTATGGTCCATTTCTGCGAGTTGGCCATAAAGTCATGGTGGAAGGTCTGGAAATCCCTAGACAGAAGACCTACCTAGGAATCCCTCGGTCCTTCAGTGCAACTCAATGGTCAACATACTTTAGAAGTTGGACATAAAGTCATGCTGGAAGACCTAGAAATTCCTAGTCACTGCAACTCAATGGTCTATGTCCTTCAGAAGTTGGCCATAAAGTCATGGTGGAAGATTCGGAAATCCCTAGACAGAACACCTACCTAGAAATTCCTGGATCCTTGACAATGGTCAACATTGTTTAGAAGTTGACCATAAAGTCATGCTGGAAGACCTAGAAATTCCTAGTCACTGCAACTCAATGGTTAATGTCCTTCAGAAGTTCGCCATAAAGTCATACTGGAAGATCTAGAAATCCCTAGACAGAACACTTACCTAGGAATCCCTAGGTCCTTCAGTGCAGCTCAATGGTCAATATTATTTAAAAACTGGCCATAAAGTCATGCTAGAATACCTAGAAATTACTACTCACTGTAGCTCAATTGTCAACATCCTTCAGAATTTGGCCATGAAGTCATACTGGAAGATCTGGAAATCTCTAGACAGAACACCTACCTAGGAATCCCTAGGTTCTTCAGTGCAGCTCAATGATCAACATCCTTCAGAGGCTGACCATAAAGCCATGCTGGAATTAGAAATTCCTAGTCACTGCAACTGAATGGTCGACGTCCTTCAGAAGTTGACCACAAAGTCATGCTGTAGAACTTAAAGACTTCATAAATCATGAAATCTACAATTTTGGCCCTAGAGCCTGCTCTCAACTTATACATGAGGTTGACATCTATATGAGGTCAACATATACGTGAGATATGAGGTCAACTCATTCATGAGGTCAAGTTATACTTGAGGTCGACTTATTCATGAGTCTATATGGAAACTTTGAATGGAATACTTGTATCCAAGCAATTGGGCTGAATCCAGTTCTCTGAATAAGTAGTCCACTTTGGACAGCTCTCTAAAAGTTTGGAATAAAACCCAGAGCAGTTTCAAGTTACACACCGCTGACACAGAAGGTTGGTTTGTTATATCTGATAGTATACCTTTTGTTATTTTCTCTCCTTTCCATAGGAAGGTGCCCATGTTTGGGTTGGAAGCCATCTGGAGGAACGGCAAAGTGGTTGGGCACATCCGCAGGGCAGACTTTGGGCACGCGATCAACAAAACCATCGCTTACGGCTACATCCGGGATCCTGATGGAGGACCAGTGAGTATGGCAATGTGATATTAATATGACTCTGTGATCGTCCTCCAACGGGAAGTAGACCATCAGGTCAAACTGTATTAAATCTATGTTGTGTACTTACCCTAAAAGAGATGTATTCAGAGATGTATGATCATAGTATCCTTCTGGGACGACTCTCCGGGATGGGCCTTGGTGGCACGGCTCTGTCGATCCCAGATGGTGAAGCTGGGAGACACCTGCTCGGACCCCTGGCCTTTGACCTGTGAGGTCCCGCAAGGTTCCATTCTGTCTCCCATGCTTTTTAACATCTACATGAAACCACTAGGAGAGGTCATCCGGAGTTTTGGAGTTGGGTGCCATCTCTACGCAGATGACACACAACTCTACTACTCTTTTCCACCTAATTCCAAGAAAGCCCCTCGGCTGTTGGACGAGTGGCTGACTGCTGTGGCTGTCTGGATGAGGAAGAACAAGCTGAAGATCAATCCCAACAAGACAGAGGTCCTCCTGGTCGATCATAAGATGGATCGGGGTATAGGGTGGCAACCTGTGTTGGATGTGGTTGCACTCCCCCTGAAGTCACAGGTCCGCAGTTTGGGTGTCCTCCTGGACTCATCACTTATGCTTGAAGCTCAGGCGTTGGTGGTGGCCAGGAGGGCCTTTGCACAATTAAGACCTGTGCGCCAGCTGTGACCATACCTCGTGAAGGCGGATCTGGCCAGGGTGGTCCATGCCTTAGTCACCTCGAGATTGGACTACTGTAATGCGCTCTACATGGGGCTGCCCTTGAAAACGGCTCGGAAATTCCAGTTGGTCCAATGGGTGGTGGCCAGGTTGTTAATTGGCGCTCCTTACAGGGAGCGGTCAACCCTCCTGTTCAAGGAGCTCCATTCATTTTCCGGACCCAATTCAAGGTGCAGGTTCTCACCTACAAAGCCCTGAACGGTTTGGGACCTGCCTACCTGCGTGACCGCATTTCTGTGTACGAACCCACATGATCTCTTCGATCATCTGGAGAGGCCCTACTTCAGTTGTTCTCAACCTTCCTAATGCCATGACCCCTTAATACAGTCCCTCATGTTGTGGTGATCCCCAACCATAATATTGTTTTCATTGCTATTTCAAAACAGTCATTTTACTACTGTTATAAATCATAATGTAATGCAGGATGCATTTTCATTCACTGGACCAAACTGGGCACAAATACCCAATACACCCAAATGTGAATGCTAGTGGGGTTGGGGGAGGATTGATTTTGTAATTTGGGAGTTGTAGTTGCTGGGATTTATAGTTCACTTATAATTAAAGAGCATTCTGAACTCCACCAGCGATGGATTTGAACCAAACTTGGCTCCCATGGCCAGTGGAAAACACTGGAAGCGTTTGATGGGCATTGACCTTGAGTTTGGGAGTTGTAGTTCACCTGTATCCCGAGAGCACTGTGGACTCATGCAATGGTGGATCTGGACCAAACTTGGTACGAATACTCTATATGCCCAAACGTGAAGACTGGTGGAGTCTGGGGAAAATAGATCTTGACATTTGGGAGTTGTAGTTGCTAAGATTTATAGTTCATTACAATCAAAGAACATTCTGAACTCCACCAATGATGGAATTGACTCAAACTTGCAACATGGAATCCCCATGACCATCAGAAAATACTGTGCTTTCTTATGGTCTTTGGCGAGCCCTCTGGCACCCCCTCGCGACCCCCTCAGGGGTCCCGACCCCCAGGTTGAGAAACACTGCCCTACTTGCACTCCCACCTGCATCGCAAAGCGCGATTGGTGGGGATGAGAGAGAAGGGCCTTCTCGGTGGTGGCCCCTCGACTCTGGAACTCACTTCCTAAGGACATCAGGCATGCCCCATCTCTGGCAGTCTTTAGGAGGAGCTTGAAAACGTGGTTATTCCAGTGTGCCTTCTCAGAATAATGAACCCTTAGCATTATGTCCTCTAAAAGCAGTTTATACTGATTTAGGACTACTTGTACGTTACCACCAACACCCCACCTCCTCTATCTTGTTCATCCCCAACATTATTTTTTAAGCTTCAATTACATTTGGCCCAGCCTTAGATTTTAAATGTGCATTGTACCTTGTTCATTGTTTATGCTATTTATTTTAATTGCTTTCTATTGTGTTTGTTACTGCTTGTATTGATGTATTGTGAGCTCGGCCTCATGTAAGCCGCACCGAGTCCCTTGGGGAGATGGTAGCGGGGTACAAATAAAGTATTATTATTATTATTATTATTATTATTATTATTATTATTATTATGCATGCCTCCAACAAATGGCAATCTGTGACCTTCAGGTCCACAATACATAGCTGCTCCGATATTGTTTCCTTTTTTCTGCCACCTTTCCCGAGTCCAGAAAGAGCCTGTCCACATTGGAATGACTCTAGCAATGGAGGGGAAGAGTCCTCTTGGCTGTTTATTCCCGCGCATTGGCTTGCTTCTGTCTCTTTCCCTTCACTCGCATCTCGTAATGTGACAGGCAGCCCAGAGCAAAGAGAGGAACCTTGGCAGCGAAGTAGTAAACAAGGAAACAGAGGACTAGGGGTATCTTGGTGACGTTGAAGACTCTTGACAGTTTGTTTTGGACCAGATGGATGTATCCAAAGGGCTCAGGACTGGGAGCATACACCACAGTTACGAAATGAAATAATCTAGGTCTTCCTATATATGTACTTGGCCAAGAAGTCTCATGAATGGAGGGCTGGCAGTCAACTCTTAAGAGTTTTTGCCTCAGCTGATCATCCATAATAGTTTCAAAGGATCTCAAGCTCCATTTCTTGATATCAGCCAAGATTCAGGACTCAAAAAGGGCTATCAAAAGCTGATAGCTTTTCTTATCACAATCTCAAAACATGGGGAAATGGCCATGTTCCAGAAGCATTATCTCCTGACATTTCACCTGCATCTATGGCACGCATCCTCAAAGGTTGTGAGGTCAGTTGAAACATTCACACCTAGCCCAAGCAGAGAAGAGTCCTTTGTCCTACCCTGGTCATGCCACAGATATATAAACCCTTTTTCCTACTTCCAACAGACCTCACTACCTCTGAGGATGCTTGCCATAGATGCAGGCGAAACGTCAGGAGAGAATGCCTCTAGACCATGGCCATATAGCCCGAAAAAACCTACAACAACCCAGTTGTGAGGTCTGTTGGAAACTAGGCAAGTGGGGTTTATATATCTGTGGAAAGTATAGCCATGTTCCAGAAGCATTCTCCCCTGACATTTCGCCTGCATCTATGGCATGTATCCTCAAAGGTTGTGAGGTCTGTTGGAAACTAGGCAAGTGGGGTTTATCTATCTGTGGAATGTATGGCCATGTTCCAGAAGCATTTTCTCCTGATGTTTCACCTGCATCTATGGCACGCATCCTCAAAGGTTGTGAGGTCTGTTGGAAACTAGGCAATTGGGTTTTATATATCTGTGGAATGTATGGCCATGTTCCAGAAGCATTCTCTCCTGACGTTTTGCCTGCATCTGTGGCACGCATCCTCAAAGGTTGTGAGGTCTGTTGGAAACAAGGCAAGTGGGGTTTCTATATCTTTGGAGTGTATGGCCATGTTACAGAAGCATTCTCTCCTGACTTTACGCCTTCATCTATGGCACACATCCTCAAAGGTTGTGAGATCTATTGGAAACCAGGAAAATTGGGTTTATATATCTGTGGAATAATGAAAGAACTTTTGTCTGTCTGAGGTAAGTGTGAATGTAGCAATTGCCCACTTTGATTAGCGTGTAATGGCCTAGCAGTTTTCAAGGTCTGGATTCTTACTGCCTGGGGGAATCCTTTGTTGGGAGGATTCACCATGTAAAAAGAAAATGAAGGATGTCCTACTCATCTGCTAACCCAATCAACAATTAGGCCACACGGTTTACAGAAAACCTACACACATGGATAGATACCTACATAAAAACTATAGGAGAGAATGCCTCTTGAACATGGCCCTACAGCACGGGAAACTCACAATGACCCAATAATGGGAATGTTGTCATCACTGTTGTTTCATGTCGTCTCTTCTCTAGGCCACACTTGATTTTGTGAAAAGCGGCAAATACATGCTGGAGAGGATGGGTGTTGCCTACCAAGCGAAAGCCCACACCAGATCCCCCTTTGATCCCGACAACAAGAGAGTGAGAGGGATCTATTGAGGCTATTCAAGCTCAAAGACACAGGAAGCTTCTACTGAAAGAGGAAAATGGGGCAAAGGAAGGTGCCGAATAACATTGCGTGGTGCCAGAAATCTTGGCCAAGGTCCTACAACAACGTTGAGTTGTATCCGTCTGCTCCAAACACCGAGTTACCCCCTGTATTTTGCTATTGTATCAAATGGCAATGTTGTAGAACGGAACCACACATGGCGCCAAATACACATCCATGTGGAATGACTCTCATGAGACAAAAAAATCCCAACCATTTCCATAAGAGAATTAATCCATGCATAAGACACTAGCAGTGACAAGATTTTGGGCAACCTTGGAAAGAGCTCTCCATTCTATGTTTATCTCCCTCGTCCAACATTGCTTCTACATGTGGAGGTTTTGTTGAGTCTTATTCGTATATATAAAACCAGAAGTTGACCATAGAGTCTAGCTGGAGGACCCAAAGATTCCTAGAGAAAGGGAGTTCTAGGTTCTCCACTGCAGTTCCACGGTCATCTTTGGTTGTCTCAACTGGCCCTTAGAGAACCATAAATGGGAATCTGATCAATCTAGGGATTCCTTTCTTTGCAGATAGAGCCAATATATTGCAATCCAAGCAACTAGTTGGAGTGAACTCCCTTTTCGCTAAAAGCTATCCCCGCCATATCTCTCTTTGGCATCAGGGTTTCTCATAGAAGCTGCAAAGAATCAAAGTCTAGCCGAACTTGTCCAACAGGTTCAACCCAGGTCTCATTTTGCTGCTCCTTTGTCAAGCTTAACAATGGTGGGGGGCATTGGAAAACGAGGTCCATTGTGTTCGCAGGACGAGACCGGCTCTGGAAGCATCTCCGTAATTTTTGGCAAAGTTTGCCTCTCCCATTCTCCCTGTCAGGGAAAGAAAGTAGACATTGTGAGTAATGGAATTGTTGAGTGAAAAGTCAACAAGGAGATCAAGCCAACGAGTCTTATGCAGTGCTTTCCAACAATAGGATTTACATTAGGGAAGTTGGAAGTCATGCTGGAGAAGCTAGGAGTCCAAGACTGAACACTTCTCTAGGAATCTCTCATTCTTCCCCTGCAACTTTATGGTCCATTTCTGCCAGTTGGTCATAAAGTCATGCTGGAAGATCTGGAAATCCCTAGGCAGAAGACCTGCCTAGAAATCCTAGGTTTTTCAATGCAACTCAGTGGTCAACATCCATTAGAAGTTGACCATAAAGTCATGCTAGAAGACCTAGAAATTCCTGGTCACTGTAACTCAATGGTCAATGTCCTTTATAAGTCAGAAGACCCAGAGACTCTTAAAGAGAACACCTCTCAAATAATTTCTAGATCATCCATTTCAACTCAATGGTCAACATCATTCAGAAGTTGGCCATACAGTAATGCTGGAAGACCTAGAAATTCCTAGTCAGAAACTCAATGGTTAACGTCCTTCAGAAGTTGACCATAAGACTTAGAAATTCCTAGTCATTGCAACAGAATGGTCAATGTCTTTTGGAAGTTGGCCATAAGGTCATGCTGAAACACCTAGAAATTCCTAGTCACTGCAAATGAATGGTCAATATCCTTCTGAAGTTGGCCATAAAGTCAGGCTGGAAGACCTAGAAATTCCTAGTCACTGTAACTCAATGGTCAACATCTTTCAGAAGTTGGTCATAAAGTCATGCTGGAAAACCTAGAAATTCCTAGTCACTGTAACTCAATGGTCAACGTCCTTCAGAAGTTGGTCATAAAGTCATGCTGGAAGACCTAGAAATCTCTAGTCACTATAACTCAATGGTCAACCTTCTTAGGAAGTTGGTCATAAAGTCGTGATGGAAGACCTAGGAATTCCTAGTCACTGTAACTTGATTATCAACGTCCCTCAGAAGTTGGCCATAAAGTCATGCTGGAAGACCTAGAAATCCCTAGCTGCTTCAACTCAACTGTCAACATCCTTCAGAAGTTGGCCATAAAGTCATACTGGAAGACCAAGAAACTCCTAAACAAAACACCTCGCTAGAATTTCTAGATCTTCCATCTCAACTCAGTAGTTAGCATCCTTCAGAGGTTGGCCATAAAGTTATCCGGAAAGGACCTAGAGACTCCTAGACAGAACATGGGATCTCTAGGTCCTCCAGTGCATTTCTGTGGTCAACTTCCACCAGAGTTGGCCATAAGAGATTCCTAGACAGAATATCGCTCTAGAAATCTTTGTCTTCCATTGAAATTGGATAGTATTTCTTATCGTTATGGGCAATGATACTCTGAGAAGTCTTACACCAGTCACCATATTGTTTTCTTCCCTTCCTTGGCCATACATACCGGGAAACGGACTGCTGAAGATTTATTACAATGCATTGAAATGGGAGCAAAGCCATACAGGGATTCCAAGACATCTCTACTGAATGAATTCCAAGGCACCGAGGCAAACTGCTGTGTGACGGAGGCCTCTGGGCATGTGCAGACTTCCTCGTCATTAAACCTGCCAGAAAGAGAAATTGTCTGAACCATTATTATTAATCTAAAGTTCTTAGGGAGACTGTGGTCCTTTATGGATGCATCTACACTGAAAATTAATCCAGCTTGGCAACACTTTAATTGCCACAGCTCCATGCGGTGGACTCCTGGGAGTTGTAGTTTGATGAGGCATTGAGAAGGTGAAAGACAACTCCCAGGAGTCCATTGCATTGAGACAGAGCAGTTAAAGTGGTATGGAACTGCATTAATCCTACAGTGTATATGTACATTATATACAGATAGCCTTTCCATACCTGTTCACAAGCTTAAAATAGCGCTGAAGGTAGCCCATGTCGATGGCGCTCTTACACAGCTCCAGCTCCGTCTGGGGATAATAATGGATGTAATTCACACACATCTCTTCCATGATTCCAAAACCTCCCTGCAGATTTGAAAAAGAAGAACGGATCAAGCAAACAGGAGTCATGATGAAAAAGTCGCCATTGTATTATGTAGCTTGACCGAGAGACTCACCACAGTTGCTTGACTCCTGTCTTCAGTGTTGTACACGCAAGTGGTTCTCAGCACATCGCCCTGTTTAGAGATAAGCACATCCTCTTTCCAGATCTTTTCGGGATAGTGTGGGCCTAAAGTTTAGTCTTGAAGTCCATGTGAAAGGGAGTTAGGAGTCTTAGTAGACCACAAGTTGAATGTGAGTCAATAGTGTGATGTGCCAAAGCGATTCTAGACTGCTTCAATAGGAGCCTAGTGTCTAGATCAGCAGTTCTCAAAGTGTGCTCCGTGGAGCCCTTGGGGCTCCATGACACATCCTAAGGGGCTTTGTGGTTGCCTCCTCCTCCCCTTCCAAGCTTTGCTCCTCTTTCCTGCTTCTCCTCTCCCACTCCCTGGCCACCAAAAGCCTTTTTTCCTCACCATCCCCACAACCTATATAATAATAATAATAATAATAATAATAATAATAACAATAATAATACTTTATTTATACCCTGCTAACATCTCCCCAAGGGACTCGGTGTGGCTTTCATGAGGCTGAGCCCAAAGTACATCAACAGTAAAAGCAATAAGAAAACAATATTATTTTATTTACAGTATTTATATTCTGCTCTTCTCACCCCAAAGGGGAGTCAGGGTGGATCACAGCACACATACATGGCAAACATTCAATGTCATTAAACAGACAGGACAGACAACAGATAGAAGTATTATGTAAGCGTTGGCGTCCTGGAGGTTGCGCTCAATTCCAGCCACAGGGGGTGCTGTCATTCCATCCTCAATTTCAACAAACCTTGATCACAGACTTCTTCCTTCCTTTGATCGCTGGCATTTTCTGGTGTTTCTTTTATGGCACTGTAAAATACCACCCCGCTTAACCAGTTCCTAATTTCTCTACTCACAGCTCACAGCTGTTTTCGACATGCTTAGCTGGACAGTAAGCTGAGCTGAAGGTTGGGTGCTCACCCCCACTCGGGCTTCAAACTGCCAACCTTTCGATTGGTAAGATGTATTGCTGCTGGTGATTAACCAGCTGTGCTAAAACCCGGCCTGGGTCTCCATGAGAACTTTTCTTGGGGCTCCATGAGAACCTTTTGCTTCCAAAAGGGCTCCACGGTTGAAAAGGTTTGAGAACCCCTGATCCAGACTAAAGGAAGACATAGTCCCACTCTCTTCTGCTTTGGTTAGACCTCACCTGGACTACTGTGGCCCATTCTGGGCAAAGCAATTCAAGAAGGAGATGGACATACTGGGAAGTGACCAAAAATGGCCAAAGGTTTGGAAACATATGATGGGACCTGGGGGTGTTTAGAAGAGAAGGTTAAGAGGGGACACATACAATGGCTTGAATACTCACTGGAAACACGGACACCACTTTCTTCAACATGCGGATCTCCTAAAGGAAAACAGGAGCCAGACAGAAGATGAGATCAGACAAGGTAAAGTCAAGATCAGGCCAGGTCAAGGGCAGGAGGAGGTTTATGGGTCCACCTAAAGCCCATATGGGTCTATGTAAAATCATAGAGCCATGCAGTTGGAAGAGATCCCAATGACCATCCAGTTCAAACCAATTGGGCCAGGCAGGAAGATACAATATAAGCCCTCCTGACAAATGGCCAATTTAGGGGTGTGCAAATCTGTTCTGTATTTGGGGGGGGGGGGGGGGGGGTCTGTTTCCTTTTTGAATTCCAGATGCCTCCCCAGAATTTACAGGAAAATTCTGGGATTATGGATTGGGGGTGTTTGGATTTGTCATTCGAAACTCTGAGTTCCATTTCTGTTTCAGGAAGAATCTTTCCAAAAACAGAATGGTGAGGAGGGGAGTATCCGAAAACGAAATGAAAACAGAATGGAATTCTGTGCCGTTTTGCACACCATTTGTGGCCATTCAATGTCAGTTGAAAAACAGGCCAGATTCAGATATACATCTTCATCAATGGATTTACAATTATCCCTCTACATTTGCTGAAGTTATGGGCCCAGGATTCTGAAAGCAGGAAAGCAAAAGTGAAAGTAAAAACCACATATAAAGGAATTGCAATTGTGAGGACACCTCTGTAGGAATCTTTAGATCCTCCATGACTCTGCAGTGATGTGACATCACCCAACCACTTTACCCAATATCAGAACTGAAAAGAAAAGGCATACCTGGAAGTGGGGGCTATAGTGGGGGTCCTTGTTGACAATCTCTTTCTCCAAACCTCCTCTTGATAAGACGGTCTCCACGCTCCTCCCAGTCAGGTGGGTATGAAGCTGAGAGGCAAAAATGTGGATCCCAGAAGGGGGCAGTGCCTGGTTAAGGGGGTGAGGAAGAAAAATGGGGTGCACCGGCCAATATTGAGAAAGGAAGAAACAGAGGTAGGAGGGATTAATGTCTGCAAACCAGAAATATCAGCATGTGCAATCAGGAATCTCATGATAGTAGGACCACATGCATCCAGAACCTATAGACATTGTTTCACTTCTCCATGGGTTAACTTATCCACAGTTTGACTTATCTGTGGTTTCTACTATCAATGGTTTGACTTATCTGTGTTTTCACTTCACCATAGCTTGACTTCTCCACAGTTTGACTTATCTATAGTTTGACTTCTTCATGGCATAATTTATCTGTGGTTTCAATTATCCATGGTTTGACTTCTCCATGGGTTGACTTATCTATGGTTTGACTTATCTGTGGTCTCAATTATCCATGGTTTGAATTCGCCATTGTTTGGTTTATCTATGGTTGGACTTACCTGTGGTTTCACTTCTCTATGGCTTGACTTCTCCACAGTTTGACTTATCTATAGTTTGACTTCTTCGTGGCATAATTTATCTGTGGTCTCCATTATCCATGGTTTGACTTCTCTGTGGTTTCAATTATTCATGGTTTGACTTCTCCATGGGTTGACTTATCTACGGTTTGACTTTCCTATGGTTTCAATTATCCATGGTTTGACTTCTCCACAGTTTGACTTATCTATAGTTTGACTTCTTCATGGCATAATTTATCTGTGGTTTCAATTATCCATGGTTTGACTTCTCCATGGGCTGACTTATCTATGGTTTGACTTACTTGTGGTTTCAATTATCCATGGTTTGACTTCTCCACAGTTTGACTTATCTATAGTTTGACTTCTTCATGGCATAATTTATCTGTGGTTTCAATTATCCATGGTTTGACTTCTCAATGGGCTGACTTATCTATGGTTTGACTTACTTGTGGTTTCAATTATCCATGGCTTGACTTCTCCACAGTTTGACTTATCTATAGTTTGACTTCTCCATCGTTTGACTTCTCCATGGTTTAATTCATCTGTAGTTTCAATTAGTCATTGTTTGACTACTCTGTGGTATAATTTATCAGTCATTTCAGTTATCCATGGCTTGACTTCTCCATGGTTTCACTTATCCATGGTTTGACTTCACCATGGGTTGATTTATCGATGGTTTGACATATCTGTGGTTTCAATTATCCATGACTTGAATTCACCATAGTTTCATTTATCTATGGTTTGACTTAACTGTCATTTCCATTATCCATGGCTTGACTTCTCCATGATTTGACTTATCTATGGTTTGACTTCTCCATGGTTTCACTTATCTGAGCTTTCACTTACCAATAAATTCATTTAACCATGGGTTCACTTATCTGCATAGGTACTCACCACCTGGGTGCATTGATCGGTACAGTATCCCGTCAGCCCAAAATGCTTTTCACCAGGTGGGATTGCCATCACTGGGGTGTACACCAAGCCGAGCTCCATGATGCCAGCGTCGTAGGGACGAAGGGAGGCAGTATAAAAGAGCCGGATCCCTGAGGAATCATGGTGGCCTGGGAAAACAGAAAAGATATGCCTTGGGAAGAGATGTTGCATTTAAGGGTCACACCACCTCCTTCTATTTTCCTGAATTAGGATCACCAACCTTTTTCCTCTCCTTTAACACAGAAAGCAGGCACAGGCTGGTTATGAATAGTGTTTCTCAACCTAGGAGTTGTGACCCTTGAGGGGGTCACGAGGGGTTTCAGAGGGGCCACCAAAGACCTTCAGAAAACATACATTTCTGATGGTCTTAGGAACCCCTTTGGCAGAGAAGGCTGAAGTAGCAAAATTACAGCTATGAAAACAATATTATGGTTGGGAGTCACCACAACATGAGGAACTGTATTAAGGGGTCGCGGCATTAGGAAAGTTGAGAAACACTGCCTTAGAGCATGGTGAAGTCTTCATGTGTGGGGTGCCCCTTTGGGTGTCCCTTCCAACTTTAGGATTGGGTGATTCTCCTTCTATGGAGGTCTGTAAACAGAAGCTGGATGACCATCTGTAGGGGAGGGGGTGGTTTGTGTGGTAGATTCCTGAACACAGAAGGGTGTTGGACTGGATAGCCTTTGACTTGGACTGAATAGTTGGTCTGACTTGGCCATGGTAGTCCACGCTCTGGTTACATCCCGTATAGACTACTGCAACGCTCTCTACGTGGGGTTGCCTTTGAAGACTGCTCAGAAGCTTCAAATGGTCCAGCGTTCGGCAGCCAGGTTGCTAACAGGAGCGGCACTCAGGGAGCATACAACTCCTCTGTTGCGCCAGCTCCACTGGCTACCAGTCTGCTACTGGGCACAATTCAAAGTGCTGGCGTTAGCCTATAAAGCCCTAAACTTTTCTGGCCCTACTTACCTCTCCGAACGCATCTCCTCCTATGAACCAACTAGGACATTAAGATCATCTGGGGAGGCCCTGCTCTCGGTCCCGCCTGCATCACAGGTGCGCCTGGCGGGGACGAGAGACAGGGCCTTCTTAGTGGTGGCCCCTCGGCTGTGGAACGCCCTTCCTACAGATATCAGATCGGCCCCCTCCCTGTTGGCGTTTCGGAGGAAAGTGAAGACCTGGCTGTTCGAACAAGCATTCGATTAAGCAGTGTAATTGAATATAGGAATACGGAATAATGGATGATGAGATTGGATTCTGATTTTACGGATGAGACACTAATGATTGTTATATTGATGTTTAATCATTGATGATGCTACTGTTGTTAACTGTCCCATATTCGTTTTGTGATGTTTTTGCATTGAATTTTGCTGTCGTTAACCGCTTTGAGTTGCCTGAGGGCTGAGAAAAGCGGTATATAAACGAAGTAAATAAATAAATAAATGATAGTCTTTTATTAGAATCCAACTCCAGGCTCTCACCGCTTTGCCAACCCGCAAGACCAAATCCTGACGCAAATATATGCGACTCCCACTCACCACTATTTGAAAGCCTGGAAGAATGAGTTCTATATTTTTCTTGCCCTGGAGACATCCCTGGTGATATTGGTGCCTTACAAGGAATGTCAGGGCTCAGGGATTATGAGGCGGTGAAGGTATATAGAGTGATGTAGCATCTTCCTTTGCCTTGAGGCTACAATTAATGGCAGAACCCAACATCCAAGCGGAAGACGCGGCACTAGCTTAGCACACTCTTAGTCATCCTGAAATGTCACCGCTGAGATGCACCTATATCTCTCAATATAGGAAGGGAAAGGCTTGAGGAGAGCTAAGGAAAGTCAGAAGAGCATCCTCACCACCATAACATGTCCCTCGACTCGGCTAGTTCTCCCGCAAAACCAACGCAATCTAGCAAGCCAACTTTAGCCGGTGCCTTGAAGCCAAAGACGGAGGTGTCACCACCGTTCTTGGTCCCAAACCAACGTGTTTACGTGACGTATTTCACATAAGAAAAGGTGTTTGCCTTGGAAGAAGGGGACGCTTTGGAACCACGGGCCATGTGCTTCTGTGCATATTTTGGGAGAAACCAGATTTTTCTCATTCCTTCCAAGCTTCTGTCTCCAGCTTTGGGCACACAACGAAACGGATAAGAATAACCGGGGAGAAGAAAAGAACCAACAAAAACGATTATTTATAGCCAAGTGTGATAAGACTGAAGAACAGCCCAGATGCTTCAGTTGGCTAAATTTACTCCGAAGAGCGAGCAATTGGGAGTTTATGGAAATGCAGCCACTTTGTGCTTCGTTTGAATCCTCGTGCTCCAAAAACTGCTAATAGAAAGAGAAAACAAGGGAAGGGGGTGCTCTGAAGCATCCCTTGGGGTGCATCTAATGCAGGTTGACGCCACTCTTGCTGTTGTGGCTCCTGGAAGCGTAGTTGGACAAAATCTTTGCTCTCTCCTGCCAAAAGAATACCATCCAGTCCTTACTTACTTAGGTGATCCCTCGTAGCCCAAGGATGATGGTCCTCCAAGTGTAGTGTCTTGGCGATGGGTCCATAGGTGGCTATAGAGCCCTATTCTTGATCCACATGTTCTCCCACAGTGAGGACATCGGTTTCCAGGTGTAAGGCGGTCCCAGTCAAAGTTGGCTTGATATGCCTTCCTCTTGGCATGTTTCTCCCTTTCACCCTCCATTTGTGCCTCTTTGAATTCCGCAGCACTGCTGGTCACAGCTGACCTCCAGCTAGAGCACTCAAGGGCCAGGGCTTCCCAGTTCTCAGTGTCTATGCCACAGTTTTTAAAATTGGCTTTAAGCCCATCTTTAAATCTCTTTTCCTGTCCACCAACATTACATTTTCCATTTTTGAGTTGAGAGTATAATAACTGCTTTGGGAGATGGTGATTTTTGGACATTCGGACAACATGGCATTCAGTCTAGTGGAGTTGATTGTGTAGGGGCATTGCTTCAATGCTGATGGTCTACTTCTTCCAGCACACTGACATTTGTCTGCCTGTCTTCTTCCTAAGAGATTTGCAGGATTTTCTGGAGGCAACGCTGATGGAATCGTTCCAGAACTTGAGTGTGACATCTGTAGACGTTTTGCAGGCATAAAGCAGGGTTGGGAGGTCACAAACACCTTGGTCTCCCTACGATGTCCTGGTCCTCAAACATTATCTGCTTCATTCGCTGCACTCTCAGAGCTCAGGTGGTGTTGCATTTCAGCATCAATGTTGACTTTTGTGGAGAGGTGGCTACCAAGGGAGTGGAAATGGTCAACATTTTCTAAGGCTATACCACTAGCTGTATTTCTGACACTGCAGAGGCATTGGCTGATGCCTGCTGGAAGAGCACTTTAGTTTTCTCAATGTTCAATGAGAGGTCGAGCTTCTCGTATGCTTCTGAAAAGGTGTTTAGAGTGGCTTATAGGTCTTCTGAATGTGCACAGACTTACTTTACTTACATACTTAGGCGATCCCTCATTGGCCGAGTAGGATAGTCTTCCAGGATCAGTGTACTGGCGGTGGGTCCGTAGGTGACTGTGGAGCTCTATTCTTGACCTATATGTTCTTCCACAGTGAGGGCATTGCTTTCCAGGTGGAAGGCGGTCTCAGTCGGGGTTGGCTTGATGCGCCTTCATCTTGGCACGTTTCTCTCTTTTGCCCTCCATTCGTGCCTCTTCAAATTCTGAGCACTGCTGGTCACAGCTGACCTCCAGCTGGAGAGCTCAAGGGCCAGGGCTTCCCAGTTCTCAGTGTCTATGCCAGAGTTTTTAAGGTTGGCTTTGAGCCCATCTTTCAATCTCTTTTCCTGCCCAACAATATTCCATTTTCTGCACAGAATACATTATCATTGGCATATTGGAGTTCTATAACAGATTAAACATACCTAGGATTGTTTGAAACATTACATATTATGGAGGATTCAATGCTCACTTTAACTTCAAACAGAAATCACTAACAGTTATCTTATTCAGAAGTACAAAACACTGAGGGCCATATGAATCTGGCTGTAGGCCAGTGGAAATTTGAACATGGGCCACAATGGGCAGACTTTGGCCATACCTGACTTAGAGAGTCCTAAAGAAAACACATTTCTAAGAATTCGTACATCCTCCAGTATGGTCCAGCATAAGTTGAACCATAATCATGTAGAAGGATCTAGAGATCCCAGGAGGTGTTCTCTCAGTTGGAAATTCATCTGAAAAAGATAGTTTGGGATCAATTCATTGTTTGGCTTACCTTTGAGCTCCAGAGGGTTGTGGTAGTGAACTTCCAGGCGCAAATATCTGGAGGTCCCAGGTCCTCCGAAAGCGAGCCCAGCATCTTCTGGATAGTAAAAGGCCTGGAAGGAAGGAAGGAAGGAAGGAAGGAAGGAAGGAAGGAAGGAAGGAAGGAAGGAAGGAAGGAAGGAAGGAGAAGAGAAGAGAAATGAGTGTTGGGTCTGGGGAAGGAAGCAATAGAATGGAAGGTTCACCATGGTTTATTTACAATGCTTTGGACATACCTGTGCACCCATTGCCCAGGCAGCCAGCACATGCCTGCAGAAGTTCAGCCGTTCTGGCTTCATCTTCGAATCGCATGGTCCGTTATAACTGGGGAAGGTCTCAAACTGCGGGGCGCACTGGAAGACCTCCATGTGGTGGACCAGGGCTTCGTTCCCTTTGGTGATAACAGGTTCATACTACAATAAAGGGTTATTTGGTGAGGTTAGTTCAGAAGGACCACAATCCTTTTGCCATTGTTGACCATGGCTATTGATGAACATCATATTAGATATTTCACACCATCCTAGAGTCGGAAAAGAACCCAAGGGCCATCTTGTCCAACCCAATTTGCCCTGCAGGAAGACACCATCCAATCCCTCCCAAGGGATGACCTTCCAGCTTCTGTTGAAAGAGCTCCAGAGAATCCTAGAGTTGGAAGATAACACAAGGACCATGCAGTCCAACCCCCTGACAGATGACCATCCAACCATCCATCTCTCCTGACAGATTGCCATCCAACCTCCAAAGAAGGAGACCCCACCAGACTACACAAGGACCATGCTGTCCAACCCCCTGACAGATGACCATCCAACCATCCATCTCTCCTGACAGACTGCCATCCAACCTCCAAAGAAGGAGACCCCACCAGACTTCGATGCTACATATTCCACTAGTGAACAGCAATTACCCTCAGGAAGTTCTTCTTAATGTTTAGGTGGAACCTCTAGTGCAGCAGATAACTTCATGTCAACCACATAGTTCTGTCATTGCAAAGAGACACATCACAGCCTCCAAAGCAGAAGCTCAGTGATCATGTTTGGTTTCCACCTCCTCATGTTATCAGTCTCGCTCAAGGAGCAATGAGAGGATCTAAGAATAGCCTTTGCAGGAAAGTACATGCATTAAGTTCCCAGAAACAGCAGGTCCCTCGCTTGTAGGCCAATCTGGGCTTTGCTATTTCGATTTCCCTCATCCGGCCCTCAGTCTTGCTTCTCTACATCTCCTATTGACTTGTTGAAAATCCTCTATTGGGAGACAGAGCTCTAATTGACATAACTACGCCTCCATAGCTACATTTTCCAACATGACCTCTGAAAGCCTAGCTTCTTGGCAAGCCAGTTTCCTCCAGAAAGGGGGGTGATCCTGTTGAAAATGATCCCGTACTCCCTGGAGAGGGAATTGGGGGGCAAACAAAGATGTTTTGGAACATGGCCCTCAACCTTGAACAAATCCCTGTTTGAGATCTTCAACCACTTCCATTTTTGGACCTTTTGAAGGAAGGTTGCTATAGAAACTTTCCCGGTGAAAGCTTGCTCTTCAAAAAAACATTCCGCTCCATCTCTGGATGTGTGGAGGGGGAGGTATGTTCTCTCATGGCCTGAAGACGGAGCCGCAGCAAGGAGCCCAGCAGCCCCATGGCAATTGCAAGCCAAGCAGGAGGAGCCCTGTGACTTCCCTTGAAGGAGCCCCATAGCTATGGACAACCCTCCCAAGGGAAGCTCAGGGGTGTTAGCACTCTGTCTGTAGCAGGCATCTCAAATGGTGATTGACTTCCACCTTTTTTAATAGTTCCTAAAACTTATTCAAAAAGTTCAATTTTATTTCATGGTGTTTTGACAACCACTAAAGTGATTAGATAGATAGATAGATAGATAGATAGATAGATAGATAGATAGGACGGACGGACGGACGGACAGACAGACAGATGGATAGATGGATAGATAGGATGGACGGATAGATGGATGGATGGGTGGGTGGATGGATGACTGACTGACTAATAGATATATACATACATACTTACACACATAGATGGTGGATAGGCAGATGAACAGACAAAATGGTTGGTATAGTACTTTAGTAGCTCCTGTAAGCACTGAAGTAATTGGATGGCTGGCTGGCTGGCTGGCTGGCTGGCTAGCTGGATGGATGGATGGATATCTCAATGGAGGGATAGATAGATAGATGTCTCAATGGATGGATGGATAGATGTCCCAGTGGATGGATGGATGGATGGATGGATGGATGGATGGATGGTAGCCCCTAAAGTGATTGGAGTGAGGGATGGGTGGATGGGTAGGTAGGTAGGTAGGTAGATAGGCAGTCAGACTGACTGAGTGACAGTTACATACATGCACACATAGATGGTGGATAGGCAGATGAACAGACAAAATGGTTGGTATAGAACTTTAGTAGCTCCTGTAAGCACTGAAGTAATTGGATGTCTGTCTGTCTGTCTGTCTGTCTGTCTGGCTGGCTGGCTGGCTGGATGGATGGATGGATGGATGGATGGATGGATGGATAGATGTCTCAATGGAGGGATAGATAGATAGATGTCTCAATGGATGGATGGATAGATGTCCCAGTGGATGGATGGATGGTAGCCCCTAAAGTGATTGGAGTGAGGGATGGGTGGATGGGTAGGTAGGTAGGTAGGTAGATAGGCAGACAGACAGACTGACTGACAGATACATACATACACACATAGATGGTGGATAGGCAGATGAACAGACAAAATGGTTGGTATAGAACTTTAGTAGCTCCTGTAAGCACTGAAGTAATTGGATGGATGGATGGATGGATGGATGGATGGTCTCAATGGATGGATGGTGGAATGGAGGGATGGATGTCTCAGTGGGTGGATGGGTGGATGAATGGATAGATGGATGGATGGATGAAAGGATACATAGATGATAAATGGATAGATGGATAGAAGATAGATAGATAGATAGATAGATAGATAGATAGATAGATAGATAGATAGATAGATAGATAGATAGATAGATAGTAGTTGTCTCAGTGGATGGATGAAAGGATGAATGGATGAATGGATGGATAGATGTCTCAGTGGATGGATGGATGACTGGATGGATGGATGGATGGATGGATGGATGGATGGATAGATAGAGAGTTGTCTCAGTGGGTGGATGAATGGATGTCTCAGTGGATGGATGGGTGGATCAGTAGCCGCTGTAAGCACAAAAGTCATTGGATGGATGGAATAGATAGCTGATGAACCAATGTATGGTTGGATAGAGGGAACAGAGGGATAGATGAAATAGGCAATGGTTGGGTAGACAGAGTGATGGACTGACAAAAAAACCCAGACAGATGAAGTGCCAGCTAAATGGAAAACAACCCTCATTGACTTTCAAGAGGGCCTCTTTGATTTCAACAGACAAGCTCAATCTGAGAGTAAGCCAGGCATACACAGAGTTTCCCTGAGTCTAACAGCTTTCTAAGACAGACTGCTGTTGATCCAGAGAAACAACTACCTAGGGGTGTCCAAGAAGGGTTATATGTTGGTTGTCCTTCATTCATTTGAGAGCTACGTCTCCTTCCTTCTCTCCCGTCCTGCCCTTCCTTGGCCTGTGGGTGTCTTTTCACCTCCTTGGGAGGCGTTCCCATCCATGGGCAGCCAGCTGTGACTTTGAGATCTGCTAAATCACAACTTCCACACACATACACATGCCCTCCCTCCCTTCCTTCATCGCAAGCCAGGCGATGGGGTTTGACTAATGTTCTCCACAGCTGATGAGTCAGGCTTTTTGCTGGAATTGCCCTCCTGGCTGGTTGACTTTCCCCGTCATTAACTCCATGCTCAGGTTTCACTCCCCGGCTGTAGCAGTTGGTGCAAATCCAAGCAGCGAAGGGAGTAGAACAGCTGCAGAGATGGCCTGAGTGTTCATCTACACTATAGAATTAATGCAGTTTTGACACCGCTTGAACTTCCGTGGCACAATGCTACGGATAGATTGCTGTTGTCGTTTGCCCTCTTGGGCAGAGATGGCGAATGACCTCATAAAATGCAACTCCCATAGCAGTTAAAATGGTATCAAACCACATTAATTATGCAATATACATGCCGCCTTAAACAATGTTAATTGTGCATTTGAGAATGAGTTCAAATTGAGACAGAGGAGCAAGAGATCTGGTCCAGTCACATCCGGAGAGCTATTATTATATTATTATTATTATTTACAGTATTTATATTCCGCCCTTCTCACCCCGCAGGGGACTCAGGGTGGATTACAGTGTACATATACATGGCAAACATTCAATGCCATAGGCACACAACATATATACACAAACACACAGAGGCTATTTAACATTCCAGCTTCTGGCCACCAGGGGAGCTGTCGCTTCACCGTCCATTTGTGACACTGATGAAGTACTTCCTCATTCTTTGCATACTTCCTGGAGATTTTTATGGCCACGTAAATCAGCCTCCCCGCATAGGCGGTATCTAAATTTCCTACTTGACAGATGCAACTGTCTTTCGGGTTGCAAAGGTCAACAGCAAGCTACACAAATTGGTTGGACACTCACTCCGACCCGGCTTGGCTTTGAACTCATGACCTTTCAGGTCAGTAGTGATCTCAATGCAGCTGACTATCTATCTATCTATCTATCTATCTATCTATCTATCTATCTATCTATCCATCCAATCACTTCAGTGCTTACAGGAACTGCTATAGTTCTATACCAACCATTTTGTCTATTCATCTGCCCATCCACCATCTATCGATCGATCAATCAATCTACCTGTCTCTAGAACTGTCTGTCCACCTATCCATCTATCCATCCATCCATCCATCCATCCATCCATCCATCCATTGATCAATTGATTGATTGATCTATCTATCTGTCTATCTGTCTATCTATCTATCTATCTATCTATCTATCTATCTCTATCTATCTATCTATCTATCTATCTATCTATCTATCCATCCTACATATGTATGTAAGTATGTACGTATGTTTGATCCACAAACACTATTATATGGCTTGATGGATCAGGACCAACCTTGGCACACAGAACCATCGTGCTCCAACTTAACATACTGGTGGGATTGTGGGGGGCTGAGACCTACCATGACAATGTGATGCTTTCCAAAGCCATCCGGAAGCTCGGTCATGTAGCACCAATAGGTTGTCTCTTGGCCAGGAATGCTGACGTTCGGGGCCTTGATCACCATGGTCTTCAAGTCACTCGGTAATGAAGGAATCCTGATGTCCGGTTTCAGCAGCTGGACCCTTTGTAGCCCTTTCTGATGGAGAGCGGAAACATTAATCGCTCCAAGGGAAGGGACGGGTCTCTCCAGAATCCCATAGATAAGATGCACGGTGCCATCCTGGAAGGAAAGTAGAAGGCAAGTCAATGGTCCTGGTCCGTGAATGCCACATCAGATGTTCTGGTGCGTGGTTAAGGCATGCCAAGGCATCTGTGTCCCATAGAATACAATACAATGCAATAATGGAGGTGGAAGAGACCCCATGGGCCATCTAGTCCAACCCCCTGCCATGCAGGAAAAACACAAAGTATCCCTGACAGATGGCCATCCAGCCTCTGTTTAAAAGGTTCCATGGAAGGAGCTTCCACCAGACTTTGAGGCAGAGAGTTCCACTGCTGAACAGCTCTTACAGTCAGGAAGTTCTTCCTTATGTTCAATGGAATCTCCTCTCCTGTCGTTTGAACCCATGGCTCCATTGAGTCTATTGGAAACAAGCCGGCTCCCTCTTCCTTATGTCGTCTTTTCACATATTTATACATAGCTCTCATGTCTCCTCTCAACTTTCTCTTCTATAGGCTAAACAGACCCAGTTCTTTAAGACACTCCTCAGAGGGATTCATGGTCTCCAAACCTTTGATCATCTCAGTTGCCATGCTCTGGACACCTTCCAGCTTAGAGTCAATGGTGTTTCCCAAAATTGGACTTCCCTCAATCTAGATCAGGCATCTGTACTACTGGCTGTTAGGAATTGTAAGAGTTGAAGTCCAAAGCACCTGGAGGAGGGCCAAAGTTGGCCCATACCTGGTGTAGATGCCTTCTAATGACTCATTAGAAGGTATCCCGCTTCTAAGGAGTCATTCCGCTTTGGTTAGACCACACCTGGAATATTGTGTCCAATTCTGGGCACCACAACTGAAGAAAGATATTGACAAGCTTGAATGTGTCCAGAGGAGGGCGACTCAAAGGATCAAGGGTCTGGAGAACAAGCCCTATGAGGAGCGGCTTAAGAAGCTGGGCATGTTTAGCCTGAAGAAGAGAAGGATGAGAGGAGATATGATAGCCATGTATAAATATGTGAGAGGAAGCCACAGGGAGGAGGGAGCAAACTTTTTTTCTGCTTCCCTGGAGACTAGGACGGGGAACAATGGCTTCAAACTACAAGAGAGCAGATTCCATCTGAACATGAGGAAGAACTTCCTGACTGTGAGAGCCGTTCAGCAGTGGAACTCTCTGCCCTGGAATGTGGTGGAGGCTCCTTCTTTGGAAGCTTTTAAACAGAGGCTGGATGGCCATCTGTCAGGGGTGATTTGAATGCAATATTCCTGCTTCTTGGCAGAATGGGATTGGACTGGATGGCCCAGGAGGTCTCTTCCAACTCTTTGATTCTATGATTCATTCTTGGCTACACTGTTTTGACACTTCCAGTCGTAGCACTTCCAGTCTGTTCCCATCTTCCCCCAGTCACCCCACTATAAAAAGTTCTGAAGGTAAGAGATTCCTACCTCTATCTGATAGTCCTTTGGGTCACAGGTATCAAAGGACCTTCTGAAGAGCAAGTAGAACCCCTCAAGGGCAGACCATGCTTTCAGGAGCTTGTAGTTCTGCTGGGAGTCCATGCGCAGTTGTCCATCGTGGTCACTCCAGGCGTCCTATAGGTAAGGAAACCCAACGATGGGTTAGAATCACAATGCAACATTGCCCTTGAATGTTCCTGAGCAAGAAGAGGACCATGAAGATCTAGCTGTGGTTTAGGACAGAGGTTCTCAAGGTGTGCTCCGTGGAGACCTTGGGGCTCTGCAAGAGATAGTGAGGGGCTCTGCAGCACCATGCTGCTTGCAACCTCCTCCTCTTTCCTGAGAAATGCAGGGAAATTAAGGTTTGGAGCTGCCAAAACAATAGCAGAATCTTCTCCCCGCCTCCCTCATTGTTTTGATTGTCTTATGGTAAAATCTATATAAATAAAAATGTAATGTTCGTTTGTGGGGTTAACATAACTCAAAAACCACTGGACGAATGGCCGCCAAATTTGGACACAAGACACCTACTAACCCAAGTAGTGACCATCACTCAAAAAATTGATTTTGCCATTTGGGAGTTGTAGTTCCTGGAATTTATAGTTCACCTATAATCAAGGAGCATTCTGAACCTCACCAACAATGGAATTGAACCAAACGTGGCATACAGGACTCCCATGACCAACAGAAAACACTAGAAGGGTTTGGTGGGCATTGACCTTGAGTTTGAGAGTTGTAGTTCACCTACATCCAGAGAACACTGGGGACTAAAAAAAATGATGGATCTGGACCAAACTTGGCACGAATATTCCATATTCCCAAATATGAACACAGATGAAGTTTGGGGGAAATAGAAAGTTTGGGAGAAATAGACCTTGACATTTGTGAGTTGTAGATACTGGGATTTATAGTTCAACTACAATCAAAGAGCATTCTGAACCCTACCAACGACAGACACCAACGAACAGGGTATAGGGTTACAGCCTGTGCTGGACGGGGTCGCACTCCCCTTGAAGGCGCAGGTTCGCAGCTTGGGTGTGACCCTGGATTCATCTTTGAGCCTGGATCCCCAGGTTTCAGGGGTGACCAGGGGAGCATTTGCACAGCTTTGGCTCGTGCGCCAGCTGCGCCCGTATCTTGGGAAGTCTGACTTGGCCACGGTGGTACACGCTCTGGTCACATCCCGCCTTGACTACTGCAACGCTCTCTACGTGGGGCTGCCCTTGAAGACGGCCCGGAAGCTTCAGCTAGTCCAGCGCGCGGCAGCCACGTTACTAACGGGAGCGGGACGCAGGGAGCACACAACGCCCTTGTTGTCCCAGCTCCACTGGCTGCCGATTTGCTACCGGGCCCAATTTAAGGTGCTGGTGTTATCCTACAAAGCCCTAAACGGTTCCGGCCCAAAATACCTTTCGGACCGCATCTCGGCCTATGAGCCCACGAGGGCCTTGAGATCGTCTGGGGAGGCCCTTCTCTCGATCCCGCCTGCCTCACAGGCACGTCTGGCGGGGACGAGAGAGAGGGCCTTCTCGGTGGTGGCCCCCCGGCTGTGGAACCCTCCCTGTTGACATCAGACAGGCGCCCTCCCTTATGGCTTTCCGTAAGAGCCTAAAGACCTGGCTATTTGAGAAGGCATTTAACTGAGTGCTACGTTGACTGGTAATGACATCTGGAACGGAACACGGATTACGAGACTGGTTATGATTCTATGTTATGACGGTGCGGATTAGTTAGTGTAATTTAGAATTTAGATTAGTGTGTATTAATGAGATGTTGATTTCTTGTTGTACTTTTTGTAAACTGTTTTTATATGTTGTACACCGCCGCGAGTCGCCTTAGGGCTGAGAGCGGCGGTCAACAAATGCAGAAATAAATAAATAAATAAATAAATAAATAAATAAATAAATAAGGGCAAACTTCCCACACAGAACCCCCATGACCAACTGAAAATACTTAAGGCCATCCGGTCCAACTCCCTTCACCAGGGCAAGAAAACGTAATCAAAGCCCTCCTGACAAAGAGCCATCCAGCCACATATATAGATAGATAGATAGATAGATAGATAGATAGATAGATACGATACACACACAGAGACATAGATATAGTATGATATATTTGAGAGGGACCCCTAAGGAAGGACAATTATATGTTCCATGTTTCAGAGGAGGCAAACCAGACACTTTCCACATCAACACTGACAAAGAAACAGCAAGAAATACTGTTTACCCACAAGCATCAAGACATTACATATATTAGAAACCAACACTTTCGCATGACTTTATTTTCCAGATCACCAGACTGAGCCACAGCAACACCTGGCAGGGGATGGCTAGTATAAAATAGCTTTTTATGTATGCATGTATTTTATGCTGTGGTCAACAGTGCTGATGGGTCACAGATTATTGATTTTTATGACAGAGGTTGCGGGCCGGTGGAAAGTTGAATATGTGCCACAATTGACCCCCGGGCCATACTTTGGACATGCCTGCAATGCAGTATCAAGAAGTCCTTTTTCAGCCTTGTTGCCACTGTGCTTTTCCAGCAGTCATCAGCCAATCCCTCTCCAATGGCAGAAGTACAGCTTAATGGTGTAACATTAGAAAATGTTGACCATTTCCACTACCTTGGCAGCCACCTCTCCACAAAAGTCAACATTGACACTGAAATACAACACCGCCTGAGCTCTGCAAGGGCAGCTTTTCCCCCAAATGAAACAGAGAGTGTTTGAGGACCAGGACATCCATAGGGATACCAAGGTGCTTGTTTATAAAGCTATTGTCCTCCCAACCCTGCTATACGCCTGTGAAACGTGGACTGTCTACAGACGTCACATGCAACTCCTGGAACGATTCCATCAGTGCTGCCTCCGGAAAATCCTGCAAATGTCTTGGGAAGAAAAGCGGACAAATTTCAGCGTGCTGGAAGAAGCAAAGACCACTAGCACTGAAGCAACGGTCTTCCGCCATCAACTCCGCTGGACCGGCCACGTTGTCCGGATGCCTGACCACTGTCTCCCAAAGCAGTTGCTCTACTCCGAACTCAAGAACGGAAAATGGAATGTTGATCGGCAGGAAAAGAGATTGAAAGATGCACTCAAAGCCAACCTTAAAAACTCTGGCATAGACATTGAGAAATGGGAAACCCTGGCCCTTGAGCGCTCCAGCTGGAGGTCAGCTGTGACCACCAGTGCTGTAGAATTTGAAGAGGCACGAATGGAGGGCGAAAGAGAGAAACGTGCCAAGAGGAAGGTGCGCCTTCCACCGGGAAACTAATGCCCTCACTGCAGGAGAACACGCAGATCAAGAATAGGGTTCCACCGTCACCTACGGACCCACCAGCATGTTGATCCTACTCAGACAACGTAAAGTACTTGAAACCATGTATATTAATCTTGGACAATGAACTTCTCCTGAGATGGGAGAATTTATTAATGACTGTTCACTGATGGGTCTACGGACTGTAATAAAACTGTATACATATCGAGAAGCGACTTACCGCAAAATAAGACTGGACGCCGTCGCTCCAGAGCACAGCCAGGTCGGCATCCTCAAAACCTCCCCGGTCCGACATCCCAAAGAGCAGCCCATATTGGAGCTTCTTGACCAAAATCTGGAAGTGGACCTCTTGCTGGAGGTAGCTGACATTCCACGAAAGCTCCACGGCACCTTGAGGGTCCAATGGGACTTTGTACGGGAAGTAGTCCTCCCTCGGATCGGTGCCTTGCAGGGCGACCACCAGGATGAGGAGGAAGACGGCGAGGGAGGTGAAATACATGGCGGCCACTTCTCGGAGGCGGAACACTGGGCAGGAAGGCATCGTCCGCCGCCTTCCCATGCTTTGCGTCCTAGGATCGGAAACTGGACAAAAGAAGAGCTTGACTTTGCCTCCAATTTATAGGCTAGCACTCCGAGGCAAACTGAGCAAACGATTCCCCTTAATTGCATTTGGTGGCCGGGAAATTGGATTGCGGCATTGACCGCCCTCCTCCAGGTCCAAGCATTTGTCCTCCTCTCTGCTTCTCCTTAATTGACTTTAATTGCCCATGGACATTATCAGGGACAATTGAACCCGACTGGATGGATGCCTTCTCCTACTTTTCCTCCCTCCCTCCCACAAATCCTGGGGTCAAGAAGCAGAGGCCTATGAGGAGAGTATATATTGTACATGTAATTCCATGTCTCTCTGTTGTGTCTGTGTCAGAAGTATGGGACATCTGAGACACTTTATCTCCAATTTGTCGACATTCCTTTTTGATTATTGATATTGCTTTTTGACAGATTTTGGGTCAAGAACACGGAGTTCTCTTTATTTACGAGGGTTGAATGAAAAGTCATGCCTCCACCGTCATAACTCCTCAACAGATGGCAGTACTTTTATGCGGCAGGTACTGGCTTGTTCAGTAGACTCTCCTCTACAGTTCCATTTTAGTGGGAAGCCTTAGCATTGAATGGTTATGTCAGGCTTTACAATGTATTGTAATGCAATATAGCTGAATCATGCACTGCTAATAGGCTTCTATTGGAAATGCTGAGCCATGCATTAACTGTATATAGGAAATCATTTGGGGAATGTGTTCTGGCCTAGTCCAGGTGATTGTGAATGATGTAATCCTGGGTCTGAGTTAAGTTAATGAGTTGGGAATCAATCAGAGATTGCTATGTGTAATTGTATAGAATTGTATATAAGGAAGTCATGTACAGTGTATATTCCTCCTTGTGCTGTGATGTTGTTCGTCGAAGGCTATATGTAATTAAAAGAACCTGTCTGCTAAAACAAGATATAACTGTGTGCTGTGGTAAGTCTGTAATATCATCTAGACTGGGGAAAAGACAATGGTAAAACTGACAATGGCCGGGCATGTGCTCACATGTCTGCAAAAGGTTCCAGAGTGACTGCAGGCTGTGGGAGCAGTTGACTGAAAATACTGTGCAGGAAGAAGCTACTGGAAAGCGCTGAAGTTGTGCAACTGATCTGCTGCTGAATTGTAAAGTTAATCTCAACAGGTTATGTCGTTAAAGTGTGAAGTATGGAACCCTGCGCAGATGGTCGGTCAAGGCAACTTAAGCAACGTCTGCGGCAGGTACTGGCTTGTTCAGTAGACTCTCCTCTACAGTTCCATTTTGGCAGCAAGCCTTAGCATTGAACGGTTGTGTTGTTAAAGTGCGAAGTATGGAACCCTGCGCAGACGGTCGGTCAATGTTACTTAAGCAACATATGCAGAAGGTACTGGCTTGTTCAGGAGACTCTCCTCTACAGTTCCATTTTGGTGGGAAGCCTTAGCATTGAACAGTTGGGTTATTAAAGTGCGAAGTATGGAACCCTGCGCAGAAGGTCGGCCAATGCGACTTAAGCAACGCATATGGCAGGTACTGCCTTGTTCAGCAGACTCTCCTCTACAGTTCCATTTTGGCAGGAAGCCTTAGCATTGAATGGTTGTGTTGTTAAAGTGTGAAGTATGGAACCCTGAGCAGACAGTCGGTCCATGCGACTTAAGCAACATGCAGTCACTAAATTCTTGACAGCAGAAGGTGTCACCTCAACAGCTTTAAACTTACTCGCCCAACGACGCACAGCACTCACATAAACACAGTCACCATAAACAGCTTGCATTCTCTGATGAATCTCCTTTGGGGCTGACACCTTCTGCTGTCAATAATTCAATGACTGCACATTGCTTCCTGCCAAAATGCAACTGTAGAGGAGAGTCTATTGAACAAGCCAGTACCTGCCGCATGTGTTGCTTAAGTCGCTTTGACCAACCATCTGTGCAGGGTTCCATACTTCATACTTTAACAACACAACCGTTCAATGGAGCCGCAATCCAGTAATGTCCACAGGGTCATTTTTTCTCCAGCACAAAAAAGAACTTCCCCCAGGTTGGTGAGATCAAATGGAAGGGCATGATATGAAAAACCCAACTGTGCTGTTCCTTACCTCCCGAAACCTTGGGGGAAAGCAACTTTTTTGGGGTGGCAAACAAAACAGCGTGAAAGTGCCACCCTTCTGAGACACCCACGTTCATTCTTTGCGCGCCTTTCAAAGCCAACAAGCGAGGACAACCCTGCTTTGAACCACCTGGTGTTGGGTTTTGTTCCAATTCAATAACCTCCACAGGGTATATTCCGAGCGTGGCATTCGGATCCGAAAGGGGAATAATAACACCCAAAACAACAACAATAACAGGAGTGGGTGAGTGCTTTCGGAGAAAACAAACTCAAAGGACTAACTGGAGGCAGACATTCAATATTAGAGGGATTTTGGAGGGGAGGAAAGAGCCCAGAGTGGGTGGCAGAAGCAAAGCAAAACAACCCATAGAAACTGGGTTGTTGTAGGTTTTTCCGGGCTATATGGCCATGTTCTAGAGGCATTTTCTCCTGATGTTTTACCTGCATCTATGGCAAGCATCCTCAGAGGTAGTGAGGTCTGTTGGAAGTAGGAAAATGGGTTTATATATCTGTGGAATGACCAGGGTGGGACAAAGGACTCTTGTCTGCTGGAGCTAGGTGTGAATGTTTCAACTGACCACCTTGATTAGCATTTAATGGCTTGGAAGTGCCTGGGGGGAATCTTTTGTTGAGAGTGATTTGATGTGCCTGATTGTTTACTCTCTGTTGTTTTGCTGTTGTAATTTTAGAGTTTTTAATACTGGTAGCCAGATTTTGTTCATTTTCATGGTTTCCTCCTTTCTGTTGAAATTGTCCACATGCTTATGGATTTCACTGGCTTCTCTGTGTAGTCTGACATGGTGGTTGTTGGTGTGGTCCAGCATTTCTGTGTTCTCAAATAATATGCTGTGTCCAGGTTGGTTCATTAGGTGCTCTGCTATGGCTGATTCTCTGGTTGAGACAAAGGACACATGAAAATGAACAAAATCTGGCTACCAATATATTAAAAACTCCAAAATCACAACAGATGTCTGCAGGGAGGGTGTTCCACAGCCGGGGATTTTAGAATACAGTAATCTCATGTATACATTAGTCCATATGCTAATCAAGGTGGTCAGTTGAAACATTCACACCTAGCTCCAGCAGACAAGAGTCCTTTGTCCCACCCTGGTCATTCCACAGATATATAAACCCATTTTCCTACTTCCAACAGACCTCACTACCTCTGAGGATGCTTGCCATAGATGCAGGTGAAACGTCAGGAGAAAATGCCTCTAGAACATGGCCATATAGTCCAGAAAAACCTACAACAACCCAGTGATTCCAGCCATGAAAGCCTTCGATAATACATTAAACCCATAGAAAGACTTGTATTTCCACCGAGACGCAAAGTCCTCCTTGGCACAATGTGGGCCTGGCAACAACCCCAAATATTTGCTCAGGAAATCCATAGATTATCACAGGACGGTGATTGCGGTGTCTTGCATCGATGGCTTTCCTACATCAACCCTCCCCGCATACAAACAATGCGCTTCTCTTCCTGGGTATCAAGTCTCCAGGAGTTGAACCAAGGGCTTCCTTTTGCCGCTTCAGCATTTCTGCCGCATCCGGCGGGAGGAAACCTGAAAGGTAATCTGGCACAAAGAGAGACAAAGAAAGAGAAAGGAGAGGAAGCCTCCAGGCCTGCCAACCCAGCCGAGCTCAGGATCTACGTTGTGGCTGGGAATCTTTCTCCCACCCTGGGCATTAAATAATCCCAACTTGCCTCGTTTCCAACAGAGCTCACAACCTCTGAGGATCCGTGCCCTTGATGTGGGTGAAACGTCAGGAGAGAATGCTTCTGGAATCTAGCCAGACAGCCCAGAAAACTCACAGCAAACTTGGAAGTCCCTGAACAGGCTCAGAAGCGGAGTGGGCAGATCAAAATACAACCTGGCAAACTGGCACAACTTAGAAGAATCCCCAGCCTTGTGTGATTGTGGAGCAGAGCAAACAACTCTGCACCGGTATGCTTACCCACAATGCCCTGCCTCATGCACAGAGGAAGATTTGTTTAAAGCTACCGACAACGCAGTTGCTGTTGCCCATTTTTAGTTGAAAATTATTTAGTCCATCTATTTTATCCGTTTTAATACTGATTTATGCAATGCTTTTGACACAAAAGCTATGTAAATAAAAATGTAATGTTCGTTTGTGGGATTAATAAAACTCAAAAACTACTGGACGAATTAACACCAAATTTGGACACAAGGTTTGGTCCAATTCTATCTTTGGTGGGGTTCAGTATGCTCTGAGATTGTAGGTGAACTATAAATCCCAGCAACTACAACTCCCAAATGTCAAGAACAACCCAATGTATGTCAACCCAATGTATGTTCACTCAAAAAAATAGACCTGGTCATTTGGGAGTTGTAGTTGCTGGGATTTATAGTTCACCTACAATCAAAGAGCATTCTGAACCCCACCAATGATGGAACTGAACCAAACTTGGCACACAGAACTCCCATGACCAACATAAAATACTGGAAAGGTTTGGTGGGCAGTGTCCTTTGGTTTTGGAGTTGTAGTTCACCTCCATCCAGAGAGCACTGGACTCAAACAATGATGGATCTGGACCAAACTCTACACGAATACTCAATATGCCCAGATGTGAACACTGATGGAGTTTGGGGAAAATAGAATCTTGACATTTGGGAGTTGTAGTTGCTGGGATTTATAGTTCACCTACAATCTCAGAGCATTCTGAACCCCACCAAAGATAGAATTGGGCCAAACCTCCCACACAGAACCCCCATGTGGGCTACAGCAACGTGTGGCAGGGGATGGCTAGTAGAAAAATAAATTGCTATTGTTGTTGTTCAGTGAGGCTCCAACCCTCATTGGCGAGAGTCCTTGTGAAACTACAACTCCCAGGTCTCCGTAGCAATGAAAGTGGGCTCAAACTTTATGCATATGACAGTGTCGGTGCACTCTTCATGCCTCCTGCACTTTATTTACCTGAAATGTATTGTTTTTGTTTGTTTGTTTAACTTAGGAGCTAACTTGGGAGGCCTGGAATAGTCCAATAAATATTCCAGTTGCTAAACTCAGTTAGACGACATTCATTGGGTCTAATCTGGTTCCTCCGTGTTGCATTGATTCGGCCAGTTTTCTCTAGCCGAAAAGTAAAATTGAATTTATTTTGGCACCAAAAAAAGAAAAAG